CTTTAATCATTTGTATTTCATTTGTAATTATAATCATGGAATTAAGATTTCTAAACCTGAAACTTGTAGGCTGCAAAGTTTTGAGTGGTATTTATGTGAAGATTAAAAAATTGGTTTCAAATTTTATGAGAAAGCGGGAAAATGATATTTTACATTGGTATTTTTAAAGTAAACTTAATTTAAAAAGTAATATTGTACTTTAAATCAAATTCTACAAAAGAAAATTATATTTAATTATTTTAAGAAAAGAAACTTCTTTACCTTTTGTCAGCAATGAAGTTTTTTTTCAAATCCTTTTGGTCTTAGGTTTTCAGTTAAGGTTAGAATGTACGTAAATTTTTTATATCTTTATGGTTTATATCGAGTTTATTTGTATTAAAACTGTTTAAAAAATCTTAGATAGAAACTTTGTGTGGATTATATTATCTTCAAAACTTAATCTTGATATCAGACGTTTTCACTTTTAAATTTAATCCCTGAATTATATTCTGATTAAAGTTATCTCTGTCAAGTAGTGATGGAGGAGATATTGAAAAGATCAAGAAACCAAATTAATCAGTAGATCTGCACGAATGGAGTATACAAAAGTTCTGACTTCTGAGAAAGAAAAATAATAAACATTATTATGTTAATGTTTACATAATATACTAGCTTAGAAACCCAGTATTGCCCAATCATAGTTAGTTCCTCCATTTACCCGCGCCATGTCGTTGATTATGATTTGTAACTATTTTTTCCGTTAAAAGTGGACCCACTCATTTCCGTGGGTCTCCCGAGGTCCCAATCTAATTTTGATACAAATCGGTCTAGGGGTTCCTGAGTTATGATCGGACAAACAAACAGACAAAAAGAGATTACAACTTTATATATTTATTGATACCAATGTTACTTATATTGGTGTATCTTCTAAAACTGTAAAATGAAAATTGTCTCAATTTCTCTGTCCAAACCAATGTCCTTGTCTCTAAGACAATCTAAACTCTAATTTATTAACAACAAAGATAATACAATACAAGACGTCCACAAACAACAAAGATAGTACAATACAAAAGACGCTCATTAACAACAAAGATAATGCAATACAAGACGTTCACAAACAACAAAGATAATACAATACAACACATCCACAAACAACAAAGATAATACAATACAAGACGCCCATCAAAAACAAAGATAATACAATACAAGACGTCCACAGAAAACAAAGATTATACAATACAAGACATCTACAGACAACAAAGATAATATAATACAAGACGCCCATAGACAAAAAAAGTTGTGGTAGTTACTTGATGATAAAATAGCTGTACCTAATAAAGTGTTTTGCACTTGTACTTCATCTCTTCACTCTTAATTTAATACAGAAGTTCGTTGAATGCAGGGTTACTAGTCCGACTTTGCTATCTAATAACTCCGCCAGATTTGATTTTTCACCCAGGCGTATGAAAGTGAATTAGTTTGATAAAATTTCAAAACTTTTTTCACTTTAATATTTCTTCAAAATATGAGCTGAAACATGCAGGATTTCAAATTGGAACAAAACTAACTTTTTCGATTTTGAAAATAATATTTTAAGGTCCTTCATTTCAAACAAAAAGTTTTAAATACAAAATAAAAACACGCTCCAGAAACGTTTGGTCTGGTGCCTGGTCTGGTGCCTGGTCTGGTGCCAATAATTCATTCAAGACTTGAAATATATAAATCCAAATATATTTGCTACAATTCACACAAATAAACTCATACACTGCACTTGTCAAACACATTTACTCTCTATATCAGGGATTTTTCCCCATCGTATGTTTTCCAGCCATAGTCTTTACTAGCCCTGAAATATATTTCATTTTTGATTTGGATAGTTCTTTGCTTAGTCATATTATCCACATCTTAAAGGGAGTGACAGTTAGACATGGTAGTTGCGCTGAGAGATGCAGTATTATGGAGGACATTTTTAGGAATAATTTGATATCAATAGGATGTTTTTACGGTGTATAATTTGAAACCAACAAGACGTTTTTACGGTGCATAATTTGATACCAATAAGACGTTTTTACGGTGTATAATTTGATACCAATAAGACGTTTTTACGGTGTATAATTTGATACCAATAAGACGTTTTTACGGTGTATAATTTGATACCAATAAGACGTTTTTACGGTGTATAATTTGATACCAATAAGACGTTTTTACGGTTAATTTGATACCAATAAGACGTTTTTAGTGTATAATTTGAAACCAACAAGACGTTTTTAGTGTATAATTGCTGAGTAAACGCGCAAAATCTTTATAATCTCCCAGATTGTCCATACAAAAATACAAAAGCTTTGATAATTATAATTTAGAAAAGATTTTGATGATAAAACTAAGAATTTTTGGTTTACACTTTCTCTTTCAAACCCTATATTTTCTAGTATTAACCTATATTGCAGCAGTCAATAATTTCTAATGAACTTAAAGCTTCTTAGCCCCAACTGATACTGCATATATAAATACTGTTGGTTGGGTGGTTGGTTGGTTGGAGGGGTATTTTTTAAAAACACTTTTTATAGCAAGTTTAAAAAGATACAAGATTTTAAAATGGGGTTGTAGTAAATGCCCTACTCCATGAAGGGTTTTCGAACACGTATCTATCCAGGTACAATTCAGTTTCACTTGGCTAAACCCAGATACAATCTCATGAGCTATTGATGTCAACCAGACATTAGCTCACATTCTATCAACGCCAAATCAGTGGGCGCAATCTCGTCACCTATTGATGTCAACACGGACATTAGCTGTTAATTGATCAATGCCAAACCAATGAGCATGAGCTTGTATGTTTCAATGATAACCAAATTACTCACTCACAGCTATCAACTGAGTATATTTCTTCATGTTAGATTAGAGTTAGGTTTTAACAGCGTAATTACAAGTTATGCCCTGTTGTATATAACGTAGTTAAGCAATCACAATATGGGTATGACGGAGTTATAAATATCTTTGTATCTAGATTGGGTTAATCGCAATACATGATTTACGTATTTACTATTGAGCACATATATCTAGATTTACTATGGGGCATCTATATTAATTGCAGCGTTATATATTATCAGGGCGAGGAATTAGAAAAGTTGTTGCGGTGAATTTTTTACTTAAATAAACATTGGTTTTACCATAAACTCTTTTTCAACCCGATGTAGACTTTAATTATCTAAAATTATGAACTCTGTTAGATGACAAAGTCTAGTATGGGGTTGTTGTCGAATAGCAGCAAGATTCTCAATTTTGGGGTTCTAAACCTCCCTCGCTACGCTCGTGAGGTTTAGAACCCCAAAAAGGTCTTGGAGGCCCTCGGCTAAGTGGTTTTCCCCTCAATTTAATTATCCTCCCATAATCTCCCGGTTAAGTAGTAATTAATAGTTAAAATTTCTGAAAAGAATGACAAATAATTGTTAACGAAATTCACTAATTCTTTATATGAAAATATTTTGTTCACAATAATAAAAGTGTTTAGACTCCGTTACCGGAGAACAAAGAAAATGGGGTGAAATTTTTTTGGTTTGGTGTCNTGTAAATTAAACAGGGGTATCTTTATTTCAAAGCAAAACATGTTTTAATGTATCTTTATTTTTTAGGCCAATTGACATCAAACATTTTTGATTAGGTGAATTTTTTTTCTAAAAGTATTTGTAATTTTTAAAAAAGACCTTTAAGTTATTTTATTGAAATCAAATTCTTATTTGATAAACTAAAATGTCAAATCTAAAAAAAGAAAATTAAAAAACTAAAATTAATGATGAAATGATTTTATTTTGTGATTGAAAATGTAAAAAAATTGACGTTATTGATCAATAATCCCACAGTGTCCCACAGAAGTTCCATGAGGTTTCAGGCTTAAATCGTTCATGAAACTCTGCAAAGAAACGATCCCTTTGAATTACGTCTATACAGTCGCTGAAACCAAACAATTATAATTTTCTAAATAAAACAAAACTGTTTTTGTGTGAATTCAAACATTTGATTCCCAGTAGGCTTAATCTAATTCTAGTTAAACAAAGTTAACAATGAAAACGAGACAAAGCTTGGCTTAAATGAGCAGATATCAACTAAGTGCCATCATTATTTATTCTAAATTTTATTCTGCAATTGACGTTAATCCATTTTATCACTAGCTAAACACGCCTAGACAGTATACACTGCATTTCCGCCGTCCAAATCATTCCTAAATCCTAATACAATTAAGGAACCCTGAAACAAGAAAATGGACAAAAAAAAATTCGTACAATCGTCTCTGAAGTTTCATAGTTTCATCCCACAGACTACACAGACTGCTCATGCACTCTACCTGGATAGGCTGAGTAGGCCTATAGTGTCCCGGCACGCCATGCTACGGTTTCATGTAATGTTTTTTGACTGACATCTCACGGCCATTTGTTGCAGTCAGGGGTTAAGTTTTACAACTTTTAAAGAAATACTCCAATTTTAAGCATAAAACATAACGTTTGAAAATTGTCTATTTTTAAAGATTTTGCATTTCCTATTTAAGGGATCGTTTTATATTCTTGAATACAGATGTCTTGATGGGTCGTGTACAGTACTTGTACACAATAGAACATGCTGTGGAAAATATCGCATATTATAGGTGTTAATCTATCTAATATCTCTGTTTCATCTTTTAAGGGTAATCCTTACATAAAGAGCGGTGGTTAAAATTCTTATATAAGGAAGGAAAAGTGCAGTTCTAAGGCATTTGACAGCACGTTCACTGTCTTTTAATAATAAATACTTTTAGAGATGGGGGATATACAGTATTTAACCTTAGTGAAAACTTTTAGATTGAATGGTTTAAGTTACTAGGGATGGACATCCACCATGCAAGATAAAATTATAAAATGATTTTAAAATCGCTTAAGGTTCGAGAGAATCATTATTTAGTTGTATTATATGGTTTTGAATCTGGTTTTGAATCTGGTTATTTAGTTATATATATGGTTTTGAATCTGGTTGTGCCATATACAACCAGAATGAAAACCAATGCGTCGTTGAGGTCTGACAGAATTGAACCATACCGCCAAAACTCCGCCGCACACAGGAGAGGTTTTCCTAATGTTGGAGTCCAGTTCACGAGCAAGGATTATGTGAGATCTCGGAATGAATTTAGCAAGCTTGGTTGGTTTCAAGATCATGTTAGAGGATGTAAGCATGAAGAGCTTACAGCTTACGGGTAAATACCCTGTAGTCTATATTAGCAGTAGGGCAGATAAAAAACCGCCTTTTATTCAAAATATCTGGCCGTTGGAAATGAACTAAAGATCATGTTTTGTACGCTTGAGAAAATCCAACTCCAACTCCCCATGGTGTTATGACGGACGGCATAAGTCCTGAGAAACAGCTGAGGATCTGAAGAAACTGTAGTGGCAGTTTACCTGCATAGCTTTAGTGATGACCAAGGGCCAGACGACGGATGATCAACTCGTCGTACAAGGCCAATGAAAGGCGGAGAGTCTGCCAGAGAGCTCCGCGCCTGCTTTCCATGATTCATTAGTATCATTTTATTTGTTCATTTTTTACTTGTTAATACATTTTTTCCTATACTCTGTAGATTTACTGTCATCAGTTTTCAGGCTTTAGATTTCCTTTATTTCATACCACTTTTAAATGGTAACATTAGTTTGTCCAATTTTTCACATATAATTTTATTCATAAAATACTGGTCCTTCTTCTACATGTTTTAAACACAAGCAGAGCTAGTCATAGTTTTTTTTCGGTTAGTTTTAAAACAATAAATTTTTTTAAGTATCCAGTTTAAATTAAACCCCCTCTCTAGTATCCAGTGTAAATTAAACCCCATCCCTATAGTATCCAGTGTAGATTAAACACTATCTCTAGTATCAAGTGTAAATTAAACACTATCCCTAGTATCCAGTGTAAATTAAACACTATCCCTAAATTAAACACTATCCCTATTATCCAGTGTAAATTAAACACTATCCCTAGTATCCAGTGTAAATTAAACACTATCTCTAGTATCCAGTGTAAATTAAACACTATCTCTAGTATCCAGTGTAAATTAAACACTATCTCTAGTATCAAATGTAAATTAAACACTATCCCTAGTATCCAGTGTAAATTAAACACTATCTCTAGTATCCAGTGTAAATTAAACACCCATATATATAATTCTCCAGCAATTATTGGTCTTATAATTGAAGCAATGCTTAATAAACCAATAATGGAGGAAACGTATTTATTATTTAATTACAACGTGGCATACACACACATTTACAACTATATACATATACATCACTATACACACTACGTCAAGCTACTTGTAGATTGTATAAAGTTAAAAATGCATTATAATATGAGAAATTCTCTTGTACGTAAATTTATTATTTGTAAACAATTCAATATTTATATGGTTATAATTGGGAGTCACGGTCCATTTTTAGATTGCTGTGTCCTATTAACTACGGTATCCTTTAAATTTTTATTTTTGTAACAATGAGAAAGATATCTTCGTTTTTCTGTTTTAAAAAGTACTTTATTTTGACAATTTTCTGTTTTTTGTCTCTGCATGCACCATAAATCTGTAAATTTCTTTGAAGAGAAACCATAACCAAAGATAATAAATTTTAGCCTGAAAAAGAAAGAATATCGTATTTTTGATCAGTCAAAAGAAGATGTTAAAATTTAAGAAAAAAGATATAAAAAGGAAACTCGACATTATAAATTGATTGTACTTTCTTCAAAAACAATAATGATGACTCCCTAGGGGATCGTTAGCAATATCAGTCATAAAGATCGATATATCAATCATATCAATCAACATAACATCTTTGCAGTATTATCATCATCAGGCGGAGTAATGGACAATATCTTGGTTCGTTTTTTTAAGGCTTTTTTTCAAACTTCAAAATCGTTTATTCTAAACATTTGCTTTCCTAACACATATTTTCAGCACCATGAGAGAGGATATTGGCAAAAACGACCCGAAAAATTATCGTTTTAAAACGATCGTCTTTTGGTTGGATTTCTCTTCCATTTCCTCATCGGGTAAAATTTTGAATAGCTGAATTAAATATATATATTTTGCTTGTCTGTCTGGGTGTTTTGGTGTCTGTTTGTTTGTTTGTAACCGATAAACGTCAAAACGGCTGAACCGATCGGGCCTAAATTTTGTGTGGGGCCTCACATGACACCAGGAAAGGTTTAAGGAGGCTTAGAATTTCAAAAAGTGGACGTTTGTAAAGAATATTATGAACCTAAATTTTTTTATATTGTACAAAGAGAAGACGCTCACGGATGGAGCCACAATTAAGAGTTGAAATAGAAAAGATTGGCGCGAAGTTTAAAAAATTCATTTTGTATTTAAAATTGAAATGGTTAAAAACAAAACAAAAAATATACAACACTAATCTTATATCGTACAGTAAGAACCATAAAAATGTGAAATAGAAAGACGGCTTTTAGACTCAAGTTCTGATTTGAATGAAAATGAAATTGTGCATTACTTAAAAACAGACCCATTTAACAACATAAGTTAATTTTCAAGTTGCTGGTAAGACTATTTGCCACATAATTCATCAAATGACATTAATTAAATGTCGTCTGTCTATTCCACAGGTTTTATAGGCTCCAATGCATGTCTTTGTTTTGATTTCCCCTTCAATTAATGTTTGCTTAATCCGTGTGTTCAATTACTTAGGATTTATTATAAGCAAGACCAAGTTTATTAACAGAACACAATATGGACCCAATTACAACAATATTCGGTAAGGGGGGGGGGATGGATTGGGTGGGGGATGTTTTGTATATTGCCCCTTCGTACAAATTTATGTTTTTTTAAATCACGCTGAGAAAAGTCCAGTGATTCTACTGAGTTCCCCAATCAAAATTTGAGGGATCTCGCTCCAGAGGTTCATGGTAGAGATTAATAACAATTCAGATAGAACACTAGATGTCGTCTTTTCAAGATTGAGGGGTTTTTCGTTCACAATAAACCTGAGGCAGAGGCCCTCAGAATTTATCATGCTCTCTCTCTATCTAATAATTCAACGCTGCCTGCGCGGACGGCGGAACTCCGTTGGGCCTCCGTCTCACGGCTATTGTGATGAAAACCCCTAAATCTTGAAAAGACGACATTTATTGTCTTCCTGTATTGTCTTTCTATGGTAAAAAGCTTAAAAGAATTATTGATCTATGTTCATAGGTTAGTAATGATCGAAAATACAGATTATTTAGTATTATGCAAATTAGACCTATTTTCAAACTTGCTTGATATGCTTTATACTGTATATGTATTCTAAATCATTACAAATTAGGTATCAAATCTGTTAATCTATTCGTTTTTAATACATGTAAGTGGTCAAACAAAATTTTGATTGGGCACAGCATAGATTAATAACAATACAGATAGAACACTAAAAATGTTGGTTTTTTTCGTTCACAATAACCCGGAGCCAGATTACCAAATGAGTTACGGGCATGTTCTCTCTCTGTCTTGTAATTTAATGCTGCCTGTGCGAAACTTCTTTGGGAGTCTTCTCTAGGGTTATTGTGAACGAAAAACCCTTAAACCTTAAAAAGACGACATCTAGTGTTTTATCTATATTGTTCTTAATCTATGGGACAAAATATAAATTTATTATTGATGTGCGGTCGTAAAATAGATTCTATGATTATTAGGAACTTTTATTTTTAAAAAGCATCAAGTTTTCAGAACTTTTTCAAAAAGTTTAATTTTGCTACAAATATATTTAGCCTTTGCTAAGAAATTGTTGAATATCTTTCTTTAATTCCTAGGAAATATATTTTCTTCTTAAGTTTCCTAATTGGAAATTCTTTACTCCGAGTTTCTTCCATATGAAAGGACAACCAACGTTTTTATTTCTTGGAAATGTCCATCTCTAGCTGATCCAAACTCTTTTGAAATTAAAAATTGGCATGATGGATTCACAACAGTACCATCAAGAATGCATGAGAATGCATCCATCCTCCTCCCTTTAAGAACAATGGTAAAAATTGTCAAAATAAACATGTGTTCTAGGGTTTCCATTCGCAAAACTTTTGCGCAATTTTTGCGGAACGAAACGCAATATTTTTCTTTCTTTGCGCATCAATTTTGCGCGAAAAAACAACAATTTGCGCAATCATTCGCAAAAGTCATTTCGCGCAAAATTGCCCTATTCCGCTTTTGCGAAACTCAAATTTTGCGCAATTCCGCAACAAGAGTTTTGCGCAAATCTGCAATTCCGCAATTTCGTAAAAATCAAACGGTTGGTGACGGTGTGTGTTTCTTAGAATTCAATTCTGGAAAAATCTTGTTTTGGAATGTCTTCCTATTGGTCACTTTTACATAATTGACCAATGACTGTTAAGAAGAGTTAAAATCTCACAATTTTCTCGACAATTTTAGTTTTGGACATGCATATTTCCTAAAAGTGGATTCTTCAGGCATTGGTTACTTTCTTGCATTATTTTATACGAGATTAAAAAGATTTCAGAAATTTGATTAAAGAAATTTAAGAATACAATTCATACTTGCAGATTAAGCAAAGCTTTTAAGGCCGGGTCACTTGAAATTATTTAATAGGATTAAAATATTGCCAAGTTTCACACTCTCTAATTTCTATTTTATTAATTTTGGTCCCTTATAATTTAAACTTTTTGTAACTGGAAGTAACCAATTGAGTGTAGTATAATCGTTATCATACTCGTATGTTAATATTTTTTTTTGTATATGGAATAAATCTTCAGTTGTTTAATTCTAAGCTTAGAATATCAATTTTTGACAATGTGCCTAAAAAGTTACATATTGCGTAAAACTTGCGGTTTTGCGCAAATTGCGCAAAAATAATTGCGCAAAACTAAAATTTCGTTTCATGCGCAACTTTCGCAAAAAATATTTCCGGTTTTGCGCAAATTGCGCAAAATAAATAGCGCAAAACCGCGCAAAACTCATTGCGTTTCATGCGCAAAAGATTTAGCCATTTCGTGGAAACCCTAACGTGTTCTAAACTAGAAAAAAGACGGTATTTTCCACATAATTGAACAGATAAAGGTTTAAAGGATACCGTTATAAATAAAGCATGCAGCATGCACCTCTTTATATAGAGGGTCACTTGAAAACACGAAAAAAGTCCCCTTAAAACGGAAAATGTTTGAGGAAACTGCAGAAACATAAGAATATGATAAATTACTAGAATGCAAGAATACAATGAGAATGAATATGAATATTATTCATTGAATATTATGACAACAATACGTCCCCAATCCGTAATAAACAATCCCTAGTCAACCTAAGAGTAGGAAACCTAGGAGTAGGAAACCTTGGACTGAGAAGCCTAGGAGTAGGAAGCCTAGGAGTAGGAAACCTAGGAGTAGGAAACCTAGAAGTAGGAAGCCTAGGAGTAGGAAGTCTAGGAGTTGGAAACCTAGGAGTAGGAAACCTAGGAGTAGGAAACCTATGAGTAGGAAACCTAAGAGTAGGAAACCTAGAAGTAAGAAACCTAGGAGTAAGAAGTCTAGGAGTTGGAAACCTAGGAAAAGAAAACCTATGAGTAGGAAACCTAGGAGTAGGAAACCTAGGAGTAGGAAACCTAGAAGTAGGAAACCTAGAAGTAGGAAACCTAGGAGCAGGAAACCTAGGAGTAGGAAACCTAGGAGTAGGAAACCTAAGAGTAGACAGTCTAGGAGTAGGAAACCTAGAAGTAAGAAGCCTAGGAGTAGGAAACCTAAGAGTAGAAAGTCTAGGTGTAGCAAAACTTGGGAGAAAATTTAAACAACATATTATTTTAATTTATCTCTTGGTACTGTATTTAATTCTAGATAGATACTCTAAGTGTCCCTTTGGTCCGATATATATACTGTGAGTGAGTATAGTTGAGGAATCTAATATAGATTATTATATCTCAATAGAGATGAAAGTAAAAAGATAATCCTGGGAAGGAAATCTGGCATCGCAAAATTAAGAAAACACGCCAAATATCTGCTACATGTAAAAGATACAGGAGAAGCCTATATAAAGAATATAAAAATAAAAATGTAAAAGATTAAATGTAAAATTTTTTAAGAAATTAGTAAAAGTTTTTGCCAGACTTGTCATGCAATAGAGAAAACGAAAACTGAGATAAATAATTCAATGTTATTGATGTTAACTTTCATCAGAAAATGACAAAAATCATATTTTATCAAAATTTGATCAAATCTCTGGCTTTCTTCACAGACGAATGAAATATTTAATTGAAAAAAGTTGTAATATGAATAATGGAAAAATTTGAATATTTTTATTTTATTTTGAATGATAAATTTTCAAACGTTGAAGAGATTCTTAAAGTTTTTAAATGATTAATTTAATGGGGTTGAGGAACAAAAGTGGGTTACAAGTACAAATAAGTATTCATTTTTTTACATTAAGGCATAACCCATAATTCTGTGTTATGTTTGAAATATATGCTGATTTCTGTGCAAACTAAAACTATAAAAAAACGCCAGAGAAACAATCTATATATATTGTATAAAATTCGCAAAAGTAAACAAAAAATAAAAAATAGAGTGGTACCTCTTACTTTGTAACTGGAAAATTATATTTCAGTCAATAGTTAGTATCTTGAAAATCAAACCTTGAAATGAAATACTTTTTGGCTTTATTTGATGTTATTGCACTATTTAAATGAGTTTAATAGCCGTCTCCGTATTTCACAGTTTTATGGGTCTAATTGTTTTTTACAAGATTTTGAAAGAATTTTATTTAATGCTTGAGATATTATCATAATGTTGTTTTTCCCAGCTCACGGTCAGTTGCTTTAAATTCTTCACACTCAAGGATCAAACCCAGGGATTTTTAAAAGAATTTCTTCCCTTAACTCATAGATTAATAACTATACAAATAGAACACTAGATGTCGTCTTTTCAAAATTTTGGGGTTTTCGTTCACAACAACCCTGAGGCAGAAGCCCAAAGGAGTTACGCGCATGCCGAATTGAATTGCAAGACAGAGAAGGGCTCAAACGAAAAACCCCATAAATCTTGATAAGACGACATCTAGCGTTGTATGTGTGTTGTTATTAATCATATATGCCTTAACTCTATTCTATTCCGATCGGGGTATTTTTGTCAAATATGGTGCTAAAGTTAGGCCAAAAACTAAAGTGCCAGTTAGCTTAAGAAGACGACCTCCAATCAAAAAGTGTCAAAATAGAAATTGTTCTTAGAATTGTTTTTTACATTGGACTTGTCTATAGCCGTAATAATTGGAAGTATTTTGCTAGTGTACTGCGAAATCGCAGATTTCAGAATAACAGATATTTTAAATATTTTTTTCAAAATTAAAAATATTTTTTTTTTCAAAATGTTTTTTTTTAAATTCAAAATGCAATGCTGGGCACTCCAGCTAGTACATAGTATAATATATATAAAACATGAATCAAGAACTATATAATGTAAACAGGCTTTCCTTATTCCTTTAAACAAACTTTTCAGGTGGAAACCCAATTAATATTAGAATTTTAGCAAGCGTTTCTAACTTAAACATGAATATTTAGATTGTCTTCGATTTGAGAAAATGTTAACAGAGCATGCTTATTTCAGGACTTAACTTATTGCCATTGAGTCTTTGCCATAAACTCTAATTCTCTAATCCCAATATCTTTGAATCCCAATGTCTTAGACCTTAATTATTTTAAACTAGGAATTCTGCTTGATCAAATAATCTCTGAAATAATCTCTGAATTATAAAAATAAATAAATAAATCTATTTTTAATTTCTTGACTTTGGAAAAGTGTGATGTTAAAATTAATTATTATTTAATGTAAAACTAAAAAGTGTCCCAAAAAGGGTTTACTGAAAACAAAAACATCAATACCAATTCAAAAATAAATCTTTGTATATTAAAGTCACACTGCAGCATTATTAAATCAAAAATTATAATTTTTTCCTCTTCAAGCGTGCATTGTTCAACCTTTCAATTTATTTTGTTTAATGTTTGCATAACAACCTTTCAAGTCTTGTAAAGGTAAAGTCCACATTTTTCTCGTGAAGTTTTTTCTTCATTTTCTGTCCTCGATGATTTGAAGAATCTTGTCTCGGCTCCGGGTTGCCATCTCCGCTTGACTCCGTCCTTGCTCCCGGAGTTTATTCTTCAAAGTTTCATCCTTCAAGTCAGATAGGTTTGTCTCCACGTTGTGTACAGCACCCTGTACACCAGTCTCAAGGCATCTATAGTACATAATACATGAAAATATATATAAGGTTCATGTTCAACTCCAAACAATATAGAATACAAAGATTTTCTAAAGTAGCCCTTTCTGGTAGTTCAATTTTGTTTCTCTTAGAAATTTTAAAATTTGGTTGGCTGGTACCAACTTTACCTGGCATCTTCTTGAAGATCTGGTTCCTACTATACCTGGCATCTACTTGAAGATCTGGTTCTAACTTTACCTGGCATCTTCTTGAGTTCCAACTATACCTGGCAGCTACTTGAAGATCTGGTTCCAACTATACCTGGCATCTTCTTGAAGATCTGGTTCCTACTATACCTGGCATCTACTTGAAGATCTGGTTCTAACTTTACCTGGCATCTTCTTGAAGATCTGGTTCCAACTATACCTGGCAGCTACTTGAAGATCTGGTTCCAACTATACCTGGCAGCTACTTGAATATCTGGTTCCTACTATACCTGGCAGCTACTTGAAGATCTGGTTCCTACTATACCTGGCAGCTACTTGAAGATCTGGTTCTACTATACCTGGCAGCTACTTGAAGATCTGGTTCCAACTTTACCTGGCAGATACTTGAAGATCTGGTTCCAACTATACCTGGCAGCTACTTGAAGATCTGGTTCCAACTATACCTGGCAGCTCCTTGAAGATCTGGTTCCAACTATATCTGGCAGATACTTGAAGATCTGGTTCCAACTATACCTGGCAGCTACTTGAAGATCTGGTTCCAACTATACCTGGCAGCTCCTTGAAGATCTGGTTCCAACTATATCTGGCAACTACTTGAAGATCTGGTTCCAACTATACCTGGCAGCTACTTGAAGATCTGGTTCCTACTATACCTGGCAGCTACTTGACGATCTGGTTTCAACTATACCTGGCAACTACTTGGAAGATCTGGTTCCTACTATACCTGGCAGCTACTTGAAGATCTGGTTCCAACTATACCTGGCAGCTACTTGAAGATCTGGTTCCAACTATACCTGGCAGCTACTTGAAGATCTGATTTACAATTAATATTTCCAATCCCCGCCATTTCCTCCAAGTGTTCCCACACACTGTTCAGTGTGACCACCAAATCCATGGGGACGCTGATAGCGGTCAGAATAGCCTGGAAATGAAGAAATATTATGAAAAGACAAAATAAATTATTTTCATCAACGGCCTTTCAAGCTTTGGGAAAATGTGATTACAGGGTTATCTGCAAAGACTTTAATAATGACCTAAAACTCTTTGAATATAAGAATTTGAAGTTTTAATTTAATGGGTCTATATCTGACAATTTCGTCGAAAAAAAATTAGGAAGTGTTAAAATGCGGGGAACCATGAAAGTAGGAAATAAGATTGATAAAAGGGTCTGTAAGAACAACTTTATGTGACACTCCTTGCAGGAATGGGAAAGCACGATTCACAACGGTACCCTTTAAAGCATGTGTCTGATAAGCAGGAATTAAATATCAATGTTTAGAATTTTTAATAGTTTTTTTTCAATTGTGGTTTCTCTACAAATGTGCATTTCTGCTGCAGGAAAACATATAGGAATTATCAAAATCATTAAACACTTTTAAATCTAGAAAAATGACAATATCTTTCACATTATTGATCATAACGGTTTTACGGATACCGTCTTTGCATGAAGGATCACATGAAATTTTGCTTACAGTCCCTTTAACAATTTCTTTCAGATTCCAATCAAATATAGCCCGAATAATATGTTTTTATTTTTAAAGAAAAAAAACGGTAACAATAAAAATTAGAAGTTTTATTTCTTTTAAATGTACTAATGTTTTGTTATGATTAATTATTACTGCAAAAAAACCTTAAAGACTAGATGACCAGGAACGGTTATACATGTATCTATATAAATATAAACTTTTACTGGCTATTGACAGAAAATATTTGCTAAACTTATTTATGCAAAACTTTGTGTTTAGTTTCAAAATGAAAAAGTTTTCAAAGATTTGTTACCTTCTGCATTTCCTCCTCTCTTGTAGCAATCTGTTCAGGGGTTTCCTTCGGAAGCTTCATCGCGGAGAAGAAATCATTAAATGCTTCCGTATCCTTGTCTACTAATTCAAGTACCCGGAGCATTGATCCATGCAGGGGAGGGAGCAATGCTCTCATCCTTGTATCAAGGTGAACCCATTGTTTCTTTCCGTAGGTTAGTTTTCCAACCATAGCTGCGAGAGCACAGCCCAGTGCTCCGACAAGAGCGGAGACGGAACCACCTCCGGGTGCAGCCGATCTTGATCCGACACTTTTAACAAAATCAGAAACAGTTTTAGAAATCAGAAGATTTTTTTCGTCCGTTTGAAGACAATACTCGATGATTCTCTCCTTAGGATTGAAAGGAGAAAGCGTGCTTAAGCCTAATCTATTGATTGCTAGATGAACTTTTTGATCTTCTTCAAGAACCATGAGTCCTTCCTTCTCAATATAGAACTCTGCAGCTGCAAGGATAGACTGGAGAGGAACTAGACCAACTAGCTCCGATCCTGTCACAGCCAAACCCAGCTCTGCTGCTCCTGACTTTGCTTCCTCATATGCAACATGCATCGGAGTAACATCCATATCTGTCAGGTTCAGGGAGATTTGAGCAATATTTGCCTCCTCCAACCACCAACCAATACCTTGGCAAGCCTTTAAACGACCAGGTTCAGATGGAGATCGTCCCTTCTCCCTGAGATCCAACGCGATCCTGTGCGCTTGCTCCTTAGTTGAGAGCATATTAACATTGTACGCGATGAGGAATTTCCGAACTCCGGTAACAGTTCCACCCCAAGACGGAACAAAACAAGGCTCTCCAAAATCCGGTTTCCATTCCGCTGCCTTGAGTTTCTCCTCCAATCCTTCGTATTCTCCGGCCCGGATTTGTGGCATAGTTTTCCTATAATCTTGGTTGGAAGCGGCTCCGTACAGGAAAACTGGTACCTTCAGTTCCTCTGCCAATCTTTCTCCGAATTTCTTGGAAACCTGAACACACTCCTCCACGCTTACATCACTAATCGGTATAAAGGGGCACACATCCAGCGCCCCCATTCTTGGATGCTCTCCCTTATGGTTCCTCATGTCGATGAGGGGAAACGCTGCTTTTGCCGCATTTAGTGCTCCTTCTATAATTGAGTCCGGGTTTCCGACGAAAGTGTACACAGTTCGGTTTGTGGATTTACCGGGATCTACATCTAGGAGGCTAACACCGGTCGTCTTCCTGATTGCTTCGGAGATAGCATTGATGATTTTCTCGTCGTTCCCCTCCGAGAAGTTTGGAACACATTCTATTATTTTGGGCATCTTGACTCAAGCAGCTGAGAGTTACTGGGGGAGGAGGACTGGAGAAATCCAGATTTTAGATTTACAGGGTGTATTAACAACGCATATAATGTCCCTATTATGTAAATAAATATTTTGTAGCGATTTAAGTACGCCAAAGTTAGATAATGTAGATTAGTATTGTATGATTTAGATTAAGTTTATTGTTATTACACCCTGTAGATTCACAGAGTGTAGGCATATTTTGGACTGGAATAATAGAAGATGAGATCCAAGGATGTGAAGATAAATTTAGAAAAAGTATAAAACATCGAACCAAGGAGAAAAATTAAACTTTTGTTTTAATTGAAACCATATCTTTTTTCGCAAATTGTGGTGACCAGAAATGCCTATTCTGGGTTTTTAAAAATATTTTTTATCACAATTTACAGACATAGATGTATGTAAACTTGAGCCTAGAGACAAACCTAGTCAAACCTGTTTCAGTTTTTATTCTGTCTTTATAAACGTCACTGCCCCTCAACACTTCTCACTTTCCTCCCCCTCCCCCTCCCCCTCCTTACCCCCAACTCTCCTCCCTTCTAAATCTATGCCTTTGACAAAGTACATATGATAGAAATAGATGCCCTTGGTACCAATGGACAAGTATCTTTGCTCTTGTTAAGTATTTTTGTATTTATATGTAGATTGTATACGTATATTCAGGGTGTCCCACATCATATTTTCTCGTTAATGGCTTTAAATTACGTTTTTTGGGAATAATCAGAAAATTTAAGAAGAATGTATCTATTCTAAAAATTGTTTAATGCTAATATAAAAATTTGCGTATTTTGGCGTTAAAGCTTGGAGATAATTCAATATGATATGGGACACTCTCTATCTTTAGACGTATATTTGCTCTTTAAATAGGTGATAAAGAAAAGTAAAAAAGAAAACCAATTAAATACATGCAAAAACTAACCAAATAGTATCATTAGGAATAACTAGCATTATATGTATAATACACATGGATTAGATTTTGTCATTAATATTCGTTAACAAACCATTTTCTGCAGATTTGTGCATAAATACAAGACTTATAGATAAAGAAATTGTGCTTACAATAATTTCAAATTTTTTTTAAAATAATTTTTCTTTTTGGAAAACTACACAGAGCTGAAAACTTTAGAATGGTGGATATCAGGATTAATGCTTAATCCACTCTTTTTCTTAATCTCCAGATTAAATATTGCTTATACTCCTCATGAACTTAATCTCCAGATTAATTAACAGATCGGGATTAAGGATATCACATTCTAAAGTTTTCATCTCTGAGCTGGAAACTTTTCTATTGTGATCTTTTGTCAATCTGCAGATTAATTTAATCTTAATTCGATATCCTGCATGTGGTAATTGTACCCTAAAATTAAGAAATTACGCAATGATCCTCAAATTAAAACTACCCGCAGTGGTTACCATAATAATTACAAAAAAAATAAGAAAAAATTATTATTTTTCTTTTGTTGGAAACAGAAAATATTTTGTACCCTGCACATGGATTAGGCAAAATTGCTTTTCAAGAAAAACATCTGTATCTTTGTCTTTTTTTATAAAAAGAAAAAACATATTTGGATATTTTTTTTCAGATAAAAATGAATAATGTAAGGCAGGAATATAAAATGAATAACTTTCTGAATTTGCTTCACTAGACTTTAAAGGTACATTAAAGAATAAAGTTTTCTAAGAACAAAACATTATTCTTTAAGAAAATGTATGTTGTTGCTTTCTTAAAGGAATAAATTTTACTGTGTGAAATTACTTACGTTCCCGCATCGTCCCTATATTGTAAAGAAATTGAGTTTTTGCCACAAACTCTGATTTTCTAATCCTTATATCTTTGTAAACCATTATGTCGTAAACCTGAGATATTTCAAACTATATGAATTCTGATCAAATAATTTAAGTTTAAATATCAAAGGTTGCTCAGATAAAGGGATTTAAAAATCTGAATTTGTGGCAAAGTCTCATTTCCTTTACGTTTTGATAATCTGTCAGGGAAGGGGCTACCCCCATGATTAGAAAAACAGAAGTTTGATTAGAAAAGCAGAAGTTTGATTAGAAAAACAGAAGTTTGATTAGAAAAACAGAAGTTTGATTAGAAAAGCAGAAGTTTGATTAGAAAACTGAAGTTTGATTAGAAAAAAATTTATTTTTATTAAACCCAATTTAAACATCTGATTTAAATGATTTTACGTACATTAAATGTTTGGGAGTAGATTTAATATATTTCATTTAACCTTCTTCAACCTCAACAATGTCCTCTCCTGGACCTCTAATCTCGGTACACATAGTTCCTATTTCAAACTGTCCCGGAATTGAGTATAGTAATGATCTTCAGCTAGATGATCGTCCGGTAGATGTTAGCAGATTAGTTAAAATTATAATAAGATTTTTAGATAATTTTTTGAAGAAATTAGAAATAATTGAAAACCTGAACAAAAAAAGTGGCTATTATACAATTTGCTTTGACCCCTCGAAAAATGAAAAATCTATACAGAGAGAAATAATTTGAAAATATAGAAATGTTGAAACTTGAAATTGGACTCGGCATTTCGCTTAAATTCTAAACTTGATGTTGGGAATTTCAGAAGTTGATATTAAAGACAGTAAAAGAATAAAACTCCAGCAGAATGTCTACAGAGTATTTTGGCTAAAACTAACCCCATTTCCTCATTTGTTTTTACAATCTTCATAATTTGGCCGATGATATTCAACAGAAAAATGGGATGAACTTAGCCCAAAATATTTTAGTTTTTTACATCTTCAATCTACCATAATAATAAAACGCTTTTTGAGTTTGTATTGGAAATTTTTTGGTGGATGAAACCTACTTTGGGAAATTCTACAATGGGGCCCATTAAGATTTGAAATTTGAAGACGACATTTAGTCTATTTTATTGATAGTCTTTTTATTTGATTTTTTTTATGGGTAAGCCTGTACTATTATTTACTAGCTCAAAGGCGTTGTCCGTGAAATTTTTTAAAATCAAACTTTGAAAAAAAAATTATTTATTTTTGAAAAAAATACCTTTTCGAAAAAAAAAATTTGATTTAAAAAAAATATATCGTAATTTTTTGGCCTTTGTTATCCCACAAGCACCCTTGAGTTCCCTCAAAAAAAATTTGCCTATTCAATCCAGCCGTTTGGCCAGCTATAGCTGACATAAATATATGAGCGAAGAAGTTTATTTTATAAAATATTTCCAAATCTTAAAAATCAATTATACAAATTGTATTTTATAGTTGTTGTCCTGAAAATGGAAGGAGATAAGCAGGAGGGTTTCAATGATAAACCTGAGATTGGATTGGAGGTTCAGAATGATGTTTTGAGAACCCAGGCGCAGGAAGGAAGCGAGGAGGAGAGAACAGAGGAAGGGAGAATACAGGAGAATGGAATTGAAGAACAAGAAAATAAAACAGAAAATATAAATGAGAAGGTAGGAAAAAAGGTAATTTTTTCAAAACCCCTTTTTGATTTTGTGTTCAGCCATGCTTAAGTATTTCAAAGTATGATACACGACTAAAGTATAATTACGTAGGTTTCCAACATTACACTTTCAGTCATTACTTAGTTACAAATCCGGTTGAAGCAATTCAGATTTTGAAAATTCATAAAAATTTAGCATTATAGTGTACACTATGTTTTAAAGATTTAGTGATGAGCTTGTTGTTTCTTTTTTATGATTTTTTAAGGCTTTTTGTACTTTAAAAAGATTCCAATGAAATCTAAGACATGTTTCGACTTTTTATGGATGCTCAATTTTACCAAAATCCACAGAAACAAAATTAAAATTCTCAAAATTCCTTTAAAGTTACAAAAAAAGTAATTGCTAATCCTTTTTTACAAAATACAAGTAAGGCGGAAATTTCTAAAAACTAAACAGCCTATTCGCTGTTGATTGGTAATAGTCTTACTTTTCAAAGACAACTGTGGCCGGAGAAAAAGCCGATTTTTCGTTCAGAATTTGAGCGGAAAGGGACGGTCCCTCTCTATAGACACTATTTGATGTTTTTTCAGTAACAGCAGCCCAATAAAATTTAAATTTATTATATTTTAATGTCATTATGTGTTCGTTATTATGTACTAAAATATGAAAACTTTTGATATTTGAGTTAGCAAGAAATTTACATTTTTCGTATTAAAACATGTAAAATGTGTATACAAAGACGACGTCTCTACGACAATCAATTAATCATTACTCGTATTTAGGTTCGTAGATTTTGTAAATTTTTTCCCGCATGTGCACAACTTTTCATTTGTCATGCCGCGTTCAATTCAGCTTTTTACACAGGCAATACACAATTTTGAATGCGATAAAATAGTGTTATTTTAGAAATAGAAAGTTAAAAAACAACAAAAATAAAAAAATAATGACATTTACAATTAACGATCAGATACTACAGTTTAATTTTATATTCGAAATTTATTTTGATCCACAACATACTGAAAAAAACATCAATTAGTGTCTATAGACAGGGACCGTCCCTTTGCGCTCGAATTCTGAACGAAAAATCGGGCACAGTTGTCTTTGAAAAGTAAGACTATTACTAATCAACAGCGAATATGCTGTTTAGTTTACCCTGAAATTACCCAAATAAGTGAACGGTCCCTTTAAAATTGTCTACAGACATGTCCCATTGTGATGTTTTACTAGAACCTTATTGCATATTACCCAGATACCGCATCTGTTTATTACATTAATTAAGTAGGGAACACTATTTGTATAGAATAAGAGTGGAGGAGAGGTAGAAAGAGAGAAGGGGGGGGGGGTCCAGAGGAAGGTTTTTAGATAGACATACAATTGTATTAAAAAAGAACTTATATTCCATGTTTGACGACTGACAATTGCTTTTTAGATACGCTTACCAAGTTTTTGTAAATATCTGTTCATCTAAATATAAAGATTATTACTGATAAGATAAACCACTGTATACTCCGGTTCGTTTCAAAAACAGGGCCGACTTTTAAGCAGCAAGAGAAAGCTTTATAATGTACCGTACACAGACGGCTACGACCTCTTTTTTCATGTACAATGATATCCTTTAATTTAATCAACAAATACCTTCCTGTCTAAAACTATTGGGGATAAAAAAGAAGGGAATAATATTTATATAAGGGGTAGCAAATGTACCTTTTCTCACTGATATATCTCGCAAATTGTAATAAAATTATTTTTTTTTAAAAATTCTTGATAAATGATTAAATCGAGTTTTACTTTTTAGGTGAACACAGGTAGGTCATCTGGTTCTCCCTGCTCTCCCTCCTACCCTCATTCTTCTGGTTCTCCTGGATCCCCTCCATCTCCTGGTTCTCCCCCTTCTCTACCTTCTCCTCCTAGCTCTAGTTCTCCGGGTACTCATGAAGTACAGACCACGCAGAACCAGATAATGGGTTCAATCAGGTATTAGAGAATTAATTTTACACCACATTTCAAAATCCAGAGAAAAAACGGTGTAAAGGAATTGAGTTTTTGTCACAAACTTAAATTTTAGAATCCCTATAACTTTGCAACCTGACGGTGTAAACCTTTGATATTTTTAACTTAAACTGTTTGATCTAACAGAATTTATATATTTGAATGTCTAAGGTCTACGACATAGGGTTGCAAAAATAAAGGTATTAGAACATCAGAGTTTGTTGTTTAGCCTTTTAAGATTAGAATATGGATTAAAAACTTATCAAAAACAAGGCAGTAGAACATTTAAGTAGTTTGATTGCGAATCCGCTGTGATTATATATAAAACTAGCTTAGGAACCCAGCACTTCCCAGGTTACTCCCGCCGTTTACCCGCACTTAAACGATTTTACCGGGAAACTAAATGTTTGCTATAAAAGTTGACCCATTCATTTTAGAATCCAAAAACCAAGCTAAGAACATTCCTGTGGATCTCCCGAGTTCTCCAATCAAATTCAGGCAAATCGGTCCAGAGGTTCCTAAGTTATGATTGGACAAACAAACCGACAGACAAACAGCGATTAATTACAACTTTATATAAATAGATAGTATGACTACAGGTTTAGTATTCAAGTTGACTGAAATTACTTAATAAACTTAATGACCTTTAAACTTGAAAATGTTGCATGATATTCTTGAGATATTAGATAGAATATATAATTTAAACCATGTATATAAAATATAATTTAAACTATGTATATATTGTATTAAATGACATTTGCAGTGTATTTCCCTCTGCCTTAAATTGTTTTAAGAAATTAGAAATTAATTTTTATTGTTTAAAAAAAAATGTTCTAAGTTTATGTTATCAACTCAATGTCTTTGCCTCGAACTCGGGTTTTCTAATTCTTTTAACTTTCCAACCCAATGTCATAGACATTTAATGTTTTAAACTATGAATATTGTTAAATAAAATAATCTAAGTTTAAAGTATCAAAGGTCGACACCATCAGGTTGCAAAGATATAGGAATGAGAAAATGTTTTACAGTGTACACAGTTAAAAAAAAAGTGTTTCCCGGAATTTTTAAATCTTGAAATATTTCGAGTGTCGTGAATTTTGCAGAAATAAAAGAACAAAAGGAATTATACCTCATAGAAAATACTAATGATGGCTTAATGGTCTATAAGAAGGGTAATTTGCTGAGTATAAACCGCACAGTGGGGAAACTGCTCGAAATAAAATATAAAACGGACTTTTAATTGTATTCTTTTAACCAACAAATGGTAATTAGGGGTTTTGGAACCCTTTTATGCGCTTTAAAGTTTTACATTGGACCAAGGCATAAATTTTTTATTTTTTATTTTGGAGGAGATCCTGTTTCTCACATTTTTTAAACCTTGTTTCTAATTTAAACAGGGTCAAAATATTAGAATAATTTTATATCTTCTATATATATATATAAAGTTGTAATCTAGCTCCGATAATAACTCAGGAACCACTGGACCAATTTGCCTCAAATTTTCGATTGGTGAACTAGCAAGAACTACGGGAATGATCTCAGCTTGGTTTTGAGTTTTTAAGTGGGTCCACTTTTATCTGGAAAAATATCTAAAATCGTAATTTACGACCACGTGCGGGTAAACGGCGGAGTAACAATGAGTACCCTGGACAACGCTGGGTTCCCAAGCCAGTATATCTTCTATATAGTAAAGCGCTTCGCACCTATAAACATATATATATATATACCAGCTATAGCTGGCAAAACGGCTTGACAAAATGGGTTGACATTTTTTTAGGAATAATAACAAAGGCTCAAAAAAATTCAAAACAATTTTCTTTAAAAATTGATTTTTTAACTCTAAAAAATCTAAATATTTTGTTGTTGTTTAAAATTAGATTTTTAAAAAATTTCACGGTCATTGCCGGGCAATTCAGGTAGTATATGATATAATTGGTAATATTCAATGACAAATTATGTCTAGTATAATTTTTTCTTTAAAAACTGAGTACTAACATAGACCTCAGCCATATTAATGATAAAATTCCGTCAATCTAATCAATTAATCCTTGGAACTTGCACAATCATCTTGGCTCCACATTTTACATTGCAGCAAAGAGCTGCCTGTATAGTTCAATTAGAAAAAAAACAGAAGTTAGATTAGGAAAACAGAAGTTCTTTAAGAAGAACAGAATTTTAATTAGAAAAACAGAAGTTCGATTATAAAAACAGAAGTTCGATTAGAAAAACAGAAGTTCGATTAGAAAAACAGAAGTTCTTTAAGAAGAACAGAATTTTAATTAGAAAAATAGAAGTTCGATTATAAAAACAGAAGTTCGATTAGAAAAACAGAAGTTCGATTAGAAAAACAGAAGTTCTTTAAGAAGAACAGAATTTTAATTAGAAAAATAGAAGTTCGATTAGAAAAACAGAAGTTCGATTAGAAAAACAGAAGTTTGATTAGAAAAACAAAAGTTCGATAAGAAAAACAGAAGTTTGATTAGAAAAACAGAAGTCTGATTAGAAAAACAGAAGTTTGATTAGAAAAGCAGAAGTTTGATTAGAAAAACAGAAGTTTGATTAGAAAAACAGAAGTTTGATTAGAAAAGCAGAAGTTTGATTAGAAAACTGAAGTTTGATTAGAAAAAAATTTATTTTTATTAAACCCAATTTAAACATCTGATTTAAATGATTTTACGTACATTAAATGTTTGGGAGTAGATTTAATATATTTCATTTAACCTTCTTCAACCTCAACAATGTCCTCTCCTGGACCTCTAATCTCGGTACACATAGTTCCTATTTCAAACTGTCCCGGAATTGAGTATAGTAATGATCTTCAGCTAGATGATCGTTCTGCAGGCATTCCTACAGACCTCATCTTGCATTCGCGTAAAAAAAGTTGAAACTAAGCTATTATCAGAGAAACAGAAGCAATTTTTGAGTTCAACATTTTCTGGAACACCTGGCTATTGACGGTTTCCTCTTTTCAATTGAAATACAGAGAAGGTTTCTTGCACTCCTGCACTGCAACTAGGACTATAAGTGAGGCCGATTTTGTGTCTTTTTGGTTGACCATGCACCTAGATAAACCGATGGTGTCGAGATTATTTGGACTTTTTAACATGTGATTTTTTTAGCCAAATTAATCCTTTTCTTTGATTAACAAGATTTCAGCAGGTTTAAAACCTTAGTGCAGAAGGTCAGACACTGATTTTGGGCAAAAGTCTGTTAATAAAAAAAATTCCTTTAGACATATTTTTTCTTAAACAAGTTTCTAGTGGTCTCCTGTTGACAGTAGACACATTATGACAGATTAAAAAAAACTTTCCATCGTTACTACGCATACGCATATTTGGTCATTGAGTAAATAAATTGAGAACCTCCCAAACCATAATTCTGATATTTTGACCGTCTTTATCAAATATTGTTAGATACAAGCAAGACCCCATCCAGAGTTAAAAGTTGGACTTGGGCTCGAGACTTTTAAATTATAATAGTCAGAGCTCCAAAACCCTAGTCAGAGTAGTCAACCATATAGATTAAATATGTTAATCAAATGGTTAAATGTGGTTACATAAATTAAATGGCTAATCAGCTGAAGATCAATAAAATGAGAATAATTTGCAACTGGAACACAAGTTAATAATATTTTATTAAACTTTATTATCATGTTTTAAAAATGGGAAATTTACGATTTGCAAGAATTATCAAATAAAAAAGTTGTTATTTGTTTTGATAGTGGAAACCTTGTATCTAAAATTCCGGGATAAAATATTTTAGATTTTTTGTGACTCTTACGATCAAAATACTTTTTGTGGGATAGATATTTGTTTTGTGAAATGGAAAAAAGACAATTAAAAAATTCCGGGATAAAATATTTTAGATTTTTTATTTGTCACTTTTACAATCAAAATATTCTTTGTGGGGTTTAGTAAAATGTAAAAAAGCCAATTATTAAGGCATCACTTCATTTCCATACGGTCATGTTCAATTCCTAAAACCACAAAAGTGAAAGCTAAATTTTATTATATTTATTCAAATATTTTATGAATGGGGACATATGAGTATTGGGGGGGGGGGGGCAGCCAAAATGAGTTTATTCCATAAACCTCTTATTTACGTCAAATAAGGCTTGGTCGCTTAAGTTTTGAGAGAAGTCTTTATGTTATCTAAATTTTTCAGTTAAGAATTTCGAATTTTGTGTGTTTTCAGGAAACTTGAATCTCCGCCACTATCAGACCGTCCGGCGGACGAGAGAAACGGCGGTTTAACAACAGAACGCAGCAGCGGGTGTGAGAAGAACACCATTACAGCATGCAGTGACGGAAACGGAACCGCCGGCGGGTATAGGAAAAGCTCGACTAAAAATGGGATTGTTGGCGGTATGTCGATACTTAGAGCGGTTGAGGGAAACGCTGCGGCCATGTCCTCACTTTTTCCAGGTTAGATATTTCTCATATTTCTAATATATCCATGATAGATATTTTTAATAGTATTTAATAGTACCAAAATAGATTTTCTAACATTTCCATCATATATATTTCTGATATTTCCAAAATTGACATTTATCACATTTCTTAAAGAAACTGGACAGGATTGTTGCAAGATCTCTAAGGAAGAACTACACGAACAAAATTTAAGAAAAATAAAGCAAAAATTCTTGATCTACTGAAACAAGAAATATTTCTGCAAGATTCCCCCAGGAATTCTTGATCTACTGGAACAAGAAATATTTCTGCAAGATTCCCCCAGGAATTCTTGATCTACTGAAACAAGAAATATTTCTGCAAGATTCCCCCAGGATTCTTGATCTACTGAAACAAGAAATATTTCTGCAAGATTCCCCCAGGACTTTGCAAAGAAAGCCTGCACAATACTCCCATTTTTAATAAAGATATATTAGAATATAATATTTGCAAATTTTACAAATTACACTGAGAACCTTGCAAAATGACATTGCAACAATTTTTTGACAACAGTAGATAAATTGTTCCAATGTCATTAAATTAACAAATTCAATTATACTGAATTATACTCAGGGGAAATACATGTTATACAGCTGAAGAAAATCTACAAAATAGATTTACAGATTGTTTAATTATTTCTTCTTACTTAATCGATCTTAAAATTTGATATGATTATTGGTTGTTGTTTATGCCCGACGGTTTCAAATTTTCGATGATATGGAAGCTTAAAAATTCATGAAAGTTCGACACTAGCTATTAATATCAGTTAAAAATAAAAAATAAGATGAGTTTGTAAGATACGCTCAAGAAATATACGTATCACCAAGAAATATGATATATGGAACTTCAATAAAATAAAGTGTACCGTAGTTTCTGGGATGAATGAAAACAGAGCCCGGATCGTCCCAAATTAACGGTTCGATTTAAGACGTACTTTGTACTCTCTAACGTTTGGCCGCTAGATGTCTCCCTAATTATAGGTGACAGCAAATAATCTGATACTGAGTTTTTGACACAAACTTAATTTTATAATACCTAAATATCTTTGCAACCTGATGGTGAAAACCTTTGCTATTTTAAACTTAAACTGTTTGATCTAACAGAATTTATAGTTTGAAATATCAAAGTTCAACCACCTCGGGTTGCAAAGATATAGGGGTTAGAAAATCAGAGTTTGTGGTAAAACTCTTTTTCTCCACTATGATTTCTATTTGTATTCGCCCACAGTGGTTGCGCCTCACCGTACTTAGGACGGACACAGTCAAAGACGTCATATGTTTAAAAAAACAGATGGGACGATCCTGGCTCAGAACTGCGTATGTTTACATTTCTTCCAGATACTGCAGTACATTTTATTTTATGCGAGTTTCTGTTATATTCCTTGAATTTATCTTTATTTGATATTTATGAAGAATTCCTCAACAAATCTTAAAGAATTTATTGTATCGTATCTACAACTTGTTTAAATTATGTATTTACTGTAGTTTCTCTACACAACAAATGTAAATAAAGCTGTGGGGTATATCTGAGCCCAAAATTTAAGACAGGGTATCGTCATGAAACCTGAGCCCGTTTTCTCTATAGATAGTGGTTGTGAAGTTTACGTACTTTGGGGGACGATAGTTTGGCCGCTAGATGTCTCTCGTATGAATTATCTATCTATCAGATAAGAATTTTGCGTAAGACGTCTAGCGGCCAAACTATCGTCCCCTAAAGTACGTGAACTTCACGACCACTGATCAAACATTATTATAGAGAGAACGGGCTCTGCTGTCGGTTTCTTGGGGGGTAAGATAATTTTGTAGATATCACTGTCAAGGTGGGCAGTATTATTATATATGTTTGGTTTTGTTTTATGTTACAATTTTCGGGGTTATACATTAATATCTGAACAAATCATAGACCTCAAAAAGTAAACTCCGTCACTTAGATACGCTCATTGTACACAAATAAGAATGAACTTCATTGATATTTACCCTATTACAACAAAAACATTTATATTTCAGATATGAGGTTTTCTTGGGAGATTAAATCAGGAATAACGAAATCAAAAATTTCATTCCGTTTTTTAGATTTGATTTTTTCTAAAAATGTGGCCGAAGGTTAAACAGCGAATCAAGCAAATACCTTTATTTTTGTGTCTCTGAGAACTATGTATTAAATAATTTTGTCTTGGACAAACCAGCTTGGTGGTCGTACCCTGCAGGGATATCTTTAATTATCTCTCAAATGTGAAAGTGGTCTTCGTGGATATCGAGATCAAGCGTTGTTATAGATTAGCGGTAATTCGCAACTCATAAGTTTTGACCTCTGCGCATTTACGAAAAAACATCAGTTGAAGCAAATTAAAAATAACAAAACTTTATAATTGTTCAAAAAAGAATTGTGCAGACATTTTTTCCCCAGTTTTCTGGTCATCTGACGGTACTAACTATTACTAGATGCATATATTTGCATCTTTTAATTTAAAAAAATTCATTTTTATATAACGTACCTCTATTTACATTTTACATTTGAAAAAATTTTTTAATTCGCCAATTTTTCATGATAAAGAGGTTCTGCACAGGCCTAGAAGCGATGCAAAAATTCCTAATTTATTTGCAGACTAGAGTAAAAACATTTTATGAAAGGAGGTTTTTGCCACTCAAAGTATCATATGACTGTTCCTTGTCATATCTTACAATACAACTAAATTCAATATTTTATATTCTATTTACACTTAATAACATCTAAAAAATCTAAATATTATATAATTTATCAAATTTGAAGATGTTAATCGTTTTAATGATAAAAGAAGTAGAGCAAGAAAGTTAATCCTACAACATTTTGAAATCATAATCTCTTTTTGATTATTTGATTTCGTTAATTATTACATTTGGAAACTCATTCTTCTTGATAATTATTACATTTGGAAACTTAATACTTCTGTTAATTATTTGATTTGGAAACTTAATTTAAGGAATACTCTTGATAATTATTACATTTGGAAACTTCATGCTTTTGTTAATTATTACATTTGGAAACTGAATCCTTCTATTAATTAATTAATTTGGAAACTTAGTCTTTTTGTTAATTATTATATTTGGAAACCTATACTTCTTGATAATTATAAAATTTAGAAACTTAATCCTTCTGTTAGTTATTTGATTTGGAAACTTAATCCTTTTGTTAAATATTTCACTTGGAAACTTATCATTCTTGATAATTATTACATTTGGAAACTTAATTTTATTGTTAAATATTAAATTTGGAAACTTAATCCTTTCGTTAATTATTTGATTTGAAAACTTAATTTTATTGTTAATTATCAGTTTTAGAAACTTGATTCAATTGTTAATTATAAAGATCTAAAAACTTAATTCCATTGTTAATTATTACATTTTGAAACCTTATTCGATTTTTAATTATTAGATTTGGAAACTTAATCAAATTGTTAATTATTAGATTTAGAAATTTTATTCAATTGTTAATTATTAGATTTGGAAACTTAATTTGATTGTTAATTATTTGATTTGGAAACTTAATTCAATATTATCAGATTTGGAAACTTAATTAAATTGTTAAATATTAGATTTAGAAACTTAATTCAATTTTTAATTATTAGATTTAGAAATTTAATTCAATTGTTAATTATTAGATTTGGAAACTTAATTCAATTTTTAATTATTAGATTTAGAAATTTAATTTAATTGTTAATTATTATGTTTGGTAAGTTAATTCTCTTTGGAACTATTACGTTTGGAAACTTAATTTTGTTAATTATCACATTTTGAATCTTTTCTTATGAAAAGTTTTAAAACCCGATATATTTGTTGATTTCGTAAAGTTTTAAAACCCGATATATTTGATGATTTCGTATAGTTTTAAAACCCGATATATTTGTTGATTTCGTAAAGTTTTAAAACCCGATATATTTGTTGATTTCGTAAAGTTTTAAAACCCGATATATTTGTTGATTTCGTAAAGTATTAAAACCCGATATATTTGTTGATTTCGTAAAGCTTTAAAAACCGATATACTTGTTGATTTCGTAAAGTTTTAAAACCCGATATATTTGTTGATTTCGTAAAGTATTAAAACCCGATATATTTGTTGATTTCGTAAAGCTTTAAAAACCGATATACTTGTTGATTTCGTAAAGTTTTAAGATCCGATATATTTGTTGATTTCGTAAAGTTTTAAAACCCGATATATTTGTTGATTTGGTAAATGCGATCAGTGGACGCAGTCTTCAACAATGGACTAACCAGGATAAACGATCTGAGTAAAGAAGCGATTCTGCAAGCGATAAAAGACCAAGATTTGCGATTTCTCCAGGTATTGTGCAGTGGTGTGCGATTATATCAATATAATAAAGACGACTTTGTGTTTAAATTTTAATTGTTAACAAGCTTTCTCCGAATTACAATTTTACAAGTAATTAAAGAGAAGCTTTTTAATTGACAGCTTTGTTAACATGTTCTTGTGTATTCATGCTGCTTAAAATCGAAAGTCGTCTTCCTTATATTGATATAATCGCCTACCACCTTATATTATGCTAATTACAAAAATGAGTGCTTATTCCGTACTTTTAATGGCGGAACTAGTGGTTCTTTTTTATTCATTTATTCCTCGTAAAACGTTCTGTATAATTAATCATAACATTTTATAAATCATTCTTTTTTCCAATAGTATTTGTTTTGTTACTTTATTATGTTCTTTTGTTGAATGTACATAATAAATTTACACATTGGGCATTAAAACGTTTTAAAGAAAAGACGTTTTTCTCTCAAGTCTAAATAGGGGAGAGAAACCCCGGTTTTTGTGACGATTAAAATAAAATATCAAAATATCGAGGAAAAAAAATCCGTACTCAACAGCCCAGAGCTATAGAGCGGTTTTCCATATTTGCAATTTTGATGAACTTATTTCATATTTTGTATCTTTAAAGTGTTTGCCTTGCTAATAAGCGCGTTGTAGCAAAAATACATATCTATACTATACTATATCTATACATATATATGATTCTTGAGTTAGTAAGGTACCCAAGCAACAAACTGTTAAAAGACTTCAAAGTCAACCCTGTCTTAAAAGTTGATGAATAATTTTGTTATATCTGCCTGGACCTCTGTTCGTTTACTTGAGGGGAAAAGAGAAATTGTTTTAAGTTTTGTTTATATTTTACCATGATGTATTAAGACAGCTGAGGAACTAGTCTTGCTATCAACAAACACCAGTGAGTAAACAGGGATTCCTAACATTATTCCGTAATTCCAAACTTCTTGTTGTTTTTATTAAAACTAGTTGCTAGCTGGCTTTATACGTCATACGTACCCTTGTTTTAACTATCCTAGAGCCTCCGCGTCCAATCCAATCCTGTATCATTGACACGTCTTTATCGGGGAGGCTGGATCTTAGCTACTTCTCCGGTTGTATGAGCCTGAGTGTACACTTGGGATAGTTTACTGATAATGGATATTAAGAGATTATGGCCTATTCATACAGTACAAGCATCAAATATCCAGTACGCTTTCGGAGTACAAGTGTATGGGGGTTTTGTATCTTGAATTTTACTCAGTTCATGCTCTGGTCCGTTTATTAACGATGAAACATTGCTCTGTAAAAGACTGTAAATGTACGTCTTCCTGCGAAAATGGAATCCTGCACACGATACAGGAGTAGCGGATCTTAATAGTTACATAGAAAACAAATTCTTCATTTAAATATTTTCAGAAATCACCCCCGAGTACTATAATAGATTGACCTTTGGAAGTGAAGTACATGGCCTGTACAATTAGTAAAGGATAAGCGTACATAATCACTCTATATACTATTAACTCGTTGGTATTTATAACCAAAAGAGATTTGATTTACTCTCTCACTATCTTTTTTTTAAATTCAATTATCCAATCAGAGTAATAAGGTGCTTTTAGCGTTAAACAATGAACGAAATCATCTATTAGTTAAAGTATAGTGTTTACAACCCACTTCTCCGTAGTTCTGATCACATTTCAAATTCTTCTGTTCCCGGAGTAAAATTCCCATTATTAAGTCAATAGCAAGTGTCACGAAAAAATATCACCTCTTTTGATATAATTATAGAAAGTACAAGAAATTTACTCAAATTCATCTAAAAATATTTGGTTACTTATCAGCAATTTAAAACTTTTTTCTTCTCCTCAAAAACTCAAGAAAAAAAAACCTTTCTAATCCTTCTTCTTTATTGAGATTTAATACACTTAAGAGGAAATTACAATTTTATATTTGATATAACTAGAATTTTATGAAATACTATCTTAGAATTTTATTTTAGGACGAGAGTAATCGAACCCTGCTCAGCGAGAAGAAATTTAGCAAGGAATGTATTCGATCCTGTGTACAGGAGACCAGGTAATATATACTGTACATGTACAGGAGACTATGTAATGTAAACTGCATACTGACGTGTATAGGTAATATAAACTGTACAGCGTATATATACAGGAGGCTAGGCAATGTACATGACAGTGAGACTAGGTAATAAAAAATATCTGTACATTGCACATGTACAGGAAACCAGGTAATTTAAATTGTACAGTTTAAACTGACTGTTCACTTGTAAGCTATAAACTTACAATGAGTTTTAATAAGCTGTCAGACCAAACTATGTATACGCAGATTATGCGTATACATAGTTTTTTATTCCTTGATTATTGTTTGTTGGCAGTTTCACAACTTCTGATAAAGTTTCAACAATCCAACCTTATTATTTTTACCGCATACAAACTCAAGAAGAAACAATATTCAAGAAGAAAAGCAATGGGATTAAACAGAAACGCATAAAAAATGATCGAATACTTATATTTCTCCTGAGCTAAATTTTAGGACAACCAGCCCTGCTTAGGTGGGTCTAAACTATATATATGAAAGTTTGCCTCTAGATTAAAATACATAGAAAATGGTTTTATATCAAGTATTGAGTGTTAAACAATATCCTTGATTTTGCTGGATATTTCATCTGAATAGAAAGAATCATTACAGAAATCCAGGAAAACCATTAAAAAGAGTATTTGCGGATTTTCAGTTCCATACCTTAGATTCAATCAATCTTGAATCGTGGTGTATGTAGAATGTTTAGTTTTTTATTAAAATTTTATTTCATTGAATTCTAGTGTGAAATATAAAACGTGTGATGCATCTGTATTCCAAGGAGTTTAGTCGTCGTTACAAACTCAAATTTTCTATCCCTATACCTTTGCAATCTAATGTCGTAATCATTAGATATTTTAAACCAGAAATTATGTTGGATCAAAATAACTAAGTTTGAGATATCAAAGGTTTACACCATCAGGTTGAAAATATATATATAACGTTTAGAACAATTTGAGTTTATGGCTATGACCCCATTCCTTTAATAACTTTCTTCATTGTACATAACTTTAACTTAAACTTAAAATTCCAAAAAAGAGGTAATAGGGACGGTCTGATGACCAGTCTGTTTCGTCCAAAATGTAACTTTACTGAAAGAAAATTTTGCATTTTAGACATAAAAAATCTAAGTGTAAACTAAACTTCTCCTAAACTAAGCGTCCGAAAATATTTCAGTGTCTATTTTTAAATGAAACCTGACCACATAGTAATAATATTAATAATAATATAATAATAATAATANTAATAATAATAATAATAATAATAATAATAATAATAATAATAATAATAATTATAATCATTATAATAATCTTCTTGTTATAGGAATATCGCTCTGATAGAAGAGCTTCTTGGTTTCTTCCTGACAGCAAACGATGAAACCCGCAGAAATGTTCATGTTCTCATCAAGGAGGCAATTTCAACCACAATCCGGTATATTACTATAGTTTCAGTAGAAGTAAATATTTCAACCACAGTCCGGTATACTACTGTAGTTTCAATAGAAGTAAATATTTCAACCACAATCCGGTATATTATATTGCAGTTTCAGTAGAAGTAAATATTTCAACCACAATCCGGTATATTATACTGTAGTTTCAATAGAAGTAAATATTTCAACCACAATCCGGTATATTATACTGTAGTTTCAGTAGAAGTAAATATTTCAACCACATTCCGGTATATTATACTGTAGTTTCAATAGAAGTAAATATTTCAACCACAATCCGGTATATTTCTGTAGTTTCAGTAGAAGTAAATATTTCAACCACAATCCGGTATATTACTGTAGTTTCAGTAGAAGTAAATATTTCAACCACAATCCGGTATATTATACTGTAGTTTCAATAGAAGTAAATATTTCAACCACAATTCGGTAAATTATACTGTAGTTTCAATAGAAGTAAATATTTCAACCACAATCCGGTATATTATACTGTAGTTTCAGTAGAAGTAAATATTTCAACCACAATCCGGTATATTATACTGTAGTTTCAGTAGAAGTAAATATTTCAACCACAATCCGGTATATTACTGTAGTTTCAGTAGAAGTAAATATTTCAACCACAATCCGGTATATTACTGTAGTTTCAGTAGAAGTAAATATTTCAACCACAATCCGGTATATTACTGTAGTTTCAGTAGAAGTAAATATTTCAACCACAATCCGGTATATTACTGTAGTTTCAGTAAAAGTAAATATTTCAACCACAATCCGGTATGTTATACTGTAGTTTCAGTAGAAGTAAATATTTCAACCACAATCCGGTATATTACTGTAGTTTCAGTATAAGAAGTAAATATTTCTATTTACTGTTTAGCCCTGATATAAGGATTCATATTTCATTGGATGATGAGAAAGATAGAAAGATAGATGATACTGCCATACTATTTCTATTGGTTCAGAATAGACATCAAACACATGTCTGAACCCTGATTGGATCAGGCGCTAATGGACTCGGATACAAATGTGATGACTATCATATATTGATCATAGGCACAACATTTGTTTGGATATTAATGAGCTAAAGATTTCTACAGGAACTCGAGGAAGATAAAGTCTGTGTCTACTGTCTACTACAGTAGAAGGATGTCGTCTTCCTTCTTTCTTTTAAGTTTAAAATGTCATTAAGAATGTTGTTAAAACTGACATATTTCTATAAATGTGTATAGTGTTTTTTCAGAAATTAAGTATTTCGTAAAAAAACCCTTTACACTTTTTAATCCCTAATAATTACCCAATAATAATTAAATTTATATCGCAATGTATTCAGTGTATGTTAGGACTACATTATCAAAATATTATTGGATTTGGTCAACCCTGATCTGAATGACATATTTTTATCTCTTGGGGATGGAACTGATCTACAGTGATCAGCTTACCTGCAGAATTTCCTGTTCTCGCCACACTGTGTCACTCCTGTATGCCGAGTCCATTAGCGCCTGATCCAATCAGGGTTCAGTCATGTGTTTGATGTCTATTCTGAACCATTAAAAATAGTATGTCGGTATCATATATTTTTCTATCTATCTCATTATCCAATCAGTGTTATGAATTCTTCAATCGGCGTAATCAGTAAATGGAAATATTTACTGCTACTGAAACTATAGTGGTGTTTCAGTTGACAGCTTTTCACATTTTCACCTGGCAGCGTTTTTTTCTAAGTTGGCCTGATTATCAGTTAAAAACTAGAAGGCGACAGCTGTTTTATTGTTACCATTGTAGCTGTCTAATGTCCACTGTCAGAGTGCACAATACAAGAATATTGAATAAGCTCTATTAGCTACAGGGTGTCCCATGAAACATTACAGTTGGTAAATAGTTTAAAATGTCTTTTTCCATAATTTGTTAAGTTTTTTGATACCAAAGAGATTAATACAAAGTATTTTATGGCCCAGTTTGATTATGTAGTAAAAACTTGATTTCATAGAAAAATGTATTTGAGTAAAAGATTTTTTAACGAAATGAACTGCAAAAATACCAACTGTTGTGTGTCACGGGACACCCTGTATGTATAGTAGAGACCTGTAGACTCTAATACAACAATCCACATGCATTTGTTTTGCAAGCCTGCACATTATTGCAGAGTTTAGGATAAAAGTAACTAAACCCAACTCCATTATATAAATTCTTGTTTATCTTCTATAATAAATAATTTTTATTTCCTGTTCCAGGCTTAATGGAGATAAACTTGTGATTGGCCTACTAGAGTTTCTACAGAACGACAAGGTGCTTGGCTTTATTTTTTAGTCTTTAATCAATTCAAAAAGATGTTTTATTTGATTTCAAGGATGGAATTAGAACTGGAAACTAATGTAAAATTATATACTATAAACGTGCTTTTAACTGACCCTCCGCGCACAGATAATTGTGCTATAGGACTTGAAACCTTAATCTGATCATAAATGTGGAAAACTTGAAAAGTATTTTTCTGTGATTTACTCCATTGCTTCTTATAAGCAAGAAATGCGTAAGTCACTTTAAGCCACAAATGAAAATAAACAGTTTATATAAACAAAACATGGATATCTAATTCACACTTGATCAGACAAAGGGTACTTTTTTTAATCGGGAATTGACATCTTTGCTTGATGGGTCACTTGAAATTTCGCTTAAAGTCTTTTTAATAACTTAATTTTTTAAAATATGTACACAAAATCCTTTCTGAATATGTGTTCGGCGAAACTAAAAATAAAATTCAAAATTTCAATTTTGGAGGCGTCAGAAACGTATTAAAGAGCAAGGAAAGGTCCGGGATTCCGTGGGTGAAAAATTCCGGGCTCCGGATGAAAAAGGCGATTATTAATGATATTTCTATGCAATTAATGTATGTATAAAAGGAAAATATAATTATACAATCAAAGAACATATTTTAAATATATATTAAGCCATAATTATTTGAACCACTGCACTGCAGAGAATATAAAAGTATTAAAATTCCCAATATGAAACTGTAAGAGAATGACAAAACTTTTAATTCTAACTTAAATATTCAAAAAACCAAACTGCTCAACTATCCTTCTCTTCTATTTATTGACTACTGTGTGATTCTTTACCTTACTTGAAATAAATCTGAACTCAAAGTTCTGGTCTCAAATAAACTAGTTAAAAGCACAGAGGATATTTTATTTCTCTTGAACATTAATCAACACAAATCCTTAAAAACTAAGTACGAGGGAGAAAATACATGAATACGAGCCTTCAGAGTAAAAGAATCAATCAAAAAGAACTAAGCTAAACTTAAATAGAAAAGGGGAGCAAAAGCGAAAAGTAATAAAGAAAACTTCAAGACCTGAATAGGAAGAATCACGCGCAGTTTCACTCTGGAGAAATTTTTGCTCTGAACTCCGCTTGGGGAGAAATCAAGCCCCCTTTTATACTCCCAAGGGAGCAGGAACTGCGCGCGATAATTGAACTATTCCGATTTTGATTGGTTGGTTACATTTATAATGATACATAATTGGGTAGTAAGGGTTCCTATTGGAGGGGAGAAAAGAGTTAGGTACTTTTTTTAATTATCTTAATTATCGTAATTGCGTTGCATGAGATATGATTGGCTCTAACAGAAAACAGGAGCTTTATAATTGCTCAAAAAGGGGGACAAATTTCACCATGGGGTAATTATAAGCAATTAAACTCTAGAATGTTTAGTTTAAAACAACATAATACGAGTCACAATATTAAATACAAGCTAGAAATATGGAAACACATACAAAACATTCTTTTTTATAACTTTTTTTTCTCCAAAAAAATTTTTTAAGGGACTGTAAAAGGTAATTTCAATTAACCTTTTATTTAAAGAGGATTATCCTAGTTTCAGAGCGATACCCTTTAAACCTTTTTCTGATCAAGGTTGTCCCTGTTAATCTACAGGGTGTCCCACATCAAATTAGACCGCGTCAATGGGTCTAAATTACGATTTGGGGGATTAATCAGAAAATTTAGGAAGAATAAATCATTTTGAAAATTTTGATAAGGATAAAAGAATTTTTTCGAGTATTATGTGCGAATTTTGGCGTTGAAGATTGGAGATAATCTAATATGATATGGGACCCTCTGTACTAAGCGCTTTTAATTGCTAACCACTTAATGCTTGCAAGCTGTCATATTTAAAAATATCATGCAATAGATACTTTTTAAAAGTTAGAAAAAAAGTGGCAAAAAATAAAAATTTACTTTTGAATCTTTGAAAACACTGTTAAAATAAAACAGTCAATTGGGTTTCAGCAAGTAACAAATCACCTGTTTGAGTTCAGACTGTACACAGCGTACAGTCCTCTTTCTATAGAGGGTCACTTGAAATTACGCTCACAGTCCCTTTAAAGGGACTGTAAAGGAAAAATGAAAGGAGGTGTAGGATGAAACCTGAGAATCTCAGTTGTCGAACGATACTTAACAGGCATCTATCTAATGTTCTTGTCTCGAGAAATTGACATAAAACTGTGTTAAAATTATACCATAACGTAAAAAGTTAAGATATTCTTCCGTATCACGTGACCAGGACTTCCTCCAATGGCAATGCAGTTTACTGGTCCCGTGATACAGACGGAGACAGGTGACAATAATCCTGCACTGCCATTGGTTGGAGTTCTGGTGACATGTTCCGAACGCATAAATAATTTTATTAATTATATCTCTTAAAAATGAAAAATTATTATATTCAAATAATAATTGAAGCTAACTTGAGTTTCTCTGGCTCCTATGGGATATCGTAGTTTTCAGATTGGTTGCGTATTTGTTGATTATGATCTGTCTAATACTACAAATCTTATTCAAAATCTTACATATATAAGTTTTGGTATAAATTTGACACAGTTTTATATCAATTTCTCGAGACAGGAACATCAGATAAATATCATAGGTATCTTTCAACGCCTGAGATTCTCAGATTTCAGCCTATACCCCCTTTCATTTTTCCTTTACAGTCCCTTTAAGCAGACTTTTTGATTCGGTTTTAAAAATCTTTTAACAGCTTATAACAGAATTATTTTGTAGAAAATGAAGACAATGACGGACACAGCAGAACTTATGGAAGATGCTGTTTTCCTAGCTGCTCTAGAGCAGAGGTATATTTTTCCTAGCCGCTCTAGAACAAAGGTATATTTTTCCTAGCTGCTCTTGAACAGAGGTATATTTTTCCTAGCTGCTCTAGAACAGAGGTATATTTTTCCTAGCTGCTCTTGAACAGAGGTATATTTTTCCTAGCTGCTCTAGAACAGAGGTATATTTTTCCTAGCTGCTCTAGAACAGAGGTATATTTTTCATAGCTGCTCTAGAACAGAGGTATACTTTTCCTAGCTGCTCTAGAACAGAGGTATATTTTTCATAGCTGCTCTAGAACAGAGGTATATTTTTCCTAGCTGCTCTAGAACAGAGGTATATTTTTCCTAGCTGCTCTTGAACAGAGGTACATTTTTCCTAGCTGCTCTAGAACAGAGGTAACGATATAAGGGTATTTTTATTTGGGATTCTGTATTTTAAAAATGTTGGAATTCTGACTTCTATTCTAAAAAATTAGATCTGAATAAAATTTACCTCTATTCCGTTATGCTATTTTTTTGATCTAAAATTTTAACCTGTCTAGTGACGCTGTCATTTTTGGATCTATAATTCTAACCTTTATTCTAAATTCTTATAAATTCTGACTTCGATTCTGAAATGTTTAGATCTGAAATTTTTACCTCTATTCTGAAATGTTTAGATCTGAAATTCTGACCTCTATTCTGAAATGTTTAGATCTGAAATTCATACCTCTATTCTGAAGTGTTTAGATCTGAAATTCTGACCTCTATTCTAAAATGTTTAGATCTGAAATTCTTACCTCTATTCTGAAGTGTTTATATCTGAAATTCTAACTTCGATTCTGAAATGTTTAGATCTGAAATTCTGACCTCTATTCTGAAATCTTTAGATCTAAAATTCTTACCTCTATTCTGAAGTGTTTAGATCTGAAATTCTGACTTCGATTCTGAAATATTTAGATCTGAAATTCGGACCTCGATTCTGAAATGTTTGGATCTGAAAATCTGACTTCGATTCTAAAAGGTTTAGATCTGAAATTCTGACTTACATTCTGAAAGATTTAGATCTGAAATTCTGACCTCTATTCTGAAATGTTTAGATCTGAAATTCTGTCTTCGATTCTGAAATTTTTGGAACTGAAATTCTGACCACTATTCTGAAATGTTTAGATCTGAAAATCTGACTTTGATTCTGAAATGTTTAGATCTGAAATTCTGACTTCGATTCTGAAATGTTTAGATCTGAAATTCTGACCTCTATTCTTAAATGTTTAGATCTGAAATTCTTACCTCTATTATGAAGTGTTTAGATCTGAAATTCTGACTTAGATTCTGGAATGTTTAGATCTGAAATTCTGACCTCTATTAGGAATGTTTAGATCTGTAATTCTGACCTCGATTCTGAAGTGTTTAGATCTGAAGTTCTAACTTCGATTCTGAAATGTTTAGATCTGAAATTCTGACCTCGATTCTGAAATGTTTAGATCTGAAATTCTGACTTCGATTCTGAAATATTCAGTTCTGAAATTCTGATTCAATTCTGAATTGTTTAGATCTGAAATTCTGACTTGGATTTTGAAAGGTTTAGATCTGAAATTCTGACCTCGATTCTGAAATGTTTAGATCTGAAATTCTGACATCTGTTCTGAAATGTTTAGATCTGAAATTCTGACTTCGATTCTGAAATGGATTCAAAACAGCAAAGCCAAAAAGTTTACCCACAAAGGAAAAACGTACGCTGGAGCCCAGGTATATATATATATTTACTTTTTATACAGTGAAACCTATAAAACTGCAGAATAGGAAGACGACTGTCTCAACTAGTTCGACGAACATTAAATAGGCCGATTTTTGTACAATGAACGCTGAACAATGACTCTTGTTAATTAACAAGTTGATTTTTAAGATACTAGTAAAACTATTTTCTTTAAATCAACAAATACGCATACTAATGCGTTACATATCGTCTTCCTCTTCCACAGTTTTTATGGGTCAAGTGTTTAAAGTTCGAACAAAACAATTCTATGCTTTAAAAATAAAACTTTATCGTATTTGACCCTATATGCCGCTTGGTAGAAGAAATAAAAATATGGTTTTCAATTTAGTTGTAAAATACAATCTTTTCAAAAAATAATTCAATTCTTTCCAAACTTCTGAAATTCAATTCCAACATCCATACGATGATAAATTTCATTTACATTTCAACAAAAATTATTTGGCTCTACATATAATATATATCTGACCCTAGGGAAGGTTTATGGCAAATCGAAATGGAATAATTTTGCCTGGAAAAAATGCCGGTTTAGAATTTTTGTAAATCCATAAAATAGTAAAATAAATTGTTACTGTAAAAAATGCGCTAAAAGCTAGGCATACTATTTGACTCTTAAATACATTTAAAAGTAAGTTAATATTTTTTTTCTGAATGAATCCTGAATGACAAAATTCTTTAATATTTTTCCCATTTACGCTGTCAATATAAACCACTCGTGTATATTATGAACCACGTCATTTATCTTGTATTTTTTACGTGTTTTTTAACTTTAAAAATTTTTATTAGCTTCAATATAGACGGATAGGCTTTTCAGCTTCTCCTATTATTTGACATGTTCAGAAATTTCTCGGCAGTTTCTAAGAATGAAATGTACATATATATATATAAAGTAATCAAACTTTTGTATCCAGATTTCTTCCCCCTTTCAAATGGTTTATATGTTTCATTTCTTTTTCTTGAGAAATCATTTCCTCATATGATTTTTAGACATTTTTATAAAATTTGTTATCTTGGAAAATCAATGATCTTATTTTTGTTAAATGAATTATTGGGTAAAAAGTATCAAACATAGAAAAAATCTAGTTAAATCTAGTTGAATCTAGTTGAATCTAGTTGAATACCAGTTTTTAACTTTTTCCTTCCAAATCTTCGAATACCACTACCCACCACTCAGCCTAATGTAAATAATCTCTTGAAGTACCACTACCCACCACTCAGCATAATGTAAATAATCTCTTGAAGTACCACTACCCACCACTCAGCATAGTGTAAATAATCTCTTGAAGTACCACTACCCACCACTCAGCATAGTGTAAATAATCTCTTGAAGTACCACTACCCACCACTCAGCATATTGTAAATAATCTCTTGGATGAAAAATGAAACGATTTGTTTGAATTGACCATGCACATACCATTTGTTTTCTTCGGTTGACTGCTCTTTTCCTATTAATAGAATATATTTTCCTGTATTCCTGTATTTTTGTATTCCTGTATTCCTGTATTCCTGTATTCCTGTATTCCTGTATTCCTGTATTTCCGTATTCCTGGATGCTTGTATTCCTGTATTCCTGTATTCTGTATTCTTGTATTCTTGTATTCCTGTATTCCTGTATTTCTGTATTCATGTATTCCTTTATTTCTGTATTCCTGTTTTCTTGTATTCCTGTATTCCTACAATATAGAAGTGATCCTCGTGTTCGTATAGAAGTGTTCGTATACACCCATCGAGATATTAGTAATAGAGGGGGCATCTGGAATTTTAGACTTCTTGTTGTACAGCCACTGTACACAATGACCCGATCAGAAATTCTACAAGTCATAAGGAAACATTTTTCGACAAATTTCACTGTACAGTATAAACCTAGCCAGGCAAAATTAGGAGAGTTATGCCCGCCCCCTGTATACACCACATACATAGTCGTGCCGGGTCAATTGTACCGTATACACTACATATATAGTCGTGTCGGGTCAATTGTGCCGTATACACTATATATAAAGTCGTGTCGGGTCAATTGTACCGTATACACCACATATATAGTCGTATCGGGTCAAGTTTACCGTATACACCACATATATAGTCGTGTCGGGTCAATTAATTGTACCGTATACACGTTTATGGGCGTCAACTGTTCACTGGCCTAATTGTAATTAACAATGAACAGAATCAGAAATGTTATTTTGGTTTGGAGTTTAACCAAAAATGAAGGCTGGTTAACATCGGGGTCGACCAGTATCAGTAAATTTGGATTGATTTGATAATTTGAGGAAGTTTTGTCAAAAATTCTACGCTAATGCATGTACTTTGAACAGTTTAAATATATATTATTAGATTATTATTTTGATATATTTTGTATTATCAGACTGGAGGTGTAAAAGTGAACTGTAGTTCTCTAATACATGCTGCTAAAAAGAATGACTACCTGAGGGTCAAAATCCTCTTTCACTACGGTTACAGGTATTATCTTTATAATAAAGCTCTTTGCTCTTATATTTGTATCTTCATAAAATAAGTCTAGAACATGTTCATATTTGTATCTGTTTAAATATATTTATACCACTGCCCCTTTAGTAAAAGTATAAAGTCTGACCGCGTCAACCTAGTTGCACCGGCTAGTAATGTTGATTCTTTATTAACCCAAAGTCCGTGCGGTACAGTTCAAACTGGGACTGGAAAGGTTGACCCGGCTCGGAAATTCAAATGTACTACGGCTGCTTGTAATATGTCAGCTTTAGCTGGCCAAAGACTAAAAAGATTATATTATATTTTCAAATATTATTCTCTTAAAGTTTGCTTTAATTTATACCATCATGAATATTGACTTTGAAGGAAGCAAAACTGATGGTTCACAAAAAACTAAATATTTTTTTTTACATTTTTTTACGTTAAATAAAAAAAAAATTTTCAACATTTTTTATTAAAACTTTTTAGTTTAAACTTTGTGAGTAGTGTCTTGTAGGCCCGAAAAAGAATTGAGTCTTTGTCACAAACTATGATTTTATAATCTCTATATCTTTGCAACCCAATGCCGTAGACCTTATATATTTCAAACTATGAATTTTGTTAGATGAGAGAATCTAAGTTCGAAATATCAAAGGTTTACACCATCATCAGGTGCAAAAAATATAGGTATTAGAAAATCAGAGTTTGTTACAAAGACTCATTTCCTTTGAATGAATATTGAACGACACTCTTTAGATTTTTTTGTGAGTGTCTAATTTAAAGGTCAAAATTAATGAATGATAACTTTTTGTTTCCATTGAAAAAATATCTGCTTTTGTTTTTACTTTTACTAATTAGGTTTACTGCATAGTTAAGGATGTTTTATCTAGCTAAGTAAGAATACTGCGGACTGCGGAAGATATGTAAACCTTGATTTATCTAGTATCTAAAATCTCAGGGGTCTAGGGGCCTCTGCCCTTTGCATAAAGAAAGATACATTAAATAAGATTTTAAATTTGACTTGGTTTAAAAATATATTTTTCAATTTCACCGTGTTCTGATTGTATCTGATTGTATATAGCATGTAAAGAGAAATTCACTTAAAAAGGCTAAGGAGCAATACTCTAAATTGCAAAATAACAAAAAATCGCTTCAACTCAACAAAAAACCGCTTTTTTTAGCCATCCAGTTTTTGCTGCAAAATAAGCGATGCTTTGCAGTTGTATATAACTACGAATATGGCTCAAGCTAAAGTAATTTGAAAGTTGCATTAAAAAATGCATTTAAAGAAATTTAGATTTATATGGTTTGTGATTAAAGGATATTAGAATGAATAAGAGAAAATGAAAAGAGTTTAGTTTTTAGTGGTAACCTATATATATAGTAGACTATTTGCTATCTATGTTCTTTCTTTTGATTAAAAATGCCTTATATTGCCCAATTATTAACAAAAACGTCGGAAGACGACCACCCACATTAATAACTCTAGAATCGGATGACTCATTTGGTGTACTGTACCGTTTTGCCGTCTACAGTCTGTACATATGCCGTACACCTTGCTTTAGCAGCCTATAAGACGGTACGACACTTCTAATGAACTTGAACTTGTTTACAATTTAAAATGTATGATAGTACACAAATAATTATTTAGATTGGAGCAGAAGGACACCCTGACGGACCCGTTGAAGAAGATCGAGCTGTTTAAGGCGGTTGCCAGTCCGGCATATATCGTCGCGTCTTTGGAACATTTCAACGAGGTTTCGGCGGATTTCTTCTGTCCCGTCAAGAAATGTTTCGAGTTTGCTTGTGAGGCAAATTTCCGGAAATCAACGATTCCGGAATATAAACGAGAATATGACGAAATAGAAAACAGGTTAGTTAATTTTTTTGGGGGTGGTGGGGTCTGTCACCCCATTTTATTGGTAAATCGCATGTGACTTTCACAGATAAGCGATTGTAAAGAAAGAAAACAGAGCAAAAAATGAAAATGAAGATTTAGGTATTTTTTGTCAAAGAAATTGAGTCTTTGCCACAAACTCTGATTTTCTAATACCAATATCTTCGCCATTTGATGTTGTAGACCTAGATATTTCAAACTATAAATTCTGTTAATCAAAATTAAAAGTTTACATTATCAGATTGCACAGATAAATGGATTAGAAAATTTGAGTTTGTGGCAAAGACTCAATTCCTTTATCTTTTATAAAACAGTTAAATGACTGTAATGTGAACAAATTAGGAAAAATGCATGATTAACTTTGAATGGCTCCATTCATTCGGTCTGAAAATATATATTTTAACTGCACCGTCGAAATATTCTTATTCAAAACTACGTTTATTTTTTATTTGCAAGAAGAGCAGAATGATTTCAAAATCTTGAAAATTAAGTGATAAATATGTCAAATATTTTATTAAAAATTAGAAAAAGTCACTCTGCTTAAACTTTTCATGCCCTGAATTGTTTTTGAAAAATGTCTAAATCTCAAAAGATATATTTATCCTTGCACAATGTTATCTGAAGCTTTCCCCTTCATTCTCCAGTTTAATGGAATAAATTTCAAACTTTTCTTTTCAAGCATAAAAGCTGTTTTCATTTTTATATCCAGCTTTTATGCTCTTCTATACTTTGGACACATCATCTAAACCCTTGAACACTCAACCATCTCTATGCAGTGTGTCCAAATAAACAATCTTCTTAAACAGTTGATACTGAAAACTCCAAGTATCGGGATTTCCAAAATGTGGTCTTACAATTTCATACCTTCAAGATTGACTGAGAAATTGATAACGGAATTGAGTATTTGCCACAAACTCTTATTTTATGCGTATGAATTAGCAACGCAATGTCATAAACCTTTGATATTGAATTCTGTTAGATTAAAAATAATCTAAGTTTGAAATATCAAAGGTTTACACCATCAGGCTGCAAAGATTTAGGAATGAGAAAATTTGAGTTTGTGGCAAAGACTCAATTCCTTTGTTTAGAATCCAATTTATTAAATAATATCAAAATTGTCTAAATATCACACATTTCGAAAAGTCCATAATTTGTAGGATTGCACGATCTTTTTGATGTGATCTTATTAAAATTACAAGCTCCGAAATAAATGACAAGGAATATTAGTCAGTACTGCAAAAGAGTTTAAGCATGTTTTTTTTCTCACGGATTATGCTCATCTAACATAGAAACAGTACCCATTAACATTTTATTTGAGATTAAATTTGTATATTTTCAAATTGAAAGATCTCCGAACCTGTCATAAGTCGAATCACTTTGCCAAATGTGAGATTAGAATGAAGAAAGATAAAAGGCTTAGCTCTATATATCATTACATTCAAAAGTTTCTATCTTTCTATCTATTTAAATATCTAGATGTGAAGACTATGCAATTTCTCTTCTTGAACAATGTGAAGATCTGAGGGAAGTTGAAACCTTTCTTCAAACTAGGAATTCAGGAACTAAGGTACTTTTAGTGGCTCCCTCTGGGGATAATTTAGATCAACCTTCGGGGATACTTTTAGGGGTTCCCACCGGGGATACTTTTTGGGGCTCCCCCAGGGATACTTTTAGGGGCTCCCACCAGGCATACTTTTAGGGGCACCCTCTGGGTATACTTTCAGGGGCTCCTGTCGGAGATACTTTTAGTGGGCACCTTCCAGGGATTCTTTAATCGCGGAAATTTTTAGGGGCTCACACTGGTGATACTTTAAGGGGGTCACCGGCTATCCTTGTAGGGGTTCCATCAAGGGATACTTTTAGGGGCTCCCTCCGAGGAAACTTTTAGGGGCTCCCATGGGTAATACTTTTAGGGGCTCCCTCCGGTGAAGTTTTAGGGGCTCCCACCGGGGTTACTTTGAGAGGCTCCTTCTGGGGATACTTTTTAGGGCTCCCTCCAGGGATACTTTTAGGGGCTCCCATCAAGGAAACTTTTATTTGGTCTAATCAGAGAAACTTCTCTGGGTTCCATCTTGGACCAGGATACTATCTAGGGTTATATCCGGAGGAGTGGGTTGTCAAGATATATCTGAAATTAACAGGAGATGAGGGAAACCATAAAAAATCCTTTAATTTTCATTTTACAAGAAGAATCAATACACAATTAACTACTTGTTAGAGTACGACCCGGCATTTTGTTTGTTTTAGAGTTATCTCACAATTGTGTACATCCCTAATTTTAATTTCGAAATACTATCGATAAGCTCGATATTAAGAGAAAAATGTAATTTCTTCTTCTGATATGTAAATATTAGGACGCGACTAAGGAAGAAGATACCATGACCCCTGTAACCCCTATAATCCTGTAAATTCATTTCAATTCAACGAAATCCTGCCACTTCAATTCAATTCAACGAAATCCTGTCAATTCAATTCAATTCAACGAAATCCTGTCAATTCAATTCAATTCAACGAAATCCTGTCAATTCAATTCAATTCAACGAAATCCTGTCAATTCAATTCAATTCAACGAAATCCTGTCAATTCAATTCAATTCAACGAAATCCTGTCAATTCAATTCAATTCAACGAAATCCTGTCAATTAAATTCAATTCAACGAAATCCTCCTGTCAATTCAATTCAACCAAATCCTGTCAATTCAATTCAACGAAATCCTGTCAATTCAATTCAATTCAACGAAATCCTGTCAATTCAATTCAATTCAACGAAATCCTGTCAATTAAATTCAATTCAACGAAATCCTGTCAATTCAATTCAATTCAACGAAATCCTGTCAATTCATTTCAATTCAACGAAATCCTGTCAATTCATTTCAATTCAACGAAATCCTGTAAATTAAATTCAATTCAACGAAATCCTGTCAATTCATTTCAATTCAACGAAATCCTGTCAATTCATTTCAATTCAACGAAATCCTGTCAATTAAATTCAATTCAACGAAATCCTGTCAATTCAATTCAACGAAATCCTGTCAATTCAATTCAATTCAACGAAATCCTGTCAATTCAATTCAATTCAACGAAATTCTGTCAATTCAGTTCAATTCAACGAAACCCTGTCAATTCATTTCAATTCAACGAAATCCTGTCAATTCATTTCAATTCAACGAAATCCTGTCAATTCAGTTCAATTCAACGAAATCCTGTCAATTCAATTCAATTCAACTAAATCCTGTCAATTCAGTTCAATTCAACGAAATCCTGTCAATTCTTTTATTAAATTTTGATGGAATTTATTACACCTAATATTTTCCGTTGTAGGGTGATTAAGTGACTTTATCGCCCTACAATAGGGCGAAAAAGTAACTTTATCTCCCTGCTATTAAAATTTCAAATTTCATACCTAATATGTCTCATTGTATAGGGTGATAAAGTTACTTAATCATCCTACAACAGGGTGATTAAGTAACTTTATCGAACTGTTTTTAAGTAATTTGCGTAAAACTGAATAACACTATATATGTTATTGAAATGGGTATCATCATGCGTGCGAAAAAGTTTTAGCTGTTATTTTTAATTTTTCGGGTTAGTTTTTCATTAAAATAAATTAGAAAAGAAATCCAGGCAATAATCGCACTTAATAATACCCATTACAATGATATAAATAGATATAATGCGAGAAACGGAATTTTGTTGTCCGTGCTGTTCTTGGTCTATTTTCTAAGAGTGAGCCTATTAATGAATACTTGTATATAAATGTATTTTGTCTCTATATAAGTATATTAGGAAATCAATATGTCAAGTTTACCAGGCCACAATATTGCACTGACCTTTACCAAGAAATGAAAATGAAAGTTGACTCATTCTACGTTGATACATTTAGCATACAGAACCAAAAAACAATAATCTTACTCCGCTGCAAGGTTGTCTTTGACCAAAACTTTCTCCGGCGGCCAAACCAAACATTTTTATACCTACGACAGATATGTAAAGTGAAACCCGTAAAACTGTGGAATAGAAAGACGACATTTAAAAAGAAATATGTGTGCGTATTTTATACTGTTATAAATCTAGAAATCAACTTATTACGTTAAATGGGTCTGTGTACAGTGCACAATTCATGTATTTCATGATCAATGAACTATTTAAAATTTTTTCATGAGTCTTATAGTTAATAGCCGTCTTCTTACACATGTTGTAGGTCTAAAATATACAAAAAGGTCTACCTGAGATTTAAAGAAAAATCTGAAAATCGACGCAGTATGATAAGATTATATATGTAAACATCTTAGGTTATTTTTTATCCTAGTACGAACATGGTTCCCACTGTGTGAGATTTCTAAGTAAATAAAAACATTGAAATTTTTTATCTTTCTTTATATATTTTTTTAAAAATAAAAAAGATTTAAGCATAAAAAAGGGTAAATCATTTTAGAGTATTAAAAAGGACTATATTCGTAATTTTTGGGAACCTTTCATCTATAGAAGAACCCTTTAAGAAAAGCTGTAAATACCAGCTGAATTAATGAGATCTTTTAAGAGATTTTGATAAAAACAATGAAACAGTATTGAATCAAATCTTTGCTTGAATGTCAAACCCTGAACCTAACTGATTCTGTTAAATGTTTAAAGATTTTAATGTCAAATCTGTCGGAAAGTTTTTAATCAATAGTTAACAACAAAATTATTTTTTATTATTATAATAATGATCTAGGATGCATCTAGAATGTTAACTATCTGTATATCTAGGATGCTAACTATCTATATAGGATGCTAACTATCTATATATCTAGGATGCTAACTATCTATATTTCTATTATACTAACTATCTTCATATCTAACTATCTATATATCTAGGATGCTAACTATCTATATATCTAGGATGCTAACTATCTATATATCTAGGATGCCAACTATCTAACTATCTATATATATAGGATGATAACTATCTATATATCTAGGATACTAACTAGGATGCTAACTATCTATATATCTAGGATGCTAGCTATCTATATATCTAGGATGCTAACTATCTATATATCTAGGATGCTAACTATCTATATATCTAGGATGCCAACTATCTATATATCTAGGATGCTAAATATCTATATATCTAGGATGTTAGCTATCTATATATCTACGATGCTAACTATCTATATATCTAGGATGCTAACTATCTATATTTCTAGTATGCTAACTATCTAACTATCTATATATCTATGATGCTAACTATCTATGTATCTATGATGCTAACTTTCTATATATCTACTATCTAGGATGCTAACTATCTATATTTATAGTATGCTAACTATCTAACTATCTATATACCATTATCTAGGATGCTAACTATCTATATATCTAGGATGCTAACTATCTATATATCTAGGATGCTAACTATCTATATATCTAGGATGCTACCTATCTACATATTTAGGATGCCAACTATCTATATTTCTATTATGCTAACTATCTTCATATCTAGTTTTCTAACTATCTATATATCTATGATACTAACTATCTATAAATCTATGATGCTAACTATCTATATATCTAGGATGTTAACTATCTATATTTCTAGTATGCTAACTATCTAAACTATAGATACTAACTATCTGTATTTCTAGTATGCTAACATATAGGATGCTAACTATCTAACTATCTATATATCTAGGATGCTAACTATATCCTGGCAATCCTGGACTCAAGAATGAAGTTTGTTGCTCATGAAAGGTTTCAGTATGTACTGCTCCGAAAATTTGGTGAGTATAGGATTTTAAATTGTAAACAGAAAACGATAACTATCTTTTACAAGTTTACACTGTAAAAGTAAAATTTTCAGCTTTTTAGAAATATTCATCATTTACTTATTTCAGACTCAAACTCGATAACTTTGCGGGTTTTATGTCATTAGAATTTTAGAAAATGCATGAAATCTCAAATTTTTTGATCAATTTTCTTTTTTCTTTTCCAGATTGAAACTGAAAAATGAAATTTATTTATTAAAAAGACACATGGCTCAAATAAAAGAAATACTTCTAATTCACCCCCCGTATCTAGAATATTAATAATATGCAGTTCATTGATCAAAGCACTCGGGTCGGAACTTTTTTATTAGATAACAATAATCTACAACGCTTGGATTTAGAACGATTAAGTACTTAAACCTTGGGAAAGACCTGTCTTGTTTTTACAATCAGTATTTACTTTTATTTGTTCGATCTCGGACCTTAATCGATATCCTGGAATTAATCAAATACGTTAGACTAGAAAAGTTACTGATTAATCCTTACTTAGCGGATTAACAAGTCTAAAGTTCGATCTCTAATATTGGTAGATAGATAATCAAACTCCAAGCACACCCTAATATACACCTTAAAATGTTTTTTTTTAATTTATAAATTCTTTATCATTTGTTTTTTAAACATGCTGTTATCTTCTGAAGCGTAGATTTGGATTTTGACGTCGATTTTTCATGAACAAGCAAAACATTGAAAAAAAGATTAAAGTTTAAATAATTATATATTTTAACTTGGATTCTTTACATTTTTCCCTCGTAACCGTTGAAATACTAGCCTTCAGGGAGCTTTGCGTCCCCCCTTTCTTATCAACAAGTTTACCTTGCTACTGCTGCTCTGGAAGTGGACATTTTTAATCATTCTCAAATATTCGTTGATTTTTCCGTTTAAACTGGCGCATTTTCAAAAATAAATAAATGTTGACATTTTGCTAAGAAAAAAATTATTTTGACGGTCCATAAACCTGGGGTCCTGGGGTCCTTTGAGTTGCCAAAAAAATCGGGCCCGATCGGTTCAGCCGTTTTGACGTTTATTGGATTTACCGACATAGGGTCAAACGACCTAGGGTCAAACGACCCAGGGTCAAACGACCCAGGGTCAAACGACCTAGGGTCAAACGACAAACGGTCAAAACGCGACAAAGGGTAAAACGACCTAGGGTCAAACGACAAAGGGTCAAAATGGAAAAAAAAATATTTTATGTATTATTTCAGAGTTAGGTTAGGTCAAGACAATTTCTGGGCCGAGCGCTGCGGCTAGGACAGTCTAGGAGGCCGAGCGCTGCTGCTACTAGTTATAATGAACTTTAAAATAGTAAAAACTAACGAAAACTATCTAAATAAAAAATTTTCCCGTTTGGTGCACTTTTTGACCCTATGTCGTTTTACCCTTTGTCGCGTTGTTTTTGACCGTTTGTCGTTTGACCCTATGGCATTTGACCCTAGGTCGTTTGACCCTATGAATACAAACAAACACACAGACAGACAGACAAGCAAAGTATATAAAGAGATAGAGTTCGTAAAATGAAAAAGGGGATCAACCGGTTTATTACCAATCATAATAAAATTAAGATTTGATCTGTACTTTTATAATGCACTGCCACAATTTATATACTTTCGATTTGTTTCAGCAAAATATCAACGTTTATAAGGGAATTATTAAATTCTATCAAAGTATTTTGAGATAAATCAAAGTTTTATAAGTTTTAATCACAGTTTTATGAAATCCTGTCAAATCAGTATTCATTCTTGACACAGTTTTATGAGATCGTTTCGAATCAATATCCATTGTTGACACAGTTTTATGAGATCCTGTCGAATCAATATTCATTGTTGACACAGTTTTATGAGATCCTGTCGAATCAATATTCATTGTTGACACAGTTTTATGAGATCGTTTCGAATCAATATCCATTGTTGACACAGTTTTATGAGATCCTGTCGAATCAATATTCATTGTCCACTCAGTTTTATGAAATCCTGTCGAATCAATATCCATTGTCGACACAATTTTATGAAATCCTGTCGAATTAATATCCATTGTCGACACAATTTTATGAGATCATGTCGAATTAATATCCATTGTCGACACAATTTTATGATATCGTGTCGAATTAATATCCATTGTCGATACAGTTTTATGAAATCATGTCGAATCAATATCCATTGTCGACAAAATGAAGAAATGAATTGAATCTTTGCCACAAACCCTGATTTTCTAATTCTTATATATCCCTCCAACCCAATGTAGTAGACCTTGTATTTTTCAAACTTTGAATTCTTTGAGATAAAAAAACGAAGTTTGAAATATCAGAGTCTACACCATAAGGTTGTCAAGATATAGGGATTAGAATATTTAAATTTGTGGCAAAGACTCAATTTCTTTTAACTAAAAAATTGGGTTTTTAAAATTCATGAAACGAAATATGATAGTGTTGTATTAATCTCGCATGTAGAATTATTTGAATTTACTTACTAACTACTTTTTCTCCTATTTACTACAGGAATAGGTAATATCTCTAGATTTGCTTGGTTTTATTTAATATATTTATTTATATATTGCATATATATATATATATATATATATATATATATATGTTCTTTGTATATATTAATACAAAAAAGACGATTTTAAGCATGTTTTTATCGATTTTCAAAGAATAAAACGATATAATCTTTCATGAAAATTCTAGAAAAAGTGATAAAATGTTTCTCGTTCATTTATTTTGTCTTGGTTATTATTTTGTTTTACTATAAATCTGCATTAATGTATATTCAGAACATTGTTCAAAAGTGTGAATTATTTTAATCCTTTGAGTTGTGTTTCTGTCTTTGCATGATTGCTATGATTCAGTTTAGATGAATTAAGAAAACTAAATTCCAGAATATAAAGGGTATCCCACAAAACATGTCAGTTGTATTTGATGATTTTTTAAACAAAATCACAAAATTCTTCAGTTCTGGTATTTCCAAACTGTGGTCTTCATTTTCTGTGCTTCGATATTACCGGAGATATTAAGAATTTTGTTCATATATCAATTGATAAAGAAACAAAAATTGCTAAAATCTGAACAAATTCTTCAGATCTTCCCCGGTATTTTTTAAACCATGTTTAAGATATCAGGACTATGGGAAGTTGTGATTTATAATTCAAAATTGTTACTTTTAGAATTAAAGGGAGTGACATAAAATGTAAAAAAAATTCTACAATAAATTACAAACGTCATGTATAGGAGTGACTGGCTATGTAAGGTAGTTGAACTGAGTTTGCAGTGTTGTGAAAAACATCTTTCGGATTCATTTGAGACATATTTAACTTTTAAGAGATCTGTGAATCCTGAGTTTGAGCGCAAATTCGACGTTCAAAATTCCTACTTTGGAGGTGGATACGTTTTCAGAATTAGTTTTTTTTTAATTATTAAATAACAACAACGAAAATAAAGTAAAAATTATACAGTAATCTAATTAGATGGTTAGGAACATATTTCTCAAAAGAAATTTGTCAATAAATCAATGCTAAAATCGATTTTTTCGTTTATATTATTATATTGAATTTCTTATCTTTGAATGTATTCGCAGATTTCTTCAAATTCTTCAAATGTCGTCTTTTCAATAATAATTCTAGAAAATCTGCGAAAATCTTTGTGAATAATGCGAAGCTAGAATAATGAGAAAATAGAAACTAATAATTGAACAAGATTACTTATTTTCGATGATAACATCAATTTTCATTTTCTCAACATGTTCCTATACATGACGTCTGTAGTTTTTTTGTAGAACTTTTTTTTACATTTTATGTCGTCGTTATTTAATAATTTAAAAAAACTAATTCTGAAACGTATCCACCCCCAAAGTAGGAGTTTTGAACGTCGAATTTGCGCTCAAACTCAAGATTTACAGATCTTTAAAAGTTTACCAAAAAAAAGTTTTCTACAACACTGCATACTCAGTTCAACTACCTTACATAGCCGGTCACTCCCTTTGAACATTTCGACTATGGGTTTCCATTCCAGTCGAAATTACGCAAAACTAAATTTACCACTTTTGTATGATGATCTTTTGATGTTTTTTTCGCGGACGGACGAATGATTACTTTAGCACAATTAAGGCGAAAAGAACGCAGTTAAAGCTAAAGAAATTGACCACTACTTTACAAGGAAAACCAAATTAAATTAAATGCCACTTTTTCCTTTAAATAAATGCCCCCCCCCCCGCGGCCCTCTCCCCTCTCGAATGAACAAAGTATCTTAAGTAAGTTAAGCTCTGATAAAAACAGTTTAATTTGTAATTAAGAATTAATTAAGAAGGAAAGAGAAGGTGCTTAATTAAATTAGATTAAATTAGTTCAAACAAGTTTAAATCTTCAATTCAAACTTTATTTGACGAGAAGAACTTCTTTTTAATACGATCAAGTAGTTTTACTTTTTTATTTATGAAAAGTACATTGCTCCGAATTGACCAGTTGGTTTTTATTCCCTCCTCAAGTACACTTTATTTTGTATTTTTCATGTTTTATTAATAAATAATTACTTACTTACTAATTCAAGCAAAAGAGTCCGACTTGATCGAATTTCTAAGATCAGATATTGAAATATTAATAATTTTCCTTTCTAGAGAACCGTTGCAATTATTGAAAGGAAGAAAGGAGTAGCTTGTATATGAAGGTTGAGGGTATATGTAGGACAAAGGAATATGTAGGACGAGGGTATATGTAGGACGAGAGTATATGTAGGACGAGAGTATATGTAGGACGAGGGTATATGTAGGACGAGAGTATATGTAGGACGAGGGTATATGTAGGACAAAGGAATATGTAGGACAAGGGGTTATGTAGGACGAGGGTATATGTAGGACGAGGGTATATGAAGGACGAGGGATAATGTAGGACGAGGGTATATGTAGGACAAGGGGTTATGTAGGATGAGTGTATATGTTGGACGAGGGTATGTAGGACGATGGTATATGTAGGACAAGGGGTTATGAAGGACGAGGGTATATATAGGACGAGAGTATATGTAGGACGAGGGGTTACGTAGGACGAGGGTATATGTAGGACAAAGGTATATGTGGGACAAAGGTATATGTAGGACAAAGGTATATGTAGGACGAGGGTATATGTAGGACAAAGGTAAGTGTAGGACAAGAGTTTATGTAGGACGAGGGTATACATAGGACGAGGGTATATGTAGGACAAAAGGTTATGTAGGACGAGGGTATATGTAGGACAAGAGTGTATGTAGGACGAGGGTATATATAGGAAGAGGGTATATGTAGGACAAAATTTTATATAGGACAAGGGTATATGTAGGACAAGAGTTTATGTAGGACGAGGGTATATGTAGGACAAAAGGTTATATAGGACGAGGGTATATGTAGGACGAGGGTATATGTAGGACGAAAGAAGGTTTAAACGACACATTTGGCATTCTTCTAATTCAAAACTTACTTTTTTCTTGGAAAATTTTAAACTTTAAATTAAAATCAACCATTTTTCTGAAAAATCCTATTTATTGCTTAAAGGGAGTGACCGGCAATGTATGTTAGTTGAACTGAGATTGCAGTATTGACTATTTAAATCCTCATTGATTGTCCATTTTGGAGGGATGATTTTATGAAATTTATGAAATTTATTCAAAAACGACGAAGAAAAATGTAACAAAATTTCTACAGTAAACTAATTAGACGCTAAGGAACATATTTTTATTAGAGATTTGTCAATGTTAGAATCAATTGTTTCTTTTCACCATTTTATTGATTTTCTTATTCTTTATGAATTTGTTTGCAGATTTCTTCAAATTCTTTAAATGTCGTCTTTTCATTACCAATTCCATGAAATCTCCAGAAAATGGTTTTGAACATTGAGATATTTACAGAAACCAATAACTTAGTAAGATTACTTTTTTTGATGAAAAGAGTTATTTTTTATTTTCTCAACCTGTATTTAAACAACTAATTAGTTTACTCTTTTTTCTTCCAATTTTCGTGGTCGTCATTGAATAATCTAAATAAAAACAATTCTCAAGATCATTCCTACAAAGTGGACAATATTTAGATTTTAAAGATTGCATTTGCGCTCTTGCTGAACAAATATGCGCCATTAAAACGTCTAATCAGATCTCAAATGAATCCTAAAAGATTTCTTAAAAATTCTGCAATCTCAGTTCATCTACCATTCATTTTATTAAAAAAAAAACTAATTTAGAGAGAAGTATAACTTGCAAGTTGCATTTGTTTAAAACATGTCAAATATTTTACCCTTTTCGGTTTTATTTTATATTTTTCTAAAGAATTATTTTTCAAAGTATATCCACTTGGTGACATTATTCAAGAGAGAGAACTAAAAGAAATTAAATCTTTTTATTAAATATTCAGGGCAAGTACAAAATAAAACTGTTGTAATTTTATTTGGACTTTTAATATTTTACATTTCTCGAATTTAAGGAAGGTTGGAATAGCTTAAAATTAAAAATAAAATTAGGTTTTTTCTCTCTATTTTACATGAATATCTAAATTGCATGATTTATGCATCTCTGATTTCTCTGAGTATTTTTTGATAATTATTTAATAATTAAAAATTCTGTTTACCCTGCATGTAAATTAAAAGTTAAAATTCTAAATTTGATCTTAAAGTATCTAAATTTTAACTGAACATTTTTGCATACTCTTCCCCACTTATTTTTAACTGTTGCAAATTATGTTTAATTCTGTATTCAAGCTACTTATGTCTCATAAAGAATAATTTATTAGAATCCCTGAATTACGTTTTGCTTATAATTTCTAATTTTCCTTTCCTTCCTTAGATCCTTCCGTTCTTTTCTGCATATCTTCTCCTTTCCTTCCTGTATATCCTTTCTCTTCCTTCTTTGAAATCCTTACCTTCCATTCCTTTAGATCTTTCCATTTAAATTCTTTCAGATCCTTCCCTTTCCTTCCTTTAGATCGTTTCATTTCCTTCCTTTAGATCGTTCCCTTCCATTCATTTAGATCCTTCCCTTTCATTTCTTTAGATCCTTCCTTTCCTTCCTTTAGATCGTTCCCTTCCATTCCTTTAGATCTTTCCCTTCCATTTCTTTAGATCGTTCCCTTCCATTCCTTTAGATCTTTCCCTTTCATTTCTTTAGATCCTTCCCTTTCCTTCCTTTAGATCCTTACTTTCCTCCCTTTAGATCCTTCCTCTCTTTCCTTTAGATACTTACCTTCTTTTAGATCATTCTAAACCCAAATCCTATGTCAAATCCTAGAAAAAAGTATTAATAATATCTCTAAACTGTTTGCTTCCTTTAGGCGAGACTGAGTTGAATGATGATTACAGAAGCTACAGAAATACACTTTGGTTAGATATGTCCTGGTTCTCCAGAATACTTCATGTTCTTAAACAAGTAAGTTAATTTATATTGAAACTATTAAAGGGACTGTAAGGGGGACTTAAGTGAGCCTCCATACAAAGATTCATTCATTTATATTTTTATTCAACTACAAAGCATGAGATGTTACAAATAAGCAATCACAATTTACTATGCAGTTTGGACCCGCCTAACCAGGGTAGGTTGTTTTGAGTGGTTGGCTCTAAATATAATTGATGATAATGCCTGATTCACAACGGTACTCTTGAAATCTTTTTCTGATCAATGATGTGATTTTCTAGGTTTAAAAGTAGTTGATTCAGATAATACCTATGCACAAGTCACTTTTATAGAGAAACCACAACTAAAAATAATCAATTTTCAATTTATAAACATTGATATATATATTTCATACCAGACAAAGCTTTAAAGGATACGGTTGTGAATTGAGCATTGCCATCTTTTGCATGTCGGGTCACTTGGAATTATGCTTACGGTCCATTTAAGTTTCGTCTTTTGTTTTGAATGTGGCCCAAACAATTATGGTACACTTTTTATGTTAACTTAAAGAAAGAAACAATTGTAAAACTGATAAGCAAAATAGTTTTAGGCAATTAAATCAATGCAATGAAGACGACTTTTTTCTTTCAGTTTTGAGTGTTAACAACCTTTTTTTTGAATTACAAGTTTACAAGTAATCAAAGAGAAGCTTTTATAATTGACAGCTTCTCTTGAATTCTATGTTTATATGTGTCCATGCTGTTTAAAAGCTTGATAGAAATCAAAGTTGAAATTGAAAGTCGTCTTCATTGTATTGATAAAATTGCCTATTACTATTTTGCTTATCAGTTTTACAATTGTTTCTTTCTTTAAGTTAAAATAAAAAGTGTACCATAATTGTTTGGACCACATTCAAAACAAAAGACGAAACTTTTCGTTCATGATGTCCAGGGATCACCCTTTGTGTTTAATCCTGTATCTACGTCAGCAATACAATTATCTGTTTGATTCAGATACCTTGTTATCTGCTACTGTTCCTGTACCCTCTATTCTACTCCTGTCTTTATCTATATTAGCAATACAATTATCTGTTTGATTCAGATACCTTGTTATCTGCTATTGTTCCTCTACCCTCTATTCTACTCCTGTCTTTATCCTCCTTCATCAACTAGTAAGCATGATAACCTCAACAAATCGCCCTGGTTCTGCAAGGAGTGGAGGGTTCCGCTTAATAGGTAACAAATTTAAAACTTCCAAAAAATGTTACAGATTTGGAATTTCACTTAATAGGTAACAGTTAAGAAGGTTAAGTAAATAGGTAACCGATTTGGAACTTTCCCCCTTTTGGTTTGGTTTGGAAGTTATGGTAAAAAATTGACCAGGTTAGAACTTACGGACAGAAGGTAACCGGTTTGGAACTTACGGTCAATACGTAACCAGGTTAGGAACTTACGGTCAAAAGGTAACCGGTTTGGAAATTACGGTTAAAGGGTAACCGGTTAGGAACTTACAGTCAACTGGTTTGGAACTTCTGCTGAATAGGTGACCGTTTTAGAACTTAAGATCAATAAGTAAACGGTTTTGTAATTGCAGTCAATAGGTAATTCTGGTATGAAACTCACGGTCAATGGGTCAATGGTTTGAAACTTCTGCTAAATAGATAACCCTTAAGAAATTACAGAGGCAAGAATCTCCGTATTTTTTTTTACTTACCTATACGAGAAGCTCTGTACCCTAACTTATTAACCAAAAAAATTTAGCATTGAAAACCCTATTAAATTACTTGTTCTTAAAAGGATTAATTGACTAACCCATACAAAATGTTTAGAATAATTTTTAAAAGCAAAGGAAAATTATATAAAACATAATGTTAACTTTTATTATGTAAATTTTTTATATTTGTTGCTAAAGCTTTATTCCTTAAAGGAAATGAGTCTTTGCCACAAACTCTGATTTTCTAATCGCTATATCTTAACAACCCAATGTCGTAAACCTTAGATATTTCAAACTATGGATTTGGTTAGATCAAATGATCTAAGTTTGAAATATCAAAGATTTACATCTTCAGGTTGCAAAATTATTGGCCTTAGAAAATTTGAGTTTGTGGCAAAGACTCAATTCCTTTGTTTTAGAAAGATTCCGAAAACTCTAAAATAAACTTTGCATATTAATGCTTTTAATTTACAAATGAATTTCTACTTTCTGCAGAAGAAAATGATTTTAGGAGTGAAACTTTTTGTGAAGTACATTTCACTTCCTTTTCTTAAAAGATATTGATTTTTTAGATCCTTATACCAAACTGAGCAATTTTTTATCTCACTACTGGCTATAAATCTAAAGCTGGTGGGCTTATAGAGTGGCAAAGTCGTGGCAGTAATTTCGATTAATTTTGACCATATTTCATTATTTCAGGGGAATATATACAGCATTCTCCTACATCTTATTTCAGGGGAATATATACAGCATTCTCCTACATCTTATTTCAGGGGAATATATACAGCATTCTCCTACATCTTATTTCAGGGGAATATATACAGCATTCTCCTACATCTTATTTCAGGGGAATATATACAGCATTCTCCTACATCTTATTTCAGGGGAATATATACAGCATTCTCCTACATCTTATTCATCTCATTAATTATCGCCTACGTTACTGAACCTGGACCACCATATGTTTACATTATAGGTATTATAAACATTTTAATAAAAAGAAATTAAGTCTTTGTCCTAAATTCAAATTTTCCAATTCCTATATCTTTTTAACCTGATGGTGTAAACCTTTGATATTTCAAACTTGGATTATTTGCAAAGACAAAGGGATCAGAAAATCAGAGTTTGTGGCAAAAACTAAATTCTTTGAAGAGAATAATAGAGAAATATCACAAATTTTTAAGTTCCTAATATTCTGATCGTTATTTCGAAAAATTACTTTTGATTTCAATATTACGTTAATACTAAGTATCAAAATTATTAAACGTTAATTCAAAAGTCTGTCATTCATTTTTTTTCATGAAGGAACTGACTCTATTCCCTATATCTTTGCAACCTTAGGATGTAAATCCTTGATATTTTAAACATTGAAGCGGGGTTATCTAGCAAATGTCATACATTCGTCACATAAATTAACACAATGAAGACGACTTTAACGTAGTCGCATAAATCACTACAATGAAGACGACTTTAACGTAGTCACATAAATCACTACAATGAAGACGACTTTAACGTAGTCACATAAATCACTACAATGAAGACGACTTTAACGTAGTCACATAAATCACTGCAATGAAGACGACTTTAACGTAGTCACATAAACCACTGCAATGAAGACGACTTTAACGTAGTCGCATAAATCACTACAATGAACCGACCTTAACGTATTGGCATAAATCACTACAATGAAGACGACTTTAACGTAGTCACATAAATCACTACAATGAAGACGACTTAAACGTAGTCACATAAATCACTACAATGAAGACGACGTTAAATTTATATTTCAAGTTTTTACTAATCTTTTAAAAGCAATTACGTTACTCTTTGTTTACTTGTAAACATGAAATTTTAAAAAAAATGCTTGTTATAGAACATAAAATTATTAATATCAGTGAATTGATATAATCGCCGATCATTGTAGTAATGGTATCAATTTAATAACCAAATATCCAAACTTGAGTTGTCGAGTAATCAGTTCCTTTCGATTCGAACATATAAATACATAAACATATAAACATATTGATAATGATTCCTTTAAAAAAGTATATATTTCTATAGAAATCTCATAGGGACCTCCCCCCCCCTCCTCCACAAGTAGTGGTTGCACCCATCCTAAACTACACCTTGGCTTGGATTCCTTGGATACAGTTTTCATAAAATATATTTCAAATTATACATTTGAATACTTCATCTGAATTCTAATTTGAAATCCTGATAAAGAATGAGAGAAGAATAATGACAAAACATTATAATATTTCTAAAATCTCTCGCCAATTTTGTACAACACTAGCTGAAGTGCCCGGCGTTGCCCGTGGAATTTTTAAAAATCGAATATAATTTTTTTTAGTTTTAAAGATAGGTTATAGCCTTTTAAAACTTCAATTTCGGCCTAGTCTAAATAGTTGGCGAATAATTGTGCACTGTAAAGTAAAGTAAATATATTTGATTATTAACATGAAGTATGTTTTTAACAAAACGTGCCAAAATAGTTTTATCCTTCCACTCTAATCTAACTCTTTAAACGCCCCCGTGTTATATATTAGTGTGAAGCTAAATACCCTTGATATCTATATGTATAAAGTCGTAATCTCTGTCTGTCTGTTTGTTTGTCGAATAATAACTCGGAAACCCCTGGACCAATTTTCCTCCAATTTTGATTGGGGAACTCGGGAGAGCCACTGGAATGTTCTTAGCTTTGTTTTTAGATTGTAAGTTGAGTGGATTAACTTTTATTAGAAAATTTAGTTTCCTCGTAAAATCGACAAAGTGCGGGTAAACGGCGTGAGTAACTATGAGTAACCTGGGCAGCGCCGGGTTCCCAAGCTAGTAAATATATATAAAGTTGTAATCTCTGTTTGTCGGATCATAACTCAGGAACACTTTCATCGATTTGCCTCAAATTTTGATTGGGGAGCTCGGGAGAACCACGGGAATTTTCTTAGTTTGGTTTTGATATTCTAAATTGAGTGGGTCGACTTTTAAAGCGAAAATCGACCGAGTGCGGGTAAATGGCGGGACTAACTATGACTCCCTTGAGCCACGCTTGGTTTTTAAGCTAGTAATATTGTTTTATATTAGTTGTGAAACTAAGTACCCCTTGATATCTTTAATAATATTTATTGTGTCCCCTCTTCTATAGCTCTTCAACCCTACTCTTCAACTTGTTTAGAACATAATCTTCTGGTGAGAACCCTTACATAACTTCAGAGTATGCGGGTTAAAGGAGACAGGATTAAAGAGCAAAATCACGAATTTAAAAAAGAGGCACCATATGAATCTCATAAGTCTGTGTGACTTCCAATTTTTTAGAACTATACTTGTAAAACATTTGCAGATGTTACACTATAGAAGTAAATATTTCCATTTAGTGTATATAGCGCTGATTAAAGGATTTATAACTCTAATTGGATAATGAGATAGATAGAAAGATAGATGTTAGCGCCAAGCAATTTCTATTGCTTCAGAATAGACAACAAACACATGACTGAACCCTGATTGGATCAGGCGCTAATGGACTCGGCATACTAGAGTGGTTAAATGTATGAGATTTGCCACAAACTCAAATTTTCCAACAGTTTCACCAGCAGCTTGAAAAATGTGTTATATGAAATGTTGTGTTACACATTTATTGACTATTTATAATCAAAATTTGAGTCTAACAGTCCATCCAATTTTAACGCTCAAACTTGAAAGACCCCTTTGCCAGTCCAATAATGGTAGCCGAGAGCTTTCAAATTTATTGTGCATTTAATTTTGAAATAACTAATAATCCTCATTGATTGTCCATTTTGGAGGGATGATTTTATGAAATTTATGAAATTTATTCAAAAACGACGAAGAAAAATGTAACAAAATTTCTACAGTAAACTAATTAGACGCTAAGGAACATATTTTTATTAGAGATTTGTCAATGTTAGAATCAATTGTTTCTTTTCACCATTTTATTGATTTTCTTATTCTTTATGAATTTGTTTGCAGATTTCTTCAAATTCTTTAAATGTCGTCTTTTCATTACCAATTCCATGAAATCTCCAGAAAATGGTTTTGAACATTGAGATATTTACAGAAACCAATAACTTAGTAAGATTACTTTTTTTGATGAAAAGAGTTATTTTTTATTTTCTCAACCTGTATTTAAACAACTAATTAGTTTACTCTTTTTTCTTCCAATTTTCGTGGTCGTCATTGAATAATCTAAATAAAAACAATTCTCAAGATCATTCCTACAAAGTGGACAATATTTAGATTTTAAAGATTGCATTTGCGCTCTTGCTGAACAAATATGCGCCATTAAAACGTCTAATCAGATCTCAAATGAATCCTAAAAGATTTCTTAAAAATTCTGCAATCTCAGTTCATCTACCATTCATTTTATTAAAAAAAAAACTAATTTAGAGAGAAGTATAACTTGCAAGTTGCATTTGTTTAAAACATGTCAAATATTTTACCCTTTTCGGTTTTATTTTATATTTTTCTAAAGAATTATTTTTCAAAGTATATCCACTTGGTGACATTATTCAAGAGAGAGAACTAAAAGAAATTAAATCTTTTTATTAAATATTCAGGGCAAGTACAAAATAAAACTGTTGTAATTTTATTTGGACTTTTAATATTTTACATTTCTCGAATTTAAGGAAGGTTGGAATAGCTTAAAATTAAAAATAAAATTAGGTTTTTTCTCTCTATTTTACATGAATATCTAAATTGCATGATTTATGCATCTCTGATTTCTCTGAGTATTTTTTGATAATTATTTAATAATTAAAAATTCTGTTTACCCTGCATGTAAATTAAAAGTTAAAATTCTAAATTTGATCTTAAAGTATCTAAATTTTAACTGAACATTTTTGCATACTCTTCCCCACTTAAGGATTTTCAACACTCTACTATAGACTAAATCAAGGTTTTGGCGTGCTGTCGGCGCCCCTAAATCCTTTCTATCTGGCTGTTAGAACCCATTTATCATAAATTATAAAGGAGATTAATTCTATTCCATAAGCTTATTTAAAATGTTCCGCTCATTTAAATCTTTAAATATTTTCTTGTGAAACATGCCAATTCTGAATTATATCTAAAATGCATTGGAAGGTCGACACGGCTTGAATTATAAACTGTTATTCTATTCCGTTCGACGGATTAAAGAATGGGGGGGGGGTAATATCAAAGGTTTACACCGGCAGGTTGCCAAGATCATATTTGAAACAAATCAACCTTCATATTCTGAACAGTATAAAGTACAAGAAAATATTTTAAAGATTATTAAAGAAAACATCTTATTTAAACTTATTTCTTAGTAAATTTAAAATAAAAAAAAATTGCAGTTTTTTCTTCTATTCGGTGAACTTAAAAAATATTGTGTAACTTTAATTTTTACACGGCAATTCACCCTTACATGGGGGTCTTGATAGGTTGCACTGAAAACAATTGGCCATATAGGGTCTGATCGGTACAGCACCTTGGAACTTTTATTGGATAAAAATAAAGAAAAAGACAAGGCGCGCAACAAATATAAATATATTTTTAAAAATCCGTAATTTATACTGAAGATTGCATTAAGCATGAAACGTGATGTTTATGAATAAAATGTTATCAGAATATTGTCGAATTTTCACTGAAATATATCTGTTTGGATACCCAATAAACGTCAAAACGGCTGAACCGAACGGGTCCATATTCAAAATTCAAATTAAGTATATTTTTTACTCCAATCATTTTAGATTCTTTGCTTGGTGTGTTTGTTACCTCCTACAGTATGCGAGATCTTGGAACTGCTTTTTTTCTCTGGGGTTTAGAGGGGCCCAAACCTAATGAGAGAAGGTTCAAAAAAAGGTACTTAAACCTTTTAAAGAGGTGCTTAAACCTCTTTAAAAGGTATTTAAACATCCTTATAAGGTACTTAAACCTCTTTATGAGGTACTTAAACCTCTTTAATAGGTACTTAAACCTCTTTAAAGGGTACTTAGACCTCTTGAAAAGGTACTTAAACCTCTTTAAAATCGTAAACCTCTTTTAAAGGTACTTAAACCTCTATAAAAGGTACTTAAACCTCAATATAAGGTACTTAAACCTCTTTAAAAGGTACTTAAACCTCTTTAAACGGTACTTAAACCTCTTAAAAGGGTACTTAAATCTCTTAAAGAGGTGCTTAAACCTCTTTAAAAGGTACTTAATCCTCAATAAAAGGTACTTAAACCTCTTAAAAAGGTACTTAAACCTCTTAAAAGGGTACTTAATCCTCTTTAAAAGGTACTCAAAAAAGGTATTTAAACCTCTTTAAAAAGGAATGTGATTGGCATGCCCGATTCCCAACCTTACTTCTTAAACCTTTATCTGAGGAAAATAAGGAAGATATCGTCGTAATTCTATCTGGAAAGTGTTCAATTCTGACAATTTCATTCTTACTCTATTTCTGCATTAATCCGAAACTAATTTGCAGATCATTGTTAAAATGGTAAAAACGTTAAATATGTTTGAAAATAATTAGAAGAGGTTTAAATCAAATCTCATTTTCCGCCGCTTTTTGTGTGTGAAAAGATTGTATATTTTTTTAATCTTATTACAGACCCAACAACTTCCGTAATGTAAAACATAACTCATGTCCCTTTTCTTAAACTGTTGATACTGCTGAAACAAATCAGAAAAGTTTTAACTCTTGAAAACTTTAAGCAAAATGTATTTTTTCGCTTCTTTATTCGTTCTGAAACATTTCATATTAGGATCAAATTACAAAAAAAAATATCTTTTAACAATTTTTATTTTTAATCGCGTTGACATTAAAATGTGCTTTTGTAATAAGAATCAAAAAGCATTTTTTAAAACATATTTTTTCAGATATTTCACATTTTGGAACAACTACAACATTATCATGGATTTGCTGTTCATGATCGGCCTGTTGATCCGGACCGTCGAGTACATCATAGACGACAGTACCATGGATATTTCAGCTGTCAGGAAATCAATCATTCATTTAGTGTCACCGATACAAGAGAACTCAATTATAGAGTACTTTGATTAGTTTACAAAACACCCTTGATATAACATTATACAATATCAATAGGCTATTGTAACATAGCTGATATCGCATTCTAATTTTCTAATCCTAACATCTTTGAAACCTAATGTGACAGATCTTTGATGTTTCAAACTATGAATTCTGTTAGAATAATTAGTAAAAAAGTAGTAAACGGTGTTCACCGTTAGATTGCGATGATATTCTGATTAGCAAATTAAAGTTTGAAATGAGTTTTTTTAATACCTCTATTTTTTTGTCCGATAAATACTTTAAAATATTCTGTTTAAACTTTTTGTTAAAACAGTTTTTTTCGTAGTTTTTCCAATAGTTTTGTCCCTCAAAATGCACTATATTTTCAAGTTGTATGAAGGAACGAACTGAATTTAAAATTTTGATTTGAACCTGAAGTATGTATTATATATATTTTCTACTCTGAGAGTTATAGGACGGAAAACTCTTCTATATTCTTGTTGTGGACCTAGTGTTCATTTTATACAACATGTTTCTAACTTGAATAATTTTTAAAAACAGTATTAACAATATTAAGAATAACATCAAGAAATTGTTCCTAGCAGAGAAATGACTGCAAACAAAAAAACAAAGAAAGCATGTCTAAAATTTTGTTGACTAACTTTTAAAGTTAAATAGATCTAAATGCTAAATCATGGGTAAAGAAACTCACTCAAATGTTATTGTTCTTATATCTTTGCAATCTGATAGTGTAAACCTTTGATGTTACAAACTTTTTGATCAAGAAAATCATAGATTGAAATATCGAAGGTTTACGACATCATGATACAAATATTAAGAGATTAGAAAAAATATATAATATTGACTACTTTAATTATGACATAAAACTATTTAAATATTTAAAGTTAAAAAGTCTAAAATTTTAGAAATAACATTTAAATGAATCTGAAGTCGTATTTTTTGTATTGTTTTAGCAAGAAAGCAATCAGATCAGCTTTTAATCGACTGTAGATTAAGGTCAAGGAAAATACGTATAAGCTCTTTTCAAAGGATAAAACTTGACTTATAATTCAAAACTTTCAACTGAGGATTTATCAAGCTCAGACTCTGTATGATTAAGCCCTTTAATAAAAGTTCCTACCTCTGTAGAGGATGAATAGGTGAATGAATGAATGAATGAATGAATTAGTTCTGCTGGCCGAATATTCTGGGGAATGGCGTTCACGTTTGCGATCATAAAGACGATCAAGATCGGTATTGCATCCAAGTACTTTGGTCCTATCATTCTCAGTATTAACGCCATGATGAAGGTATTTTAGAGATTTTAGAGATTTTAACAAAGAGAATAGAATATATATTAGAGTGGAATTTACTAGAAAAAAGTGTAAAACGGCCATTTTGTTGTACTGTTTCCATACTGCAGGTGTACTTAACATATTTGTGCCATATAACCTTTTGGTTTTATAAAAAATCTAAAATTAATATTAAAAGAAAACCAAATTATGAAATAGGCTGGTTTCATAATTGACCAATGATCATTTCACATAGACTCTATGCCTTTCACTTTTACAAACGATGATTTTCCGTTATAAATGTAAATCAAATGATGTTTTTATTCACCTAATTCATTTATAAAGTTATTTAACAGCTTTAAAAAATTCGAAATTGAAATGGATAGTCTAGGGAACATACTGTATTAATGTACTCTACTGCATATAATTTGTGAACATTTACATGATTTGTACATTTTGAACTTCCTTTCAGGCTGAAAGGGACTGACAAAATTTATACCGGGGGATTGTATAAATTCCACTTTAATATATATTCTATTCTCTAGAGATGTTTACCGCTATATTTATATATACTTTTAACTACTTACACATATAATTATAATAAGTATATACCTACCATTATATTTATATATGCTTTTAACTATTTACATATAATTATAATAAGTATATATACCTACCATTATATTTGTATATACTCTTAACTACTTACACATATAATTATAATAAGTATATACCTACCATTATATTTATATATACTTCTTACTTAAACCTCTGTATAGCTATTGTGTATACATATCTACCCACCTGAATTTTATAATTTATATCTATTTAAAAGTACCAATCTACCTAAATTATACCTACGTCCTACCAATCAACTTGCCAACTTACCTTAAAACGAAACAGAACTTTTTCAACATTTTCAAAAGTTTTTTACTACAACCTACTTCCCATCTATATAAGCTGACTCTCAAGATTTAAAATGGTATATATATATATTGCCCCGGAACTGCTGAGAAAGGGTTAAGAGAATGGGTCGGAAATACATTTCCATGAATTAGGATTAATTGTCTTGTTTTGTTTCATTTATACATTGTACATATAGTAACCAAGGTTGTACATTGTACAATGTACATTCATTGTAAATGAAATTCTGTACAATTACATAAAAACCCTATTCAAGTGCAAGGGTATCTCACATGAGTTTAAACTTTAAAGACTACCTAAAATCCTTTCAAAAGAACGACCTCTCTGCAAAAAAAAACTTTTGAAGGAATGAGTGTAAGAAAAAAGACAGAATGAATCTTGTACTTAACCCTATTATCAACACCTAAAAAACTATGAATCAACAAAGTAAATGGTTCAAATAAATTCCATAGCAAAAATACAAAGAGAAATGTTAACACAATAATGTTTGTTATTATTTCAATAATCTCTTAAAAATAATATTTAATTAGTATAATATCTTCTAATATATGAAAGAGAAAAACTATGGGGTTTAAATAGGTTCAAAAGTTAAGGTTCTCTGACTTTAAACCAGGAACCCTTATTTACTGTACGCTACCGGGTTTCAAAAAAGTTTTTATATAATTTTCCATTCTATTTGGGTCAGTTAAATACTCTGCATATCTTCATTCTCTGTGGATTAGATAAATATTCTGTATTCTTCATTCTCTGTGGATTAGATAAATAATCTGTATATAATCATTCCCTGTGGATAAGGTAAAAACTCTGTATATCTTCATTCTCTGTGGATTTGATAATACTCTGTATATCTTCCTTCTCTGTGGACTAGCTAAATAATCTGCATATCCTCATTCTCTCTGGGATATATAAATCCTCTGTATATCTTCATTCTTTGTGAATTGTGTAAATACTCTGTTTATCTTCATTCTCTATGGATAAGGTAAAAATAATCTTTACATCTTTCTACTCTGTGGATTAGATAAATCCTCTGTATATCTTCATCCTCCGTGGATTAGGTAACAACTCTGTATATTTTCATTCTCTGTGGATTAGATAAATCCTCTGTATATCTTCATCCTCTGTGAATTAGATAAATGCTCTGTGTATCTTCCTACTCTGTGGATTAGATAAATAACTAATTTAATCCTCCTCCCTCTGTCCTACTTGGCAAAATAGTTGCTTGATACCTTGCAATCTTAGAATATATATATATATATATTTTTATATATATATTAGAAAAAATAAAAGCATTAAAATACACTGAACCACTGACAGTTTTACAATTTTTAACACACAAATTATTAAATATATTAAAAATATTATATTTGTTTAGACTTTGTATTATAACTCTTGTTTCAGGTTTCAGATTTAAGGGGTACCGTTGTGAATTGAATATAGGTTAATTTGAAATTACATTCACAGTCCCTTAAAGAACATCTGAAGTACATGGTTTAAGCGCCCTGTACACTGTACATTGTTGTACTTTGTAAATTGTACAATGTACATTTAAATATTATGCTCCAATGGGGATTCTTTTAACATCAAAGGGTTGATATTATTCCAATTATGATTGGAAATTGCACTACCATCGGAAAATCTTCCAATATATATTTTCAAAAGTTTCAAACATGTCAGCAAGGAATTAAAGGAAATTTACATTTCCAGAATATTTCAAAAATGATTAAACATTTTGTATGAGAACTTTAGGTGTCATCAGTGTGTCGAATAACAATTTGGTGGATCAAGCTTAGGAAAAGGTGGAGTGTAAGGAGGGAGTAATTAGTAAGCCCCCCCCCCCCGGGGTATTAGGGGAGGGTCAGCCAAAATGAGTTTATTTTATAAACCTCTTGTTTATGTGAAATTAGGCTTGGCCGCTGAAGAATTCTTTTTTAAGAGAAGTTAGGTTAAGTTAAGAATTTCGAAAACCCGGTATTTTATTGAAAACTCTTAAAATAGGATTTTCAACACTCTACTATAGACTAAATCAAGGTTTTGGCGTGCTGTCGGCGCCCCTAAATCCTTTCTATCTGGCTGTTAGAACCCATTTATATATTTAGATTATCCCGAAACCGATGTGCTTTCTTGTGCTTTTGCTATAAAATATATGTTTTTCTTTCGAAATACTCACTGTAACAAAGACGACATCTAAATATATTTCAGGTTTACAGGATCCATTTAAGGATAAATATATCATTGGGAAAAGTAATTTTAAATTGAGATCATTTTAGATCAATACAAGATACAATGTTTGTAAAATAAAAGATTATCAGAATATATATTCATGTTGTCCATTCTCACCATGAAACACAAGACAAATGCATTTTAAGAGGAGTATTGTGACAAAAACCAGTCACCCCCCCCCTGACCCACTAAAATACCCCACCATGCCCTCCCCTCCCCATCCTGATGTATACTTTTTTATTGAATAATAAATACATATACATAATACATATATACAATGCGCACCAAATTCGCCACCAAAGGAGTAAAATGTCAATCATGTGAGGACGGAAAAATATAGAAAATCTTTCATTTCATACATCTAGAGATTGTAAAACTAATAAAAACCACTAATTCATTTATATTTGTAAATGATTTAATAGACATTGTTTTATTCATTATTTATTCATTCTCTTTACTGTAGGATGTGGGAATGTTCCTCATCACTTTCTTCGTAATCATGTTGGCCTTCTCCTGCGGAGTGTCCTACATGTTCAACTACCTCTCCGACGGAACAGATGCACGGGCTGGGGGTAGTAGTACTCCAGGGGTATTCACATACTTCTTCTGGGTTCTTCTTCAGGTATTCTAAATTTATCTGTTTGTATTTTCTTACTCCTTTAATTTTACGTTTAAGTTTAGGCTGTAATTATGGCTAATGCTTACTTACAGTGAATCCCAGATATATGAATACATAGCAAGAGTTTTTTATAATGTCGTATTACATATTTAAGATCAAATGCCGCGGAATAATGAGTTAAATAGAGCCTGAAATATGAATGCAATTGATAAATTAATATTAAACTCATTTGATCTTGAATATGTAATCCGACATCATAAAAAACTCTTGCTATGTAACATATATCTGGGATTCACTGTACATAATTTGCATTATAGTTTATAATCAAAACTGGCCGTTTTAGATAAAATGTGATGATATCTACAGTGCACATAAAAGAAAATGCATAAAGTTTATTACCAACCTTAGCCATTCTAGCTAAATTTTTGTTGTTTCGTAGCCAACTACGAAATTAATATAGTGATTAAAAATCTTTTCCTACAGAGAGAGGTGCCCTCCCCTTGAAGGATCGCAAGGCAAAGGGGGCATCCACCTGATTGTCCCACTCAGTTAGGGCCCTGGTCATGTTTCCTCAGTTACAAATAACCAAAGATTAATTTACAATTACAGATAGAATAATAGATGTTGTATTTTCGCATGCAAGACAGAGAGAGAGCATATGCGTAACTCATTTGGACTTCTGCCTCTGCCTCAGGGTAGTTGTGAACGAAAAACCCCTAAATTGTCAAATGATGCAAATAACCAAGGTTATAATACAAGGAAAGTTAATTGCAGTTGCGTATACTCTGCGTACATATTGAAACCAGTTCTCTCTGGGCGTAATTTGTAAACAAGAATAGATGCATCAGTGTTCGTTTTGTATCCGAGGAGGTTAAAATCATTAAATGTAGATAATTTTGATAATTCACATAATAGTTTCCTATGACCAGAATATTTCATTGATTTTTTATGTGAAAGATAGATCCCATATCAGGCTTCTACATCCGTCTTGTGTTTACATTACCGCCCAGAGACAGTACACTGTAGTACAAACGATGCGCACACCTCTGAAATAACTTTCCTTGAATTATAACCTTGCAAATAACTATCTATCAACATCTTAACTTATAAATAGAAGACTTTCTCTTTCCGTTTTATCCAGATCATTGCTAAACAAAACAAAGATTTATACTGCACTCAAACGATGTCACACATATCGTTGCCATGTAAATAACAAAAATGAAGAATAAAGTATGAGAATGTGCAATTTCGACGTAATGTTTCAATTTAAAATGCTATGGAAAATTAGATATCCTTGACAAATTAAATAACAAAAGTTAAGTATTTTTAAAAAGGGTAAACCAGAAATTTTAATTTTCGTAATGTTCATGCAATTTTTCATTTAATAATTTTTTTGTTTCAGCCGTTCCGTGGGAACCCCGACTACGACAGGGTTGCCGATCTACCCTACGATAGCAACTGTTTGAAAAATGTTGCCTCTTCAGCAGCAGAGATTAACATTCACTCTATAAACAAGTAAGATTTTTTTTGAATTTTTTATTAGTAAATAGCAAATAAAAAAATGAGTAGGATGTGCTGGTGTAAATGAAGGGATACATTTCAATCTTGGTTTGTACGCACACTAGTTTGAAAAAGGACAATGAAAAATAGCGGAAACAAACATGATATTATGCTTTTTTGTCAACTATGAGAGAAATGTAAAATTAATAAAAATTCTTAAAGGTTTTTTTAAATTTCACATTTTTGTTTGTTTGTTTGAATATTACTTTGTACGTGACAAGCTTTTATCGTAATTGAATATCTGGGTTTAAATAAAAATAATGTAAGTTAATTAACCAAGCTAGACAGATTCTTATCTCAATTTTTTTTAAATGGCACTTTAGAATAATTGAAATTTAACATTGGTGTAATCTAGCATAAATCCTTTTTACTAAAAATTCATTGATAACAAAAATAATTTAAAAATCCTTTTATATTTTTTGTCTCCCTGATATGTAAAATAATTAAAACTACGAGAGTTTCGAGTTCACACAGTTGTACTAGTTTAATTCCAAATTGATTTGACCTTGCTTTTTGTTTCCAGTCAGAAGTATGACAACTTCTATATTTACTTACAATTATCAACTTTTTTCATTTTTTAAATTTATATCAAATAATGATGAAGGAAAAAATTTTAAATGTTGTTGAACCAAAAAATTTAACTTTAAAGGATGATTGTGTGTTTAATATAAAATAATTTTCTCCGACTCACTCAGATAAACTTTTTACAAGTTGCTAAATTAGTTCTGAACATACAGGGTTAACCACAAAGCATGAGACTGTAAAGACGACCTAAAACTCTGTTAATATGACGATCACTTCTACTTCCACTTTGTATAAAGTCTTTTTATAACTTATTTTATAATTTAGCGAAGAAAGAGATAAGTTTACAGTTGCAGGGAATCATAAATATGAGGAAACAGACTGCAACAAAAATTCCGTCTAATCGTCTCTGAAGTCTTTTCATTTTTGGGTAACCCTGTATAGACGATATAGACCACTTTACATGGAAATACATGTAAATACCTAGAATGGAAAAATTGACTCAAATTCGTGATTTATTTTTACTGCCGTTTTAACTTTTAAACAATGAAATAACATGTATATGCATTATATCTTCTGTATAATAAAACAAGACATTCGTATATATGTTCCCTATAGCCGGCCAAACGGCTGGACCGAATGGGTTGACATTTTTTGAGAGAACACAGGGGTAACTTAGGCTGAACAAATTTCGGAATTTTTTTTCAAATTTTTTTTTTCAATTACACGGACAGCGCTTGGCACTTTAATAGTATATTATAATAAAAGAATTAATTTTAATTAAATATTTAAAATTCCCCTCAAAGTTTGAGATTAAAGAGACAAATGTACAGACTTTGTACAATCTTTTTGCAGTTTAACGGTTAACCCGGTACTTAGGAGTTAACCCAGTACTTCGGACACATTGAAAGAATTTATAAAACTAGAAATTCAAGGCGCTTCGCGCCCTTCTTTCTAGCCTTAGAGGGCGCTTCGCGCCCATCTCCTAAATTAAGTGTGAACATGTTCTCTTTGTGTACATCGTAAAACAAAACAAAAATAATTCGCGGATTTTCACAAAAAATTTCGCGGATTTTCAAAATTTTAAAAAATTTAATGACGATCGAATTTTGATGGAGACAAATATTTGAAATTTTGATGATTCATAAACCTTCCCTGGAGTCCCTAGATGTCCCACACAAAATTTGGACCCGATCGGTTCAGCCGTTTTGACGTTTATTGGATACAAACAAACAAACAGACAGACAGACAAGCCAAATTTATATATAGATGTCGTCTTGGCGATTTTTAAATTGGTTTTATACTATTATACCTAAATCTCAGTAATTGTAATAATAAAAATTAGTCATTAATATGGGGGAACAATTTAAGGAGCTCCATATAATTAATTAATTAAAAAATTAAATATCAGCAGCCTTCCACGATCACTAAGTTAGGAATACGACATTTTATAAATTCTTTCGATGTTTCGAAGTACTGGGTTAAACTGTAGAAGTTCCATGCATCTGTTACTTTTCTTTTTTAAATCATTCAGTTTACCCTCATCAAAACATATTTAACCTTCAGAGCGTTATATTTTTAGGTCGCCAAAGAAGTCTCATTCATTGTGGGCATATTCATAAAGATGAAATTTACTTCTATGTACTCTATGTGTAGACTGGAAACTATGTACAATACTAACTGTTATGTACTGTAGTTGCAGACAGGAAACCATGTACAACACCAAGGAGAATTGAATAGAAGGAAGGGGCGATCCGCGATAGGGTTTCCGTACACTTTGCTGTGACGTTTTTGGACTGCTGAAGAACTAGTTTTTGCGTAACAACAATAGCAAAGGCAGCCGATCTAATGTAAACAAACATGAGTTAGTATACGGTGAATCTTCATCTAACGCCAGAAATGCCAGATGTTTGTTTATCATTTGTGTTATTGTTTACAATCTTTATTATTGTTGTTATGCAAAAACTAGTTCTTCAGCAGTCCAAAAACGTCACAGCAAAGTGTGCGGAAACCCTATCGCCCCCTCCTTCTATTCCATTCTCCTTGTACACCACTAACTATTATGTACAGTAGGTGTAGACTGGAAACAATGTACAACGCTAACTATTATGTACTGTAGGTGTAGACTGGAAACTATGTACAACACTAACTATTATGTACTGTAGGTGTAGACTGGAAACCATGTACAACACTAACTATTATGTACTATAGGTGTAGACTGGAGACCATGTACAACACTAGCTGTATGACCGCTTCTATTGCTGCACTTTATCCTGGCAGGGTCAGCAAGGCTGATATGTCTCAATGCGTTATATCCAGGTAAAAGATAAAATACAAAATTATTTGCTTAATAACAACATCAAACACAATGCGGTAACGTCGTCTTACTATTATACTGTTTTGTTGGTCTCCACTGTAGTGGATGGATTATTTAATACAAGAATTAACAAGAAATGTACTTTGACGCTGAATAGTTCTAAGCCCCCTCTCTCTCTTCTCTCGGATATTATTATTTCTCAAGTAAAGTATAAACTATACAGTATGCACCAACTGTTGTTGATTGATCTTAATCCAATTATGTAATATATGTTTCATCTTATATACCGGGTTATATATTTAATTGATATGGGATGGAGAAAAGTAGAGAGGCTAGAGCGCATTAACTTAATCATAGTTATAATCTATTTTTGAAAAAAATGAAAACAGTTCATGTACAGAGTGCAGATATACATGAATGAGCACATCGGTTCCCTAGTTCAAGTTTTTGTTTAAATTCAATTTGAGTGTTACCAAAAAAAAGTAGGGTATAAATAATGAATCTTAATGCAGTTATGTATGGATTAGTTGTACTTTTTCTTTCTATGGAGGACAATAGTTATTACATTTTATAAAAAAAAACATCGGAAAGGATTAAGAGATAATAAATCAAAATATAATTTGATTAAAGTTAATTTTTACTCTTTACTTATTTTGTGAACAGTCCCTTTAAGTCTGATAAATGATGATAAGATAAAGTATTGATTAATTGAGTGATGAAAAGTGCAGTGCTCCGATGTTTACTGAATAACTCTGTACATAACTACTGACTAGTGATGTGCATTTAGTTGGATCTTTCAGGGTAAAATTAGAGTAAGAATAGAAAATCAAAAACTATTTACAATATTTTTGGAATAGAGAGATTAAAAAGTTTAATAAACGCAAAATACATCTTTAAATCTTTGCGAGTTTTTTTTTTAATTTAGAAAAAACGGTAAATGAAGATTAACAATTGTTACCTAACTAGGCGGCAGGGGGCAGAACACCTAGAAACAGCTGTTGTACCTATGTGGGTAATCTACCAATTTCTAGGAATAAACCAAACCAAACTAAATATTGATTTTTAAAAACATAAATAGTATCAAATCACAGGCAGCCGTAGTACATTTGAATTTCCGAGCCGGGTCAACCTTTCCGGTCCCAGTTTGTACTGTACCTAGCTCTTTGGACAGGACTAGCCGGTGCAACAAGGTTTACGCTGTCAGACTTTATGCTTCATATAGGTTCAATTTACTGTTACTATAGGGGAAGAGGTGCGTGAAATAGATTTAAATTCTCAGATGATAACAATAATAATTACGATACCAAATTTACCCTGGCATACAGGGAGAACCAGAAAATTGTGGAACAACAAAGACGAATTTTAGTTTTGATTTTAAATAGTCCAATTAGTGTTGTCAATCGTCTTTGTAAACGATCGTTAAACGATCGTTTTTTGTTTCGTTTTCAAAAACGATCGTTTCGTTTTCAGAAAAAAACGATCCTTTTTAAAAACGACCCACTTGTTTTGAACTTTTAGAAAACGAATAGCGATCGTTTTTGAAAACGATCGTTTTTATTAAACCGATTTAAGATCGTTTTTTATAGGATTGTTTTTAAAAAAACGATCGTTTTTGAAAACACGATCGTTTTTGAATTTTTTTTTATTGACAATTATGTTAACGATCGTTAACGAACGGTCGTCGTTAACGATCGTTAACGAAGGGTCGTCGTTAACGATCGTTAACGAAAGGTCGTCGTTAACGATCGTTAACGAAGGGTTGTCGTTAACGATCGTTAACGAAACGACGAACTTTATCAAAACGGTTGTTTTTGGAAAAAAATTACATGCAACTTTATTGAATGTCGTCTTGCATGAAGTTTAACAGTTGTGGGGGAGTTAAAACTCCTTGATATTTTCTTAAAAACTACTCAATGATAAGTACAGATGCACTTCAGGTCGGTTTCCTCTCTTCGTTAACGATCGTTCACGAAGGGGTCGTCGTTAACGATCGTTAACGAAGGGTCGTCGTTAACGATCGTTAACGAAGGTCCGTCGTTAACGATCGTTAACAAAACGACGAATTTTATAAAAACGATCGTTTTGAAAAACGAGCGTTTTGAAAAACGATCGTTTTAAAAACGACCATTTAAAAAAAACGAACTTTTTGAAAAACGATCGTTTTTAAAAACGATCGTTTCGTTTTCGATTTTTCGTCGTCGTTATCATAACGAAACGATCGTTTTTCTGAAAAATGAAAACGTTAACATCCCTAAGTCCAATGAACATGTAACTCTGAAATTGTGCGATGTGCACAGAGTACAGACCAGTTCACCGGCTCTAGTAAAACAGTTAACTTTGTAACAACATCAAGTACAATTTAAACATTGTTTTAATGTTGTCTCCCTATTTCATAGTTTTCTGGTTCTCACTGTAGATAATATTATGCTAAAATAATTAAACCAATTGTTTTGATTTAGAGCATCATATAATTTAGAAATATAATAGAAATAGCGAATTCTTGCGTTTAAAAAGGCCCAAAATACCTATTGGTCATTGCGGACTGCAGTACAGTAAACCTTGAATTTTTAAAAACAATGCAATCTGTAGTACGTAGTGTACTGCATGTACAATGTATATAATATGGTTTGTTTAATAGTGAGTGTTGTACTCTTGAGAATACTGATTGTTATGATGACACTAACGTACAAGAAAATATACGATAATCTAGACAAACAGTGGAAGTGAGTTCACATTTTAACATTTTAGTATTTTACAAGTTTAACATTAAAATATAAAATAATTTAATTTGAATTGCTCGGTTAAAGACCCTAGTAAAATTTATATTCACGTTTTATGTTCATATATATTCCGTTTATTAAACTTCGTAATACTTAACGAATTGTAATTTAGTATACTGCACAATTTACTTCTTTACAAGGTTGTAATGCTAGGAAAGTTAATTGCAGTTGCCTATACTCTGCGTAATTTTGAAACCAGCTCTTTCTGGGCGGAATTTGTAAACAAGATAGATGCATCAGTGTTCGTCTAGTATGCGAGGAAGTTAAAAGCATTAAATCTTGATAATTTTGAAAATTCACACAATAGTTTCCTATGACCAGAATATTTCATTGATTATTTATGGGAAATATATGGATCCCATGTCAGGCTTAGATATCCGTCTTGTGTTTACATTACCGCCCAGAGACAGTACACTGCAGTACAAAAGATGCGTACACCTCTGAAATATCTTTCCTTGCATTACAACCTTGCGTTTATATATATATATATATATATATATAGGGTCAAAACAACGATAATGTTTTCGTAGAGGAAAAATATAAAGTTCATCGCAAAATGTTTTTTTCCACCATTTTCAAAAAGTTCTGAATTATAATTTTAAAAATTAAAATTTATTTTTAAAAATAATGTTTTTAAGGCATTTTTTAAAGGTGTTCTCAGATTTTGACATAAATGAAAAAAAGTTAAAAATCACGTTTTATTAGATCAGTTTCAAACACTAGATATTCTCGGTCGTGAAACAAAACACAATTTTCTGTTCTGTACAGTACAAAAAAATACAATTTTAGTCCATACAATGTATGTTCTGTAGATTTTATAAATGCTCCGTTTTACAACGTAATACAATTTATGTATTGGATTTTATGTTTTGTACAATATACATATTCAAGGTTTCTATGTTGTGAACAACGTAATGAAATACAATTGTACAGTGTTTATATTCTAGGTATGCCCGGTTGTACAACGTAATACAATTTTTCGATCAGGATTCTCTTCTTCCCCCTCCTTTTACATTCCTTACAATCATTATGTACTGCGTCAGAGGAATAAATAGCTATAGGTGTCTCAAAAAAGGTAAAAATTATTAATACTATTATTATGATTATTATTATTATTATTATTATTATTATAAAGTACAACGCTAAGACAAGCTGTAGTCTCATAGATATAGAATACAGCACTCTCATCTTTAGTTTTATAGATAACGTGAAACCTCAACCCGACGGTAAACTGGGAAATAAATATAATACAGACTCATTCAGATCATTTTAAAGGGATTGTGGTCGTAATTTCAAGTAGCTCTCCACTCCGATTCACAACAGTACCTTTATCTGATCAAGAATGTATGAGATATCAATTATCCTTTCTTTGAAAATTGATTATTTTAAAATGTTGCTTCTCTTTAGCAATGCATGGTAATAATTGAATTCTTTTCAAGACTAAAAAAACGACAGTATCTTTTAAGAAAATGATCAGATATAGATTTAAAGGGGACTGTATTGAATCGGACATGCTCGTCACTTAAAATTACAAGAACAGTCCCTTTAATATTTCTTCAAATAGAGACGATGAAGAAATATTCACTGTGATTTAAAGATTTTCAATTTATTAACCGCACTTTGGCTCAAGTTAGTCTGGCAGAATAAATACTTTGGATCGCAATGAAATCAAAAATTATGTTTCTACATTTTGATCTATCTTGTTGGTTGTTTTTTGAATTAAACGAAAAGGAAAAAACCAAAGTTGTATTGTGACCTTTTATATTTTTTGATGAAAAATATAAATGTATTTAGGAAGAGATTAAATATTTGTGTTGTATCTATATCGTGATATACAATGTGTCATCGGGATATGTTTTTATGCATTTTTGCAAATATGATTCCTTTTTTATTTAAATACTTCTTGAATTTTTAAAGTAGAACAATATTGTGATGATGTATATTTTAGCAGAACAGATTAAATGTCGTCGTTGCTATACCAGTGCCGATTACTTTTGGCGCAGAACTCTTGCATGTGTTTAAATTTGAACTGTTTTATAAATGAAAATATTAAGAGTGATCATTTTTTTTCACAGTTAACCGTAAATTTCTGTGCTAGTAAAGCTAATGCTGAAAACAAATGCTTTAAAGTAAATGAGCAACTGAGGTAAAATTAAAAGCTAGGCATGATGACCATGTCTTCAAAATAGATGCTTTTCATTGCAGTCTGGATCTATGTGAAAGTTCTTTAAAAATATTTGTTGTCAATATCTTCCAAAACTTTGCTTGCATGATATTGATCTACTCTGAAGATAACGCTTCTTCTGAGGTATTTGTTATCTTCTTTGTAGTCATATTTTTCTATGTACGTTTTTCAATTTTTTAATGCACTTTTTTAATGCAATGGGCCAAGAAGGCTTACTTCAAAGTGAATAAATAAGATTAATTTACTAATTTGGGCTTTTTTTAGGTTTTAAAAGATTTCAGAAAATTAACCAATTCTCAATACTAACATTACAAATCAAGATAAATATAGATGATTAATGATGCCATTAATGATCACAGAAAGAATCCCTTTTCTTTTAAACCTGTCAAAACGATATTGCCCTCTGAGTTTCTGAAAGCATAATTGACAAATCTGTCATTATCGAAAATCAGATTTTTCGTAAAATATCATTTATTTAATTAAAATTCTTTCACAAAAATTAATTCAGTTATCATTCAAATTCATATCTTTTTCATATTTAGGAGATAAAAAGAAGTGATTTTGTGCTCCTCTTCATTCGTCTCATCCTGCACTCTGCACTCTCATTTCTCATTCACTCATTTCATCCAGAATAAGATGCAAACTTGTCATCCTAGTTGGACTACAAACCAACAAGTAGAGTGGAAAAAAACATTGATTTTTTTAAAAATCCTCATATGCAAAGTTTTTGGTGAAAATGCTTTTTTTAATATTTTGATTTGGCCATATTTAAGAATTTTATAATCATAATCATCCTCCCTAAATGTTATCCCTGCACTTATAAGATTTTAAAATAATATTTAAATTTGAAAAATTTATGACAGACTAGAAAATTTTGAAAAATTTTTATTTCATAGAAAATATTTCGATTTGGACATTTTTAATAATTAAATAATTATAATCATCTTCATTAAATGTTAACCCTGAACTTCTTAGATTTGAAAAAAATATTTTAAAAAATATATTTAAATTTAAAAGTTTTCGAGAAAAAGAAAATTTCGAAAAAAATGTTCGTAAAAACCATTTCGATTTGGCAATTTTAATAATTACATAATCATCTTTTTAGATGCTAAAATAATATTCTTCTTGAAGAATTATGATAATTTATAATTTACAAGTTTGTTTTTATTTATTAAAATACTTCTTCCTAAAGTTAGTAAACTTAATATTCAAAGTGTAAGTATATAATCATCTCGAGAAAACTTTAAACCTTAAAACTTTATAATTACAGCATTGAATAGCTTTTCAGAATTGAGTTTTACTTATTTAACACTTTTTATCACTTTTATTTTATGCAATTTTACAATAAGATGGACATTTAAATTAGAAATGGTTAATTATTAAAATTATATAAATAATTAATGAATTAACATAGACTTATTGATGACTCTGTATTCAAAGCGGTCCAATAACAATGCAGAAAGGTGTCTTTAAAAACCCTTTTACAAGAAACAATTGAGGAGACATCTTTGATTTTTTTTTCGAACTACGAGCGCGGCCTTGTGAACAGCGACAAAACAAAGACGAGAAAAAAATGGCGGAGATCAACGACGATATTTAAGACATCATTACACAAATTAAACTTGACAGTCTCATCAGATTTGTCATATTTTGCGAAATTAATTTTATGTTTAGTTTTATTTAAAATCCCTTATTTACAAAAAGCTCAAAATTTCGGTGCCGAATTAAACAATGTTTTCTTGATTCCGATTTTTGGAAGTTGTGTAATTGCGATCCGCGCGCAAATTTTAGGTTTTTATATAACATTAACTTCATAACTTAACTTTTAACATTCTAGTCATTCGATACTGAAACACTCTGATATGTTTATTTACATATATATTATATAATATATAACCCCTTTTTCTTCTAACTCTGATGTAAAATATTGTAAAAATATGAAATATGATCAGTTTTCCTTCGATATTAAAAAGAAAAAAGAAAATGTTAAACTTCAATGAATATGAAGTTTTTCTTTGAAAAGTTCAAAGAAAGTAACAGAAAAACAATGAGACACTAAGTTAGAATTTAAATTTTAAAAAATTAAGATCGTTAAAATCACTCTAAGACGTCTTACAATGTATATTATAGTTATGAATTTAAGTGTCCAAAAGCTCTTCCTTGTATGGACGCTGTCTAAAAGTTTATGCTGTTTTTTCTTCATTTTAAAAAATAAAATTATATATTCTCAGCAAGTTAAAAAAAGTAAAATACTACTTTTTAGTGTAAAAACTTATTTGAAAAATGCTCAAAAAAGCTGGTGTAGGTTAAATTAGACATATTTGTTTCGAAAATAAGATAAAAATATTATCTATTTATGTTAATATATATATCAACATATGTTTGTGATGATTATTATTATTATGATATAATTGTGTGCTTTTTTATATTCGTTTTTGCCAAAGATCCACAGTCTACAGTCAACAGTCTACAGTCTACAGTCTACAGTCTACAGTCTACAGTCTACAGTCTACAGTCTACAGTCTACAGTCTACAGTCAACAGTCTACAGTCTACAGTCTACCCCTTTCACATTTTAAATCCCCCCTTCTTTACATAAAGATTGCTGTCTTTCAATAGATTTGTTTGCTGTTTAGAAAATATCTATAGTTTATAGTAAGGAGAATTTAACCAATTTGGCCTACTGAACATCCATTTATTTCTTCTCAAGTCTGGATGTTGTGCAGACTAAATTACATGTCTCATCACTCTTGAGCCATTTATTTCACTTTTAAAATCATTACTGTTTAAAAAAATACGAGGAGGGGTGTTATGGTGACATTATCATCCCAAGGGACTATTTTGTTAACATCCCGCCAGTTGATAAGGAGGTGAAAATTATTGTATATCCTGAAAAAAATGTTTCTCTCTCTTAAATGTGATTTTAAACTTAAATATTGTGTTATGTGTACATATTCAATATCTATATATATAATTCTACATCAATCAAATAAACAAAACAATTCTCCCAAATTTTTAAAACGAAAGATTTTTAAGAATTAGAATACAATAGAATATACAAAGCGTGATTTGGAAAAATTGCATGCTAAGGAATTGAACAATCGACATACATTTACTTTACTTTTTCAACCTTTCATGTTTTCAATTATAAATTCTGTTAGATCTTATAGTCAGAGTTTAAAATTCAGGGTTCACTCAAAGCTAAAACCCACTATTTCTTCAGTCAGTACACACCAAAAGGATGAGATTGTAAAGACGACCTGAAATTCTTATAATTTGATACTTTCCAAGTTGCTTATTTTATGATTTGGCAAAGAAAGAAACTATTTTAAAGTTGCAAGGAATCATAAATATAAGATAACAGACCTATCAATTCCAAACAGTCGTCTCTGAAGTCTCATCATTTGCATATATCCCTGTATCAAAAGAATTATAATTCTAACCCATCAGGTTGAAAAGATTAAGGAAGTAAAAACTAAGAGTTTGTGGGGAGTGTTCAGTTTCTTTGCAAGTAAAAATTTCGGTATGTAAGAATCATGTACACTTCAATTTTATTGACAAGATTGTATAAATGTCTCTATTGCTATGAAGACGATTTCTTAACCGTTAATATCTAGGCACTACTACAGAGCGTTCCATATTATATTGGATTATCTCCAAGCTTTAACACATAATATTAAAAAAAACTAGCATTTTCTTCAAGAAATTTTTGATGATTCATTTTTTTCAAATTTTCTGATTTGTCCCTTAAATCTCAATTTAGAGCTATAGACGATCTAATACAGGTGTCCCAATAAACATGAGAATTAAGGGACGACTTTTATATCGTCTTCGATATGACATTTTTTCATGAACACAATTATTGCAGTATTCCAGTTTAAACATCTTGTATCAAAAACGCCTGGTCTTGAGATTTACAAAATATGGTCTACCATTGTTGCATCTTCAAAATTGACGGAGATATTGCAAAATTTGTACAAATTTAAATTTCTTAAATAAATCAATATTTTATAATACATATTTTATAACCAGAAATCTCTGTAATAGGAAGACGACTTTCAGACTCTAGTTGTGACTTTAAATAGACCAATGAGCATAGGACGAATAGGACACAGCAAGTGCACAGTGAAAACAGACCCATTTCACTTGATTAGCGATTTAATAAGTTTCTGATAAAACTTTTTGCATTGAAACAACCTATAATACACATAAGTATTGCTATCTGAACTGTTAGGTCTAAGAGTTGATAAATTATTGATTAAGACAGTAAATACTAAATAACTATTTGTTGTTAACATCAATAGACTCAATAGTTATTTGTTTAAATCATAATCAATAATTTATCAACTCTTAGACCTAATAGTTCAGATTATACAGGTCACTACAAAGCGAGTTCTGCCAGGACTGAGGCCTAGAGCAACTAAAATAAATCTTTACTTAAAAAGGAATACTATATGTGTAGGAAAAAAATCTCTACATAAACATAATTCTTCTTGTACCATGGATATACAGGGTGTCCCACGAAACATGACAATTGGTGAATAGTTTTGAATGGCTTCTTCAATATGCTGCATTGGATATATCATGGACTTTTTGCAGTTTATTTTGTTAGTAAAATCTTTTACTCAAATATATTTTACTTTGTAATAAGTTTTACAATAACATGAGTGCTATATAATATCTTTTCTTATTCTCTTTGGCATTAAACAGCCTAAAAATTATGGAAGAAGAAATTTTAAACTATGTACTAACTGTCATGTGTCGTAGGACACCCTGTATTCTACTGTACTTGGGAAGAACTTATACCCCTGGCTGGCAGGTATACATCTGAAAACCTTGTCTAGCCTAACCAAGAATGCAATAGAGGTTGCTTCAAAAATATTAAGATCTCTTTTGCATATGCACGGTCCAAACAAAAGTCGTCTTCCTATTTCAGAGTTTTCTGGTTATCACTGTATCTAATATCTTCGTCAATATTTAAGACACAAGAAAGGTAAACAGACAAATTTATGAAAAGACATACAGCCGATTGTTTTGATACTTCCTTAGCCATGCATTAAATAGCAAGGATCAAAGACGACTTTCTAGTCGTTTCTCAATTTCCATGTTAATTGGGACATCCTGTAGGATGAGGATCACCCTGTATGTAAATAATCCTGCAGGTAATTGACTTTATCACAGATTTCTATAGTATTTTTATCAGGACTGTTCCGGGCCATAATCTTTGATTGGCTATTCGTTCTCTGTACAGGATGTCCAAATAAACATGGGAATTATGCGATGAATTCGAAATCGTTCTTGTAGATACCTTGCAGCTATATATATATAGAGTAGCCAAAGAAACATAAGAATTAATTATATGGAGACTAAAAATTCTTTTATGAAACTATAAACCTTTATAATTCTTACTCATTTCATCGTCAATTTCATAATAAACGTGCTATAAAGTTAAATTGGCTGTTCATTATAGCAACGTTTGCTGTCATAGTTTTGATTGGTTCCCGGATTTTCTCCAAAAAATTAGGATATTCATATTTCATGGATATTAATTTACCTTGAAATAAAAATAAAAGAAGTTTCTGTAGAATTATCAAAAAAAACTTATTACGGTCTATGTATTCATATATCTATGATTCACTGTATCTAATTATTAATTATCTAATTAATAAGATTTAAAAATTTACGATAAAAGTAAACATTTTTGATACACCCTATGCCGTTATCATTTGAACACTCTGCAGATTAATGTCTGTAGGGCTCGTATAGGGCCTGCAGCGGATGATGAATAATGAAAATAAGTTGCAGGTTGAAAATACCGGTTTCGCGCCAAAATAAAAACTAATTGTAACAGATCAGATTCTTCAGATAGATTTGAAACTGGAGACGTTAAAACAATACATATTTCAAGTTTATTGGGAGACTTTATAAAAATAGACCAAGATTTAACTCATGAACAATCTTTTTAGACCAAGATTCAACTAATGAACAATCCTTCAGACCAAGATTTGGCTCTTGAACAATCCCTTTAGACCAAGACTCAACTCATGAACAATCACTTTAGACCAAGATTCAACTCATGAACAATCCCTTTAGACCAAGACTCAACTCATGAACAATCAATTTAGACCAAGATTCATCATGAACAATCCCTCAGACTAAGATTAACTCATGAACAATCCCTTTAGACCAAGATTTAACTCGTTGACAATCACTTTAGACCAGGTTTCAACTCATGAACAATCTCTTTAGACCAAGATTCAACTCATGAACAATCTCTTTAAACCAAGATTAAACTCATTGACAATCACTTTAGACCAAGTTTAAACTCATGCACAATCTCTTTAGACCAAGATTCAACTCGTGAACAATCTCTTTAGACCAAGATTCAACTCATTGACAATCACTTTAGACCAAGTTTCAACTCATGAACAATCTCATTAGACCAAGATTCAACTAATGAAAAATCTCTTTAGACCAAGATTAAACTCATTGACAATCACTTTCGACCAAGTTTCAACTCATGAACAATCTCTTTAGACCAAGATTAAACTCATTGACAATCACTTTAGACCAAGTTTCAACTCATGAACAATCAACCAAGATTCAACTCATGAACAATCCCTTTAAACCAAGATTCAACTCATGAACAATCCCATTTAGACCCAGTTTAAACTCATGAACAATCTCTTTAGACCAAGTTTAAACTCATGCACAATCCCTTTAAACCAAGATTTAACTCATGAACAATCCCTTTAAACCAAGATTCAACTCATGAACAATCCCTTTAAACCAAGACTCAACTCATGAACAATCTGTTTAGACCAAGATTCATCATGAACAATCCCTCAGACTAAGATTAACTCATGAACAATCCCTTCAGACCAAGATTCAACTCATGAACAATCCCTTTAAACCAAGATTCAACTCATGAAAAATCCCTTTAAACCAAGATTCAACTCATAAACAATCCCTTTAAACCAAGATTCAACTCATGGCTCTATTTGTGCCAAGAAAATTAGTATTCTCGACTTCTTTAAAACTATTCATCTTTAAATCAATTCATTCACTCTAACATTATTTTGAGAGCTCCAAGTCTAAACAACTTGCATATAATTTTATAATTCACAAACATTCATTTTCTCTCAAGAAGCTACTAACAACTTTAATATAGTCATCATTCACGCTTATTTATCTTAAGAGTTTTAAACAAAACTTGCATATCATTCATCATTCACTCGTATTCGTGGAGTTCAAAACAACTTACATATAATTTTATCATTCATTCATATTCATTCCAAGAGCTCCAACTTTCTCCGATTTCTTTTTATACCTTAATGTACAACAATAATATTTTCTTTGAACCTTTTTTCGACATAACAGGTATAATTGACTTGTTAGTACAGGGTAACCCAAGAATAAGACTTTAAAGACAAACTAGCTCTAATATATTAGTACAACCCCAAGATTAAATTTGGAGTTTTGCTTTAAAAATAGTCGTGAAATGCTATTTTAGATGATTCGGTCTGTTTACAAGTTTACAGATACAAACAACCACTATTTACTGTAAGAAAAAGAGGCCGAATACATTTTTTTGTTCTATATATCTGAAGATTTCTTTCTTTAAGGGTATGCCTCTGTAAAAAAAACTTATTGCATTGGATTAATGCTTTAGTTCTTTACATGTCTTTTAGAACATTATAACTATTAAGTATTGCTTATATTATCTGTTTACAACCTTAATGGAATATTTTCTTCACGCTTTCATATATTAATAGAAGTGAATCGATATGATCTAAGAAACCCGCCATTGTTGACATTCATCCTGACATCTGATCTGCTATTGATGTTAAAAACTTAAAAATACATGTTTAATCTGAAGAATATATATTCTTATTCATACCATATAAAAATTACAGTTTAAGGTCACATAGGAAGTAACATTGGATTTAGGGACATAAAATTTTAAAGTTTACCCCTCCCCCCATCCATGACAAAATAATTTTCGACATTAAAAAGATCCAAATAAATGTTACCCTATTGCATTTCCATTAATTAAGAACCGCAATTTTGAAGAAATAAAACTTTTAAATATCGGGTTTGGTGTTTGATAATATTTAACTTTGTTTAAAGCCCTGATAAAATAAAATGACCCTAAAAAAAGAAATTTACGCCTTATATCACTGTTAGGCCCCCATATATATACGTTTATTTACATACTTACAGAGGAGTATACACAACAAGTATTGAATTTAAAGTTTAAACTCAGTACAAGAAAAAGTAAGCGTAATTTCAAATGACCCTCCATGCAAAGATGGCATTGCCTGATTCACAGCTGTACCCTTCAAAGCTTTTTCTGATTAATTATTAGTTAGATATCAATGTTTATAATTTTAAAATAAATAAATCTTGATTTATTTTAATGGTGGGTTCTCTACAAAAGTGACTTGCGCATTTCTACACTGCAGACTAGCAGGCACTTATTAGAAAACATTTCAAATTAAGAAGGCGACAATATCTTTCACATAAAATATTTAAATATTTGTTGTGAATCGAGCATTGCCAATTTAGTATGGAGTAGTCACTTAAAATAAGGCTTACACACCCTTAAATAATATTAGGGATTGCATAGAAGACTTGACTGGAAGAAATAATAACCGTTCAATACTTGAATCTCTAGGTGATGTTTAAATAAGTACACCAGTAACTAAATCAACACATTTTTTAAATCTTTACGATTCTCGTTAGAAACTAAATAATTGCATTTAATAATCAAGAGCTCATTTGTTTAATCAAATCATTTAAAAAAACATGAATAGTTTGAAAATTTGATATCTTGTAAATCAAAATATTACGTAGTTCCTTAAGTATAACAAGACTTTTTCGTGCGGTTTAAAATATTGCTTTAATTTAATACGACTGGAATTCAATTTCCCGCATTTTTTAAAATTGGCAAATTTGAGCTTATGAGAATTGAAATCCGCATGATTTGGAAACAACTTCTTTTATAATTTCTTTGCACACAAAAATATTTATGGGTTGCTTTGTGCTTAGTATTTTTAAGAGCACTGTACAGTTCCTTTTGAGTAAGTGGTGTTGGTGGCGGTAGGGGGAAATATTTTTTTTATCCGAGGCAAGACTTGAAGGTTTTAAGAATATTTTTAAAAAATATCAAGAAGAGACGAATTTATCAATTAAAAGGAAAGATAAGTAGATGGAAAATATTTGACAAAAAAGCGCCCATTTCTAGACTAAATCATCTCAATCATCTTTAATACAAAAACATTTTTTAAGATAAATTTTTTCACAATTTCTGAAACGCAAAATTGCTAACACAAAATTTGCCTTAACATGACTTTATAATAGGAACATTCCAATCTATCCATGGAGTTATGTAAGGTTACATTTATCAAAAATACAATTTCTTTATAATGAATAGTTTTTTTATGACCGTTGACGGTCCGTGAGATCTTCTACGATATAACACAACAAGTACAGATGATTTCACGATCTTTACTGTCCGGTCTCATATTCATCTCTCGAACTGTTTCGGCGAACACTTCGTTCACGTTCATTCGGTTCTTCGCAGACGCCTCGACGAACGGACATCCCCAGATTTGAGCGAGCGCCATTCCCTCGACGGTTGGGACCTCGCGCTGGCTCTCTAGGTCGACCTTATTACCGACCAGAAGGATAGGAACACGGTCGGATCCTTTCACTCGAACTATCTGATCACGCATAGTTTTAATGTCCTGGAAGGTTTGATGATTTGTGAGTGAGTAGACGACGACAAACCCCTGGCCGTTCTTGATATAAAGGTCCCGCATACTGGCGAACTGCTCGGTCCCAGCAGTATCAAGGATCTCCAGGACACAGGGACAGTTATCCACCTCGATCTCCTGCAAGATAAAAAATTTCAAAATGGCGGCAAGATAGAAAAAAAAATCTATTTGTTATATCGCGAAAAATAATTTATAGAACATGGCCTACGAATAACAAAAGTAAAAAGATAACAGAAAAACTTATCTTTATGATTATGAACATAAAATAATAAATATTGGCTTGCAATATTTTTAGGCAAATAGTGAAGTGGTCCCAGTAAAGTGCAAAAAATGCAAGCNAATCGAGGCATCCATATAATAGATGAATTACAAATTCGTTTAGGATATGGTCATGGTAAGATAACATCAAAATATAAAAATCCCAACTGCACGGAAAATGCACTTGAAAAGAAGTGAACTGGTAGCTTGAATAACACGGATGTTCTAAATTATGCAATTCTATCTCTACGCAAACTCACGTTTTGGTTGAATCCTAATTAATATTTCCCAGAATCTATTTCCGTACAACAAAGCGATCTAGTCCATTTTACAGCAAGGTAATCATTTACTCACACAAGAACTTGTATTATTTTGTTCCTTTGTGAAAAATATAAACTTAGGTGGGAACTCTTGTATTTTGGATATCGAGATCAATGCATAATCTTCTTTTTAGTTTAGGTAATTTCAATATTAATTTGATGTCACGTTTGTATCAACAAAAGTGTATTTAACTCAACCAAACGAGTGGGGATTGGAGATTCAAAAACCTAGCCAATCAGAGAATCCGGGAAACTTGAAATTTTGCGCGTCATTTACTGAGCGAACTCTCATTGGTCGGAAAATTGCAGCGAAAGTAAAAGAAAGAAAAAGAGCGGACTAAGAAGGAAATTAAAAGTGTCACATTGGATATTTAGATTAACCGATAGGAATTAAAGGTTAAAATTCTAAATTGTTCAGCATTAAGGTGGGAGCTCTTGTATCGTGGATATCAATGCTTTATCTCAATCTTTTTTGCTATCACGTTAAGAGTGTCTTCTGGGGAAAACGAACCACCAATCAGAAGCCAGGAATGTTGCTCTTAACCAATGAGAGAACAGAAAAATTGCAGATAACGAAAATCAAGAGATTAAGAGGATTTTCTTAAAATTCAACAATGGCTTCTATGGATATCGAGATCAGTTGATCGGAGTAATGGGATTCCAACACAAAGGTTCCCAGCTCTGAGGTCAAAACTGTTGTGCAGTTAATCCCATGATTAAGCACTAGGCAGTTATCCGTAACATTTTTTTATTGGATATCCCGTGGTCTGAACCCATGCAGAGAAAAATATAATTGAGGGAAAGTACTTAATCTTAAATTTAAAAGTTGTTTTATGTTATAAATTTTATAGATTAACTCTGTCGTCTCGCACATTAGTTTTGACCTCTGACGACTTTTTTAACGTCTTTAATGATTTCACAAAGAATTCCAAAAATGAATAAAAAAAAACCTTGTTGCCAGGAATTTCTTGAGTGTCCAAAAAAATTGATATAAAAATTAGATCATATCCTTGTAAAAGCTTTGAATAAATTTTGAAAATACGGAATCGTGATTTCTACAATTTGAGGTATAAAATCTAGTTAGCTAGCCGAGCGTGAAATATTGGTCAAATTTAAGAAAATATCTGAGTTAAGCAACCATCAGTCAAGACAGTAAAGGTTGAGAAAATAAGGAGTAGGGAGGGGGGGGGGCATTAATAAGGTTATTTTTATTATTATTATTTATAACTTTTGTTCGTATTATGCAGACTTGTTACATTTTGATCATACCCCTTTAATGACAATATCTTTAAGATAATTTTGTTTATCAAATGAGTCTTTGCCACAAACTCTGATTGTATAATCTCTAAATCTTTGCAACGCAATGTCAAATATTAGATATTTCTAACAATGAAGTCTGTTAGATCAAAGAGTCAAAGTTGGAAATATAACACATAGCAAATATTAACTTGCAAAGATATAGGAATTCGAAAAATCAAGTTTGTGGCAAAGACTCAATTCCTTGATCATGTTGATTTATTAAATCATCCAAGTTAAAGTTCATATTTCAGTAGGACTTAGTATATAGAGTGGGGGGGGGGGGTCGGAACATTCAAATATATATTGCTCTGGTTTGGTTTATCAAGCTTGTGAAAATATTGTTCTATTTCAAGAACAGGTTTTTAATCTTAACAATATCTGATCAGTTTACTCTCCTGAATGACTGGGGAAAATCAGGAATTAGCAAAATGCGCGGTAAACAAAAAATAGGTTGCGTAGTTAGAATAAGCCCTAGTTGATGAGTGGAATTAATGAGAATGAGAGTAATTAATGAGAATGAGAGGAATAGAATGAGAGGAATTAATGAGAATGAGAGGAATGAAAGAGAATGAGAGGAATGAATGAGAATGAGAGGAATGAATGAGAGGAATAAATGAGAATTAGTGGAATTTTTGAGAATGAAATGAGCCCAAATAAATAAGAATTGACGGAATAAATCAGAATTGGCAGAATAAATAAGAATAAGCTGAATGAGTGGAAATGAGCCCAAATGAACAAGAATTAGCGGATAGAGTAAGAATGTGTAAAATGAATATGAGAATGTATGAGTGGAAATAATGATTCTTAATGAATGAGAAAGAGGGGAATGAATGAAAACGAGCTGTATGAGTGAAAATGAATCTAAATGAATGCGAATAAACTGAGTAAAGGGAAATAAGATGAGCTGAATGAGTGGAATGAACGGAATGAATGAGAATGAGTGGAATGAGAGGAATGAATGAGAATGAACTGAGTGAGTGGAAATGAGTTGAGCTAAATGAGGAGAATGAGCGGAATGAGTGATAATATACTGAGTGAGGGGCAGTGAGATGAGTGGAATGAGCGGAATAAATGGCATTGAACTGAGTGGGATGAGCGGAATGAATGAGAATAAAATGAGTGAGGGGAAATGAGATAAGCTGAATGAGTGGAATAAGCCACTCAATAAAATAATCAAACATTTAATATTTCTCACGATTTTTTCAGTTGGACTAGTTCAACACGAGAAATTTCCCTCCCAGGATAATAAGACAGGATGAACTTATGCCCCCCCCCCCTCAAATATTTAGTACCCACAGTGTGACTCATAAAACTATGGAACAAGAAGACGACTGTTACACTCCAGTTAAGTCCAGTGAGCCGGAAATTTAAGAGAGTATCGTTGAACGAAGCTTCCCAGTTTCTAAATGTTTCTTAACAAAAATGTTGATGTCTGCAAACCTGCCTGTCCCCATTCTTTAAACCGGGTTTCCAAACTGGGTTTCATTAAGATAATCTGTCTTTAGTTTTGGGCTCTATGCACAAAACACAACAATTTTGTAAGTATAAGGAATCATAAGGAATTGAAATCTCTGTTTACAGACGCATTTCAAATAATAAATTAATTTGTTAAATATTTGCGATAAAAATATCATCAAATATACGAGAAATTGCTTAAATGTCGTTCTTTTCTACAATTTTCTGGGTTTTCGGAAAAACTTTTTATCATAATCTAGAAGTCTCAATAAAAAATATGATAGGGTTAAGTAACGGAGGAGGAGGGGGGGGGGGAGCAGAACCCTATTAACGAACTATTACGTTTAACAACGTTGAATCATATTTGTATCAATTTCAACATTGTTTAATGTTTACAGAGAAAAAAATAATATTTTGACAGTTTACTAAATAAAGATATGAGAGTGAGCCAGGATGAGGGGGGGGCTAAGAATGTTTAGGGGGTGGGAGGAGCTATGGCGGAGTTAGGTCTTAGTTGTTAAATAATGATAAAAACCTGTTCAAAAATAAATCAGATTGTAATTTAGCGCCACGCATCTAGGGTATTAGAGGGAGGTAATTACAGAATTTAAAATGTTTTAATTATGTTCTAAAATAAAAACATTTCGGTCACAAAAAAATAAAGAACTTTTTTTAGCTAAAAAACCTACAATTTCATTCTTATTTTTTTTATAAACATTTAAAATTTCTTTCATGTTCAAAATAGTTTAAGTTCAATTAATATTGTTAGAGAATAAATTAAAGAATTCACACAGTGGGATCCAACAAAATTTGGAAACCATGCTTATTGATTTAATTAACTTCAACTCAGACATTGATGGTACGGCTCAAGCTACAAAAAAAGAGGGAGGTTAAAAATTAATGTGGAGAGTGTAGGAAAATGAAATGTATCGTGGGGGGGGGGGTGTTTGATTTTAGGAGTTTGTAGCATTATTGTGTAGTACACAATGCAAACTCATTTTTTACGTTTCTTTTTAATTCCCGCCCCATTTGTTCAAGAAAAAACTTTATCAGAATGGAGTGACAAAATATTAGATTTGGAAATTTAATGGAAAGATCAAAAAGCAAGTAAAAATAGTATTTTAATAGCTTTTTACTCTGAATCTCTACAAAAATAAAAAATTTCCCAGAGGTCAGAATTTGTGTTGATAATATTGGGATCAAGCCTTAATCTCCATTTTGTGCAACCCTGAGGATTAATCTGATCCTGAGGATTAATCTGATTCTGAGGATTAATGATAATCCTGAGGATTAATCTAATCGTGAGGATTAATCTAATCCTGGGGATTAATCTAATTCCTCATCAATGCCCACCGGCCGGCCGTGGTGGTCGTTTACTGCAGGGATAACAAAACTCAAATTTAGAAATTGTCAAGTGTATATCGAGATCAAGTGATCGGGATTATGAAAAAGTTCCCAGCTCAGTACAGTTTAAGAAAGACTTATAATTTCTATAATTTCTTTATATTGGTTTATACCATACATGAATACTGAATGGTGTAATCCTACCTTTCTATAGAAATCTTCTATCGTTGGATCATATTTCTCCATAAACCGTCCACTAACAAACTGTACAGTCAAGGCTGATTTACCCACTCCTCCTGACCCCAGAACTACCACCTGGTATCAAAGGTCCAATTTTTTAATGATATCGACAATTTAAAAGTTTTCTGAATATGATCAAAGTTCAGCCATGGACATACCTTACTTCTAGGAGAAAAACAAAGACTTTCACTAGAAAAAGGGGAGGGGGGGGGGGGTGATTTTTCAGGACAATATACACCGCTGTAACGGGAGCGTTCACTGTATTGAACCTTTAACTTAGTAACTTAGTGTTCAACATATGTCTCGCTTTTTATTAAATCTGGTTCCGTCGTCAAAATAACATTTGGATCCAATGAATGAGCGTTTTTTTCAATCATTAAATTGGATTTAAGCACTTGTAGCAAAATTTCTTTGATTGGTAAATAGGAGAAGGGGAGGTTCATAATGAGGTGAAAAACTCACAAACTAAAGTCCCACAAGGCGAGTTCAAAAACATTGTTCCCCCATTTTTTATTTAAAACATAAACCAAACCTAATTTATATAACAGGGTTTAGGGTGGTAACTATTAATCTAGAATACCAGAATTAAAAAAAACTTCAATTATGAGTTAAGAATGAATCGCAGAAATAATTGGATCTTTTCCTTAAACTCCTTCATATTGGAGTTAAATTAACACGGTAAATCTGTACAACCAGCTGCAGTACACTTAATGGTCGGTACAGTACGCCTGACGTCACAGGAGCATGGTCTGAATGTAAACAAGTCTTCTCCATGCAGTACAATGTGATTCTACCGCGTAAAGACCAATTAGATCAATAATTTGAATTCATGAGCACTTCTGTTAGCCGTTTTTTGCGTCAGTAAGCATCACTCTCTAAACATATTTGTATCACAGATTATAAGTTTGGCACTCTACATTACATTTTCTCCTGAAAATAGTTAAATTAATATATGTAATATTGAAAAATAAAAACAAACTAAGTTCTAATACTGCAATACTAATACTAATACTAAGTTCTAATACTAAAAAAACCCTCTTCTATCACTTCTAGGGTCTGTCCTAGTGAACGATTTTCTGGGCCGAGCGCTGCGGCTAGGACAGGCTAGGGGGGCCGAGCTCTGCGGCCACGGGTTAGGTTAGCTAAGACACTTTCTGGGCCGAGCGCTGCGGCCACGGGTTCGGTTAAGTTAAGACACTTTCTGTAAGATCCATGTACAAAATTGATAGGAGGGGGGGGGGTCCAAAAATCGTTCTCTAGGACAGACCCCCTATTTGTTTACGAATAAAACTGTATTATTTAAAATAATAAAAACGACGTTATTAATACATCTTTAATATATACTTTCAACATACGATTTTTAGTCACTTTTAGAACCTTTTTTAGGGTATGCCCCAAAAAACACTGCAAACCGACGATTTGCAATAAGCCTGAATTTCAAGCTCAAAATAAAAATCACCATAAGTTAGATTCCTGTTCTCACAGTTATTAGCGAAAACTGATTCAATCACGGTTATAGGAACTAATGGAGGAATTAGTAGATCTGTGTATGAGTAATGAACTGGCCATGTCCTGGTACACTGTAATCTGTCTGTGAAGAACCCCACCCCAGGTAGATACTACCCCCCCCTCACCCCGCCTGCAGACTAGTCCCCCCCTTTCCTCTAGTTTACAGTGTACACTTTCCCTACTCAGCACAGTCAAGGAAGAGCATACTCGGAACAGTCAGGGGAGTGCAACACACAACTCAAGGATTAATTAAAAATAGAGCAAAAAAAAAGCTGTTTCTGAAATTTGTAAATACACAGGCAAGTGAATGGAACATGCTGAAATTTACCCCGCAGACAATCATCTGAATTTAATAAATATTGTACAGAAGACAGTCAAAGGGCAATATTTCTGAATGTCTACTACGCAGCCAATGAAGGGCAATGTTTCTGTTTAAGAAAAGAACCTTTCTGAAAGTTGTTCTAATATCCAGAATAATTTCAAAAAACATTTCTTAAGAAAATTGTAATAATACAGTCAAGGAAGGAAAATGTTATTGCACAGTGCACACCGAAGCGAAGGAGGGAATCCTCGGACGCCATGAGCCTCCGCTATGTAGACATGACCCTCACAGATTTGCTAGGCAGACCGTGCCTCCGCTATGCAGTAAGTGAGCCTACACCATACAGCACACCTTTTTAAAATTTTATCAATTAGAGTATCAATAAATGTGGAACTAACATCTACTTTTTTACTCTACAGAGGTTTGGTCCAGCACCATCACCAAATTTTAAATAGAGTTACTTATTGATTGTCATGATTAGAAACATAAGGACTCAAAATAAAAACTTGGATGAAATATTGCTAAAAAGGGGGGAGGATATGCGACAAAATTATCAATTTGGCTGAACAAAAAAATCTTCAAGATTTTATAAATTCATTAATTTGCTTTCCGTCTACCACAAGCTATACAAGAACACCAAGTTAAAGCTTACAATTCAATTATTATCCTTTTTTATCCTTTTCAACATTTTTATAATCCTTTTTACCACCAAACAAATTTTTGAAAATCCGAAAACCAATTTGTCCGACCCAGTTTTAATGCGTGTTTTTTTTTGTAAATTTTATTTTATTTTAAAAATGTTTTTGATAGATTCTGAAAATTTAGTGAAGGAGTTCTGTGTTTTCTCCTCCTCAATGGTCTTCTTCAAGTTGACAAACTCCTGGAGAAAGTCCGCCGTGATGGTGATGTCCAAGGACTTTGCCGTCTTGATGGTCTGTTCTCCACCAGCTGTATTCCGATGCTGAAGTTACAAATTATATATGTACAGGTTGTCCCATGAAACATGACAGTTGGTGAATATTTTTAAATGTCTTCTTCAATAATTTTTTTATGTTGTTTGATACCAAAAAGAATAATAAAAAATAATATATGGCTGTCATATTTTATCAAAATTAATTTCAAAGTATAAAAAATTTAAACAATAGTTTTTTTAGAGGAAATAGAGTGCACAAATTCTTTAATATCTAAAATATGTTGAAGAAGACATGTAAAACTTTTCACCAACTGTTATGTTTTGTGAGACACCCTGTATATTAAATAATAAACATGGTGTATTTTATATTAAGGCTAAAACTTAAGAAACATTAAACATATTAAATTAGAAAATTATGAACCAGTAACTGTATCAGTTTTTAACTATTACTAAAAAGTCAAAACATATCTGGCTAGTGACTAGCTTGTAAACCCAGCGTTGCCTGAAAACTAAACTTTCTATAAAAAGTCAAAAACTAAACTTTAAAAGAAATGTTCAAATTAAGAACATTCCCGTGGTTCTACAGAGCTCTCTAATCAATGTTTGAGGCATATAGGTCAGGGGGTTCAAGAGTTATGATCGGACATACATTCTGAATTTCGACTATAGCAGTATAGTACGATTTTACGTTAAGTCTTAGAATGATTGTTAGTATAATATTTCGTATAAAATTTGTTATTTACCTTTGTTTGAAAAGCCAGCAGAGATTCAAATGTTCTAGATTTATGATACGCTGTTGAATCATGCCTAAATAGGGTAATTGTAATCTTAGCAAAACTATTCTCTTAGAATTCTTCTCGTTTAGAATTAATGATATCCTCAACATATTTTTTATCATTATCTGAGATTTAGTTTCTAGCAGGCTTCTAAAAATATCTTCTTTAACATAATTACTACTCTATGATTACTTGAGATTCAGTTCTAGTAGTCTCCTAAACATGTCTTCTTTATCATATTTTACTACTCTATGATTGCCTAAGATTAAGTTCAAATAGTATCCTAAACATATCTTCTCTATCATATTTTACTACTCTATGATTACCTAAGATTTAGTTCTAGTAATCTTCTAAACAAATCTTCTCTATCATATTTTACTGCTCGAGACAGAACAGGGTCAATCTTCACAATTTTAACTAAAAAATTCAAAATATTTATTTTCATTTTAGAATTTAATGTGAAATAATGAAAGCTGGTAAAATTCAGAAATACATGGAAAAAAGAGTCAAGTAGGTGATTTTACACAAAACTTTATCGAAAAGTATTTTTGTCTGAATATTTTAAAATATCAAATATTTGAATCACTTTAATAAAAATAAGAAATAAGTTACTTCTTCATTAAAGGGAATGTAAGCATGATTTCAAGTGACCCTCAATGTAAAAATGGCAATGCCCGATGTACAATGGTACCTTTAAAAGCTTTGTCTGATCAAGTATGAATTAGATATCAAATTTTTCGTTTCTTTAGATTGTTTATTTTCATTTGCGGGTTATCTGCAAAAGTGACTTGCGCATTTCTTGTTTATATGAATCAATAGAGAAACTCACTGAAAAAAAAAACTTTTTGAGCCAGAACAACGACGGTATATCTTCCCCATTTTTGATCAGATTAAGGTTTTAAGGATACAATTGCATATCGGGCATTGCCATCTTTGCATGGCGAGTCACTAGAAATGACGCTTACAGTCCCTTTAAAATAAAATTTTTAGATGACATGGAGAAAGATTAAAAATGGGTCCGCTATCCTAAACCCGACCCCCACTCTCAGGAAAACTTGTCATCTATCATTTTAAACTGTAAGTGTCACATACACATTTCCTTGTATAAATATAAACAAGGAATATGTCTGAAAGAACTACTGACGGAAAAATAAATAAACATATAACGCCCCCCCCTCCCCCCATCTAACATACACAGTTATCGTCCTAATTTTAGACCCATCCCTCCCCCTCTCCTATATACAGGTATCCTCCTAATCATAGCTCCATCCCTCCTTCATAATCCTTACCCTCCCCCTCTCTCCTATACACAGTCATCCTCCTAATTATAGCTGTATCCCTCCTTCATAATCCTTACCCTTCCCCTCTCTCCTATATACAGTTATCCTCCTCATTTTAGACCCATCCCTCCTTCGCTAGCATTATCCTTCCCCCGCTCTGTCATACACAGTTCTCCTCCTGATCCTCCATGAGCTGCTCAGCCTTCATCTGCTGTTCAAATTTGTGAGAGAAGAACAGGGATTCCCAGTATGCTAGCAGTACAAATACATCCCTAGACCAACATGTCGTGAAAAAAACTCAGAAAATGGGAAAAATAGTTCAAAAATGAATTACTAAATCACCTATATTCTGAAGCTAGTTGCAGTCCTCCACTTCTAAAAATATAAAAGATATTTTACAACAATGTTTTAAGCTAAAAAAGTATCTACAAAACACTATTTATTTTAACAATTTTTATAGAAAGAGCACTTTTTCCCTAATTTTTTTTCGTGTGGGGTAGGGGGATAAAACGAGCACCCTAAACTTAACTGTTTTGTTCCTATAATTGCCCTATAATCAATAATGAGACTTGAGACCGGACAGTGGAGTAGTTGCACCGTGTATATAGAATAAATCAAAGCTACTGTGATTTTTGTAATTTCTTAATAATAATATTAAAAATTACAATAATCTTTGATCCTTTGAAATCAGACTTTTAAAATCCTAAAACCAAATCTAAGAACAAACCATGCATGCATGCTTTTCTTATTAACTGCAAGTGCAAGGGGGCAAAGGGGACAAGGGGGTCAGTGGTGGGGGGGGGACAGGAAGTTGAAGGTTATCCCTGCTCTAACCTTATAGGATGTAGAAACTGATCTCCCATCTCTATTCCCTCTTCAATGAATAGTTTGCATATATTCCGACATCTTAGAACTAAACTCTCAGAAGTGTTCAATCCAATCCGAGCTTCAGTTCTACAAAAAAAGAGAAAAAAAAAGTTAACCGTGACCTCAACCTCAAGATCTACAAAGAAATAGACCATGACCTCGACCTCGACAACCTCGAACATGAACCCAACCAAGAACTCAACAAACCTCGAACATGACCTCAACCAAGACGACGACCAAACAAACTATATGATGAAAACGATACTAACCTATCTGAAAGAATGGACCTGTAGAGCTCAACTAGAGATATCCAGGCAGCAATATGCTTCCCAGCCTAGGAAATATTTTGAAATTAGTTAATTCTAAAAATGAAAATATCTGCAAACTTTCTTCTCATCTTGCTTTATGAATGTTTTATCCAGGACCCCCTAAACTAAATCGAGATACCTTCCATATATCCAGGACCCCTTAAACTAAATTTACATACCTTCCATGTATCCAGGACCCCCTAAACTATATCTAGATACCTCTCAAGTATCCAGGACCCCCTAAACTATATCTAGATACCTCTCAAGTATCCAGGACCCCCTAAACTATATCAAGATACCTCCCAAGTATCCAGGACCGCATAAACTAAATCGAGATACCTCCCATATATCCTGGACCCCCTAAACAAAACCTATATACCTCCCATGTATCCAGGACCCCCTAAACTAAATCGAGATACCTCCCATTGTTAACCATTAATTTTAAGACCTCTGCAAAATGTCGTCTTCAACTTGAATCTCCTCTCGGAGAAAGCCAAACCAAATTTTCAGCCCGCATTTCCTTTGTACTCCGTCCTACGGAGCTTAAAATATTTTCGTTATTGTGAAATCATTAAAGTTAAACAAGAATATTTTCATAAGAAGCATCAGTGAATTTCGTTAAATATTCAACTGTAATCAACAATAAGTTTCCCCTATCACAACCTAATAAATCGTATTTGCGGCCTACCAGGAAAGAATTGTCCGGGGAAAATAAACATCCCCCACCAGAATTCTAACTGGCCTATTACTCCAATTTGTCTAGTGTGTTGCTGCTATCCGCCAACACCCATATATCCTGGACCCCGTAAACAAAATCTAGATACCTTCCATGTATCTAGTAACCCCTAAACTATATCTAGATACCTCCCATATATCCTGGACCCCGTAAACAAAATCTAGATACCTTCCATGTATCTAGTAACCCCTAAACTATATCTAGATACCTGCCATATATTCAGGACCCCCTACACTATATCTAAATACCTCCCATGTATCTAGGACCCCCTAAACATGTATCTAGGACCCCCTAAACTATATCTAGATACGTTCCATATATCCTGAACCCCTAAACTATATCTAGATACCTCCCATGTATCCAGGATCTCCTAAACTAAATCTATGTACCTCCCATGTATCCAGGACCCCCTAAATTCAAACTTTATACCCCTCCCATGTATCTAGCACCTCCTGAACTATATATAGATACCTCACAAGTATCTAGTACCCTCTAAACTAAATCAAGATACCTCCCAAGTATCTAGGATCCCCTAAACTAAATCTATATACCTCCCATGTATCTAAAACCCCCTAAACCAGTGCTTAGGATCCATTTAATTTTGATGAGGATCCGGATCCTGGGTCCGCACTGGAAAAAAATGGATCCGGATCCGGATCCAGGTCATTTCTCTAAGATTTACTGAATCTTTTTAACCAAAAATAATTTTAAAATTTTTTGTTTTATTTTTTTTTTTGCATATTTTTATCCTAAAACTTGATGAACCATTCAGAAATGAGGAAATTTTTATAATCTCTCTTTTTTCAAAATTTCAGATTTTGGTTTTAGGAGTAAAAAAGGTTTTTTGCAGTTTTTGATTGATATTTTACCCCTAGGATCCGGATCCAGGAAGCCAAAATCTTGCGGATCCAACGGATCCGGATTCCAAGCACTGCCCTAAACTAAATCTTTATACGATCCATTTATCCAGGACCCCCTAAACTAAATCCTTATACCTCCCATGTATCTAGCAACTCCTGAACTATATATATATACCTCCCATTGATCCAGGACCCCTCTGAGCTGGATATTACAGAGCTCTGTGTAGAAGAGAGAACAGTGCTTAGATCCTTCCTGAGCTCCTCGGTAAAGCAGTCTTAAACTAGACACAGATATTTATTCTTTATCCGTCCCAGACCTCATTCAAGTAGTCTGCAAGATATAAAACATAAGGGTTTTCCAACGGGTAACTAAAAATCGATCATTTTCAAGAATAAGATTAAATTGTGGTATTGTGTATTTTAAATCAGCAAAACAATTCCTTTAAATTGCTTTGAAAAAAGAGATTTTTTGTCTTAGAAGTAGAACACTCTTTAAATTAAATTAAAGATAATTTGGGTCCGTCTTAGCAAACGATTGTTGGACCCTAAAATCAGAGATTTTAGTTTAGGTTAAGACAATTTCAGGACCGAGCGCTGCGGCTAGGATAGGATAGGGGGCTGTGCACCGCGGCTAGGACAGGCTAGGGGGCCGAGCGCTGCGGCCACATGATCAATTATATCCATGTCTTACATTTAAGAGCCATGTACAGAATTGATAGGAGGGGGGGTCTAAAAATCGTTCTCTAGGAAATTACCGATAATTTTTTTGAAATGCAGTAGAACCCAGTGATCAATTTAATTATTTAAAAATACTAAGTTTTTCAATCAGCCCTTTTTAATTAGATACTAATATAAAAGTTTACAGGACATGTAGCTTATGTAATGTTGATGGTAAGTCTTGAAAAAGATCTCAATAACACAAATAAACGTTGACCAATTCCATTAACTGTCAAATCAAATTAAATTAAATTAAATCAAATTAAATGAAATCAAATCAAATCAGGGGTTTAGGAAAATCCCGCTTCCAAACTCCACACCCAATTGCCGCTTTAAGGATTGTAAATTTAACCAGATGCAGTCTAAAGTCGGACCGCGCCAATGTAGATGCATCAGCTAGCCCCGCCTACAGTAACTAGGACAGTAAAAGTTGCTTCAGCTTTGATTCCAATGTGCAATTGTACATGAGTTGAGTGCGGTTAATATCGTCTTCCGTGAGAAGTTAAAATGTTGAATAAGTATCTGTTTGTTCCTGTTTATATCTTTATGTTTAGTAATATGCTGGATAATCGCATGAGTAGCTTCTTCTCCGGGATACATATCACACTAGATTTAAAAATTGTATAATATTCAAAAAAAATAAACTTGCATTGAGATATTGCAAAAAGCTAGAGCACTCGGCATTCTCCGGGTTTTAAAAAATAATTTCGATTTAACCCCCAAGTATCTATTGGTTCCCTCAAAATCTTTCAGCCAATTTGGTCCAGCTATAACGAACTAATAAAAATATGAGAAAAGAGCTTTATTATTTCGGTTGGTAAAATTATCAATAAATAATACCTTAGCTTTCTCCAAACATAAATCTAGAAGAGCTTCAATATCATTTTCAACAACACACTCAAGCACTGAAACAAGAAATTAATGAAAGTGAACAAAATTGTAAATTCTTATTTATTATTCAATCTATTTATTGATCAAAAAGTACAGGCACAAATAAAATAAACTTTATATATTTAAATTCTTAATGTTCGAAAATATGTGAACATCTCACCTTGAACATCGAACATTTGCTGTTGAATTTCGCGGTTTTCGGATTGAGTTAAATTCATCGCGGCATTGTTTTCGAGGTTTTCATGACGGCCATCTTGGATTTCTTTTTGAGTAGGGTCCGATAGATCTACAGTAAAATTTTCTCCTGTCAACTCAGTTTTTGGCTCAGTTTTATTCATTTTGTATGCAATTTCGTCTGTTTTTAATTCATTCTTCGCCGTATTTAGACTCGTCAACACTTTCTGTTCGACAATATTTCCGTTAAATATATTCTTGATGAATTCGTTGACGAGAAGGGATTTAGTTTCCAGTGTCATGGTGGCGACTGTGAAACATTTTTCAAACTTGGGATTTCTCCAGGATCTCGGAACCATGCTTTCCAGGTCTGATACTAGATTCTCAGGAACGTTCTGCAAGAATGTTTTATAAAATCAAATTACATATTTTCTTTTCCGCCAGTGCAGAAGAACAGAAAAATTGATTTTAATCTAATTTTCTCCTCTCAGGCACATTGCACATTAATGCGCCATTTTGTGTGTATTAACCTTTGGAATGTAGCAACTCTAGCAACAGTTCAGAGCTGAAAACTTTAGAATGGGATATCCTTTATTAATATCAGTTAACTGATCTGGAGATTAATAACAAGAGGAGAACAAGCATAATTTAATCTGGAGATTAAGAAAAAGAGTGGATCAAGCATTAATCCTGATATGCATAATTCAAAAATTCCCAGTACAAAACAAAGCAACTAAAGTAACAAAACATACCGAGCTCTGTTTTGCACCAATGAGAATTAGATACGCAGGAAGAGGACCTGAAAATAAAGATTAAAATATTTCAAACTTTTGCGTTTTATCAATTACTCTACGGTGATGATCAGAAAACTCTAAATAGGAAAGACGTATTAGATGTTTTTACAAAGCAAATAGTTTTACTAGACACTTATTAAATCATTGATTTAGTGAAATGGGTCTGTTCACACTGCGCAATTGCTTTGTCCGATGCTCAATGGACTTTTTCAAGTTAAAACTTGATTCTAAAAGTCGTCTTCCTATTCTAGAGTTTTCTGGTTATCACTGTAGAGAAGACATAAAAAAAGGCCAGATTCAGATTTGTACATTAAAGGGTCGATGATTAAAAAAAAGTTGAAAATCAATTACTAAAAGCTTTTTAAACTCACCTATGACAGAAACACTTTTGAGAAAAAATTCTGATTGATAAAGTAGGTAATCTATTGCAGGACTCATTTTCTACATCAGAAAAAAATCAATTTATGTATTGGTGTTTTTAAGAATTGTGATTGAGTCATTATATCTAAATAATAAACATGAAAATTTGTTTGATATTGATATATTCCTGAGCTAAGCATGACCGGCATATTTCCATCCAGGTTAAACACAGCTGAAGGGTCAACCGTGCCGTACTTTCGTTTAAAGAGTTCTAAACATTAATTGTATACTGTATACTGTCTACTGTCGGATGTTGGATGTCTTCTGATTAATGTGAGTCTGATGTCCCATGTCCCATGTCCCACGTCCCACGTCCCACGTCCCACGTCCAATGTCCAATGTCCAATGTCCAATGTCCAATGTCCAATGTCCAATGTCCAATGTCCAATGTCCGATGTCTATTGTCTATTGTCTAATGTCTAATGTCTATTGCATAATGCATAATGCATAATGCCTACTGCCTAATGACTTATGTCTAATGTGTAAGGTAGAATGTCTAATGTCTAATGTCTAATGTCTAATGTCTAATGTCCAATGTCCAATGTGTAATGTCTAATGTCTAATGTCCAATGTCCAATGTCCAATGTCCAATGTCCAATGCCCAATGTCCAATGCCCAATGCCCAATGTCCAATGTCCAATGTCCAATGTCCATTGTTCAATATCCGATGTCTATTGTCTATTGTCTAATGTCTAATGTCTATTGCATAATGCATAATGCATAATGCCTACTGCCTAATGACTTATGTCTAATGTGTAAGGTAGAATGTCTAATTTCTAATGCCTAATGTCAAATATCTAAGGTCTATAATTAGTCATGTCCAGCTCCAAATGTCTTATGTCTCATATCATGTGTCTTAATTCTAACGTTTTCTGTCTAATACCTGTTGTCCTGTGGCATGCGTCCCGTCCTCAAATCTAGTACCTTTAAATAATGTTCAGGTACAGATGAAAAATATAGATTTGTTGCTTCGGAGAGAGATTCCAGACTTTCAGAGAAATTAGATTTTTTCCATCTCAATAAACACAAACTAAACAAGTTAAGATCAATTTAAAAGTTCTTTTTAACAATTGGAGATAAAAGAAGCAGAAAGAACAACTGATAAAAAAGGCGACAATATGTAAAACCTTCAGAAAACTTAAATTGAAGATTAATTAATTAAGATTAAACCTAGAAATTAAAAAACTATGCTGATAGGATCTGTGTTTTGAAGTAAAACTGCAACCCACCACACTAGTAAGTAAGACCTGAGTAAGATTGAAGATTTGACATTATCGTCAAGGCTCCCGGAGCAGAGATGAACCAAACCTTTCTCCGCCTGACAGAGCTGGAAAGAACTAGGAAAGCTGGGATTCAGCTCCAGGTTGGGTTTAGAGGAGAAGGGTTGGAAAAGGTTTGTCAGCTCACGAGATATTTCAGGAGAAACTTCAAGGGGAGTCTGGAAACAAAAATTATTTAAAGAATAAGCAAACAAAGTAAATAAAAAATATTAACCCTATCCCCGCTGGGGTACTTGAAAACCAGGATACGCTGGGGGGGGGGGGTCAATTTACCCCCAAACATCCCCCACCAGAATTCTAACTGGCCTATTAACCCCCCCCCCAGCGGGAATAGGGTTAATCTCTATGGATGAATAAATAGAAAAATACAAGTATATAGTTTACCTGAGATAACTGAATATCAACTAGGGTTAGGAAAACCAACATGTTTATATCATTATGCTTTGATCTGCACTTTTCACAAAAAGCAAGGAAAGAATCGACCTAAAATAAAAAGATCAATCAATTCATTGAACAATTGATCTTTCACTCAATCATCATTAAATAGATATTTAAATCAATTAATCAAATAATCTATTAGTCAATCATTCAATCAATCATTCAATCAATCAATCAACCAAGCAACCAATTAATCATTAAAGAAATATTTAAATCATTGTATGTAAGACTTTTCTCTGTAAACCAATTTAACCATAAGGTTGGTATTGAAGATTGCTCTAATAGTAGTACAAGTCTCCATATACCAACCTAACCTGTAGGTTCTGAAGGATAGATTGCTCTAGGTGTATACAAGTCTCCATTATACCAAACTAACCTGTAGGTTCTCTAGGATAGATTGCTCTGAGTGTAGTACAAGTCTCCATATACCAACCTAACCTGTAGGTTCTGTAGGATAGATTGCTCTAGGAGTATACAAGTCTCCATATACAAACCTAACCTGTAGGTTCTGTAGGATAGATTGCTCTAGGAGTAGTACAATTCTCCATATACCAACCTAACCTGTAGGTTCTATAGGATAGATTGCTCTAAGAGTAGTACAAGTCTCCATATATCAACCTAACCTGTAGGTTCTGTAGGATAGATTTCTCTAAGAGTAGTACAAGTCTACATATAACAACCTACCCTGTAGGTTCTGTAAGATAGATTGCGCTAGCAGTAGTACAAATCTCCATATACCAACCTAACCTGTAGGTTCTGTAGGATATATTGCTCTAAGAGAAGTACAAGTCTCCATATACCAACCTAACCTGTAGGTTCTGTAGGATAGATTGCTCCAGGAGTAGGACCAATCTCCATATACAAACAACATACTCTGCTCTCTTCATTGGGACTTCTACCTTCAAGTAAAACATAAGTTCAATATTAAGGGATTAATGGAGCAAATAAAGCTCTTAAATTCATGAATGAATGGATGATTTTCTTAAAACTGGATTGGTGTCCAGGTGATCAGAGGTTCGATTCCCGTACTCCACACAAACCTGTGGTTTCAAAAACATCTTTCCACTCAACAAGAAATAAGCTTTAAGTGGATTGATCCAAATGAATGATGATGAAGAGAGGAAAGGTGGACAAGCAGGGAGAGTCTATGGTTGCCAGCTATAGGTACCTGGGGGTATCCAATCCGGGCTTACAAATGATTCGGAGCAATGAGTGGATGTTTCCTGTCTCTATGGCACCCGGGCCTCATTCCAGTATATCAGAAGAATTCCTGCACTCTATTACTCTCAAGTAAGAAGCAGCTGGAATCTTGTCAACCCTCTTCTCAGTATGAATGAAGCGTAGATGGATGAATGTGCTGCCAGATTACAACCCCTGGTAGATTAATATAAACCCATACAACACCAAACTTTCGCAATAGAAAAATTCCGAGATTTGATTGTAACAACCCGATCATGTCCTGGGGAAAAATCGCTTTTAAAATTTTTTTTGTACTTTATGTAAAACTACAATTCTAGTAGAATTTAAATACCTTGTCTGCCATTTTGAGTAGAGTTGTTTCTATGTGATCAAAATATCTATTTAATTGAATATTTGAGTCAGCAGAATTTTCAGCGACTGCCTTGGTCCATTTTTCATAGATGTGTCGACTGTAGAAACGATTTCCACCTTTTTTCCCAGTCCTAGACTCCCTAGATCAAAGATATAAATATTTAAATATTTGATCATTTTAAAAGGATTGAAGTCGTAATTTCAAGTGACTTTCGATTTATATAATGTTGGATTTAGAACAGTTCCATTTTAAGCTTTGACTACTCAAAATTGAATAAAATATCAATGCTTTCCTGTTTTCAATTGCGGTATTTTTACATTTTCGCATTTTCTACTGCAGATAAAAGTGAAGGAATTATCAGAATTTAACACTTTCCCTTTTTCAAGCTAGAATACGACGATGTCTTCCACATTTTTGAACAGATATAGGGTTTAAGGTGTTGAGCAAAAATCAAGCAACTCAAAGTGTACTGCATGTTGATTGTTCATTCACATAAGAGTTAGCTGGACAATACTAATGATTTTAAAAATGATAAAAGGATCTAAGAGTACATAACGATGGCGCTCAGGTGTCTTAAGGGTCTCAGTATACACCAGTCAATAGGGTTGAGATTTAACGGACTTAGTAAGTACAAGATGTGTATATTATAAAGGGGGGGGGGGGGCATGAAACGTATTACTCTCCGGAAAATTTAAACAGTGTTTAAACACAACTTAGAATTGTCGTAGGAGGCTGATTTTTTGCATGCAAACTCAGAATTATGCATGTAATATACATAAATCTGAGTTTGCATGCAAAAAATCAGCCTCCTACGACAATTATAAGTTATGTTTAAACACTGTTTAAATTTTCCGGAGATTAATACGTTTCATGCCCCCCCCCCCCCTTTAATGATGCACATTTTGTTTACAAATATAAACCAGATCTATAAATACAGTATACTAGAAGGTTGCACTTTTAATATCCCAGAAAATGCAAGTATAACAAAAATAGTAAAACCTTTAATGGGTTCGGAAACAATACTCAAATCCATGAAAAATATGCGTACCGTTGTGAATAGAGCATCCCTCTCTGTAAATAGAAGATCACTTGAAATAACAAGGACAGTCACTTTAATAATCGATTTGTTTGTTGATCTTGAAAATTTACTTAAAAAAAACTACCTAACCAAGTAGGATTCTATCTCAAGCAAACTTACTCCAGCTTCAGAACATTTAAGAGTAAGTTCTAAAATAAAAAGCAGAAATTAATAAACTAATGCTGAAAGAACTGTCTGCTGGCTTTTAATCATTATCATTGAGGTATATTGTTTTCAGGAGTTTCTACCTAAACCATTTTTTACATTGATCTCTCAAAGTATAATAAATGCCTTAATCCAGTGGGACCCATAAAATGGTGGAATAGGAAGAAGATTGTTTATATTTTGGCTTTTATAACAACTCAACATATTAACAGGATTACTTAAATGTCGTTTCCTTGTTCCACAGTTTACGGGTCCCCCTGTGTTAAAACAGTGCAGTGTAATAGTGAATTGTTTGTACGTTAGTAGGTATTAAACTATACATGTACACAGGGGCGTAGTCAGGAATTTGTCAAGGGGGGCTTACATTTTTCACTTCCAAAAGGGGCTCAGCACCCGTTTGGGCCTAAAACCACATACAATAAATAGGTGTTAATGGTCCAGGGGCGGGCTTTGCCCCCATAGCCCCCCTGACAACGCCTCTGCATGTACAGTGTACACTGTACACTGTACAGTACACAACATTTAGACAAACCAAAACTAACCAGTGATTGCGGCTGGAGATGGCCATTTTTGATTAAATCTTGGATCGTTTATTAACATCATTAGACTAGCCGGCATCTTCTTTATCGTCCGGACTACAGGTTTGTCTGACTCCGAGGGAGGCTGGAGGGTTGGTGTCTCCGAGGGGGGTTGGGCACATAGGTATCGGCAACCAACCGGAAATATCCGTAAAGGAGATCTAGAAATGATTAATTATCTAAAAGGGGTATATATTTTTCAAACAAAAACATTCCCCCTTCTCTTTTTCATTACTTTTTCCCTTAAGTTAAGTATGGTTTTTTTTAGTGTTTTATTCACTGATTTGTCGTATCTTCTTTGGGGGTCTGTTTCGCGAATTGGATTAAAGATACCCATTCCATCTATGGAAATTTTTACAAATTTATTTTTGCCATTTAGCGTAACCTTATTTTGGAAAAAAAACCTTTTAGCTTTTTCGACATCTACCCAAAAACATTAATCTGCCTTATGATCAGATTCTCCAGATAGGGGACCACAAGCGTAGTAAATCTAATCTACAAGTCTATTCACAAAGATATTTACATTTCAACTTTGCACGAAAAATGTTGAAAATCGGCTAAACGTTTTTGGTAAAACTTACGTCAAATATTATCTAGGTTTAGAGTGACTCATTTTACCTGTTATAAAGTAAATGAAGAAAATTGGAAGTTTTTAACATTTTTGTCTGAAAGCAGTTAATTTAAATATTAACACAACGCCACAAGGTTTAATGTTTATTCAATAACTCTCAACAGATTTAAAAGGATGAAATATAAATATATTCCACGAGAAAATTAACTGAACCTCCCCTTTAGAAAATTATGCTTGTTAGAATTTGAACAAATGTTAATTCAGCCGATTTTTCATTTTACTCCCAATTAGGATCCTGGCAACGAATAACAAAAAAAGTGACCCCCCCCCCCCCTGATTAATTATTAAAATCACACAAATTACAGAAAATTTACTTTTTTAAAACAGTTACTATTTAACAGCTATAGATGTAATTTTCTTTAAACAACATAAGTCTTCATTATTCATCAAACAAATATATTTTGAAATGCAGAAATTTCAACCAAAAGCTATTTGACCTAAAAATCAATTTGATATGTAAATACTATTAAATAAATATGATATTAATGTTAATTTTAAAAGCAGTAATGAAGACTAGGTACTATTAACTGGTAATTAGAGGTTCCTTACAATCTTTTTTTTATAAATTAAATCCTGAAGTTTTTTTTTCTCGAGTAACGTTAACTATTGAAGGAAGACGAAGAATATTTAGAGAAATTGACAAAATAAATTTATTGGCTAAAAATAAATGCTCTGCTGCTGCAACCAAGACGCGACAAAAATTTACAAAATCCAAAAAAAATCGAAATAAGGCCATGTTTAGTTTATATATCACTATGATACAAGTATGTTATCTAAATATATATATATTTTCTATGTCAGTGTATCAATTATAAAATTAGGTCAATTTTGTGAAGTAAAATTTCAGATTAAGTTAAACTTATACTCAAGGATTTGGGATGTTTTAGTTGGCTATACCATAAATATCTGGCCCATTTAAAAACTTCGCCTTTTAGTAGGTTTTACTTCTTAATTTGCAAAAATATATCTTTATAGAGCAATTTCCACTTAATCTGAGATAAACATTAATTAATCCTTTTAAAATAAAGGATAAATTAGATTAAAGCCTTTATGGGATTGTAAGTTTACAAAATTTTGAATAATTAAATATATAGTGGTTTAGAACTTCTTGTTCTTGGTTAACTAAGGTTTAAGTAACTGGTTTCAACTGGAGAAGATTATGTTACGAATATTAGGTTCGAATATCTCGGCGAAAATTTCATTTCATGGTGATTTTAAAAATCGTCCGAAATAGATTTCTAATGAGGTTAAAAGTGTTAGAAAGGTTTTAGGTTTTCAGTTCTCTGGTCTGTATGCTCAGGGTCTGGGGATCGATTCCTGGATGAAGTTTCGGATTAGAATTGTTTCTTCGAGTATAACTATCCTTCAGGATCAGTTCACGGGTGTTCACATATCCTGGTTTACTTTTCCGATTGAGTTGGTTTAGTTGTCAAGATCCAAGGATGAGAGAGGATCTTCTTTGCAGAATATCTCTGTAGAGGATCATTTCTCCGGGTTCAATTATCCTGCAGGGTTAGTTCTCCGGGTATAACTCCGGGTTCAATAATCCAGAAAAGAAACTACAGATCATTTCTCCGGGTTCAATTATACTAGTAAGATACTACAGGATCACTTCTCCGGGTACAATTATCCTGCAGACCCTTAAAAGATCATCTTTCCGGGTTTATTAATACAGATAGGAACAGATTATTTCTCCGGGTTCTAGTAAGATACTACAGGATCCGTAATCCGGGTAAAGAATCAAACAATTAAGAATCAGCTTCCAGGTTTAGTTATCCTGGTTGGATAACACAGGATCAGTTTATCCGGAATATTTATCTAATTCTCCGGATAGTTTTCAGAGCTTATACACCAGGTTTATGTCTCTTGGAAGGTTTACTTCTCCGGTTGTGTAGGTTTAGTTGCCAAGATCCACGGATGAGAAAGGATCTCCTTGGCCGAATATCTCTGTAGAGGATCAACTACCAGGCTCCAAGATATCAGTTCCTAGACACTCCAGTTTTAGTCTTCAAAGAATATAAAATGAAGTAACAAAAAAACTAAAAAGATTGCGAATTTAGTTTTGACAGTTTTGCGTATCAAATCAAATAACATAAGACTTTTAGCGTTGTCCCACTTCCAAAATACCATCCCGAAGTGAATAGCTTAAACCGGAGTGAAGCATTCAAAATACTACTTTAAAGACTATAATGCTTTGGCAACGAAACAAACGCTATCCCAAACAATAATTTATTTTCACCAACAAATAACAAATTGAGGGGAAAGCACGTTTGAAAAAGAGCGGAGACTGATAATTCAACATCTCAGAATTTAATTATAAAGCTAATCCTGTAAAAAATCCCCCCTCGACCACCTCTTTAAACCACTTGATTAGACTAGAACTGGTTCCTTAGCAGGATATGAGATAGGATCCCAATCTGGAGAATTGAATTCGAATAGTCCTGACAGAATCTGGTCAAACAACTCCTCCTAAATATTCTTGTTAAAATATTTCAAAATAAGCCGAACATGATGGATGAAGCAAGAACAACAAGAAGAAAATGACAGTCTAGAAAAACAGAAATGTCAAAATACTTGCTAATTTATAAAATCTGAATTTAAATTTAAAAATGTTAAAAAATTCATGTTAAAATATTAATAATAATGAAAAGAAATAGTCAAAATAACATAAAGCCTGAACTTTGGACAGATACACAAAATACACCGCTAAAAAAGCAGGGGTAAATATATTTTTAAAGAATCCCCCCCCCCCGGTGAGGGGGAACATGATTTTTTAATTTTTTGGGGGGCAAATGAAATAATTAGAACATCTAAAGTTTTTTCTTCATTTTTGATATTTTTTACATATAACTTAATTTTTTCCCACTAAAACAAAATTACTTCCATTATTCAGCGAAAAGAAGCCTAAAAATAATTAAAATCTAATAAACAAGAAATGTTCAACAACTGCAGAGAGGGGGGAGGGGGATCTTTCAAGAAAATTAGTTATTTATGAAAATAGCATAATTCTAATCTATTATAAAAAAGAAAGGTATGTTTTATAGGATATGTTTTAACAGTTTGATTTTCCAATAGAAAAGAAAAGAAATCAATAATAAAATGAATTTTTCCAGCTAACGTGATCAATTGTTCAGTTGTTTGGTTTAATTTTTGTTACATTTCGTGAAGGAATCTGATAATAATAGGGAAACCATAAACCATTGTAGAAAACAATCATGCAACATAGATAATTTTACATATTTATATGGAAATATTTTTAAGTGGATAAAAAAAATTTCACCTGATTATTAGATCTGGATGAAAACGGAGGATACCCGCAAAGCAGAATGTAAAGAATAACTCCTATGGCCCAAATATCAACCTAGAAAATATGTTTAAGAAAAAAAAACAAATATAAAGTGATTAATTGATAAATGTTTATTTCTTTAAGCATAAGAGGGCGAGCTCCTTAAAAATAATATGCAGTAAATGTACAATATTATGCTTACCTTTACGCCGTAACCCGTCTCGGCTAGAATTTCTGGTGCGACATATGTTGGTGTACCGCATACAGTGAACAACGGCTCCCGTACTGTCACGGCCAGTCCGAAATCCGCCAGTTTCAGAGATTTTGTAAATTGTTTGTCAATGACGAGCAGATTTTCAGGTTTGATGTCACGATGGCAAACCATTCTATCGTGCAAATACTAAAAATGAAACAACTTAAAACAAATATCTTCTTCAGTTCACGACTCGTTTCAAAATCCCCCAGCCCAGCAACCTTAATTGAAATCACCCCAAGAACCCTTGTTTTAACAACAGGTAAAAATAAAATGACACCTGAAGTGCATTGGCCAGATCTTTTACCATATCTCGTGCTACAGGTTCAGAATACTTAATATCAGCTGCAATAGCATCAAACAAATCTCCACCCTGTAATATAAAAATGTACATCTAGGAAAAATTTATTCATTAAAATTATCTTATCCATCAGACTCTCAACTTAACATTCCTACACAAACCAACAAACCCATCAACCAATCAACCAAACCAACCACCCACCCACCCAAAAACCAACCAACCAACCAACCAACCAACCAACCAATCAACTAACCAACCAACAAACCATCCAATCTAAGGGCCAATGAACGGAATGAATGGAAAACCCAACCAACCAACCAAAGCAAACCACACACAAACCAACCAACCAATCAACCAAACCACCAACGAAGCAACCAAGCAACCCACCCGCCCACCAACCAACCACCTACCGGAACGTATTCCATAATGAGATATTTCTCTGCCGCGAAGTCGAAGACCTCCTCTAGCTGTATCACGTGAGGATGTGAGACCGAGGAGAGGATCGCAATCTCACTCTCTATCATATGTTCCTTTCCTTGACATTTGGCCTGAAAATATAATAGAATTAAAGGGTCTAGAGACGTAAGTTCAAGTAACTAGAAAACTACGATAAAACCGTTAAAAATAATTTACAAGCTGCAAGGGTCGGACAAACTATCCTTATTGATTAGATAAGATACTACCAGACTTATTTTTCAATGAACAAAGAAAACAAAATTGATAATAACTTATCAATTCTCATTTTTTAATGAACATACACCTCCAGATAAACATGGAAAAAGTACAAATCGTACAAAGATTAAAGAATGTATATAATATCAATAAGCCTTTCTTTGCGTTATTGAACAACAACATTTTAAGGGACTGAAAGCTTAATTACAAGTGACCCTCCATCCAAAGATGGTAATGTCCGATTTACAACGGTACCCGTTTAAGCTTTGTCTGATCAAGCATTAAGCATTTCTTGATTATATCAACAAGAAAGAAATTCACAGAAATAAACACTTTAAGTTAGATAAACGACGCGGTCTTGCTAGTTTTTATCAGATTAAGGAACCATCTCGGGCATTGTTACCTTTGTTTAATACGCTTACAGTCCCTTTAATAAGATTTCGAACAACATTTTCCGTATACCATATAAAACTATAATATTGTACAATACCGACCTTATCAATTATTTTCACAGCAAACTCCTTCTTGGTTTGTTTACTGTAGCACAGCCGTACAACTGCAAAGTTACCGTCTCCTATGATCTAAAGAAAAAAGAGAAAAAAATAACACAGAAAAAAACTTCCCGCACCTTAAGTTAAACTATTTCGGAACCCACTTTTCCAATAAAATAAATACGTTCTTGAAATTAAACTTTATTGAAAAGAAGAAATTTGCTTTAACAAATTTCAAGTATAATTGGTCACAACTAATCTATTAAAAAAACCACCATAATAGCCAATGCTTTAAAAATATTTTTTAATTTTCAATCTACGGAAACTCATCCCCGACAAGGAAAAATTAATATCTACAAAATTAAGATGACCCCTCACCTGTCTCACAATATACTTGTCGGTCACCTCACTAGGATAACTATCACTCAAATCCTCAATGTTATGAAAACTGTTTCCGTTTTTAAGTCCGTTAGTGCGAGATTTAGAGGTACCGCGCCGACTGCGTGCTATCCGACTTAACAGAAACTTTCTCCGGCTCGCTTTCGGAGACATGTGTGCAAATTTCTCGTATTTTAAATCCAACTTTTGAGACTTGAGAATGGCCTGGACGTTACGGAACTCAATTAGATCGAGGTCAAAGTCGTCCGTGTTGCATTTGTCGACCCCGTAGGCAATGAAGACCTCCTCATCCTTGAGGTCGAGTAAGGAGTTGACAGGGGTCCCCTCCAACGTGTACATCTTCCTGACCGCCCCTGTATCAAGTTTCACTGTATTGGTGAGGTCAGCTAGCACCATATCCAAGGATTTAGTATTTCTAAACACAGAAATATATGATTTATGATAAGCAAAAAAGTTTTGCAGATTTAATTTTTTTTAAATGACCAATTGTATTCTGCTTTCTAAATGACACATCGAAAATGCATTAGAAATAAACGTATTTTCGAATTTTATCTATCAAATCCATCCAAAAAAGTCGAAGAGAAGATAACAAAAAGAAGTCAGTCTCTATTACATAAAAGCATTAGAATAAAGGTCTTAAATCAATCATTAGAATATGTCATAGGAGAAAAGTATTATTATGAAGCTAAAGGACTTTACTAACCGGTATTAACTATAAAGCTTTTACCCGTTTTAATTAAGACTCTTGCTTATTACTATAAGGACTTTGACCTGTTGTCAATAACTGAGAAATACTAAGTTCTCAAAACAAGGACTTTTATATAAGGAATCATAAGGAAGTGAAATCTGCAAGAGAACCCCATTGTGGGCCCCCCAGACTTTAATTCTCTTGAAGAAGGCCTCTGAACTTTTAATGAAGACGCTTTCCATGCGTATTAACATAAGGAAGCATAAGGAAGTGAAATCTGTGGGCCCCCCAGACCGCCCAGGCAGCAGGGTGCACTGCCCCGCCCCTGTTCTAACTAGAACTCTCAGTCTTACCTGTTATTAAGAAGCACTCTGACCGCTTTCCTCGGTCTTGTACCACTCCGTAGAACTGTTATAATACGAGGTTTGATATAAACCTTAGGCTCAGTATCACTAGACTTAGTCTGACCAAAGCTCTTAGAGTGTCCGCTCATACGATACATATCCCTAGAATAAAAATCATAATATATAAAAAAAAAAATTGTTGTAATCTTCTTTAAAGAGATAGGTGGGGAATAAAACGAGACAAGTATTGTTATATTTATACAAAAAAAATTCAGAAGACAAACATGTAAAATGTAAATTAAATATTTAAGTTATTTTAAATGGAAAGCAGGGTCGCTAAAAATGTGGAATTAAAAGAGTATTATAAAGTTTGACAGTGTTGTTTTTCGAGAACATTAGAACTGAGCAGTTTTTGATATATTTCTCATATATCTTGGATAGAGATTAAGTTGCGAAAAAATTTTCAAGATTTATTTATGTTTTTCGTTTTTTTTTGTATTTTATTAATAATTTAAAGAGGTAAATTTTCTATTGTCTGTCTCACCTTCTCATAGAACCATTCCGCATACCGAGGTAGTAAGTCTCCCGCTTTACTCTGTTCCAAGTATGGTCCTCGTCAGCTGTAATACAATATTAAAGAGACTGTTCAAATATATAAGAAAATATAGGATAATTTAATAGTTATGCCGCCCCCACCTCTTCTTTACTTGCACCGCTTTAAAGGGACTGTATACTTAATTTTAAATAACACTTTTTATTCAAAAAAGGCCAAGTCTTTTTTAACATTTATTATTAATTCTAATTTTAACAAATTTTTTTCTTCAGAAGAGCAGTGAATTTATTCTTTGGCCGTGTTTTATCTTCTTTTTAGCTGATAATACATCTGTTTTCTGCTCCTCTTTTGTAGATCTAATGAATTTATTCTTTTGCTTTTTATCTTCGTTTAGCTGATCATAAATCTGTTTCCTGCTCCTCTTTTGTAGATCTCGTGAATTTATTCTTTGGCTGTTCTATCTTCTTTTTAGGCAATTTTATTTTTCATACTATTCTCAAATATCAAATTAAGTATAATTGAAAGTTACTGTTCGTGATCCAATCCATACAGAGGTGTGAAATTTCTCTGATGAAGCATATTGTGCAATTCTTGAGGATTTCTAATGCATCTATTTTCTCCAAATCGTTCATATTTATCAAAATCATTCTTACAGGTTGGATAAATAAAAGTCAGTGCTAATCGGGTTTGAAAATTCTGTGAATCCATTGTCAGAATTCTGCGTTGATAAAGACAAATGGGATAAGAAAGGTAAGGCTATGAGTGGATATTTTCGACAAAAGAATTCTTGATTCTTGCAAATTCATCTCAGACAGTGCTTTAGAATACAGCCTTGTCTACAGAAATCTGTTCCTTGCAACCAGCAGAGTATAAACCGGTATCATAGTGCATGGTGCACAACCTATCAGGATTCTGCTTTCTATGTTTCTATTTTCCTTGTTTCTGACAAAAGGGAGGGGGAAGAGAAGCATAGGGAAACCCCTTTTTCTTTGCACTATTAAATTTTTTTTTTTCCAAGTAGGATGTACTGCCATGTTATATTCCACACAGGTTTCTGTTCAACCACAAGAAACTTGAGAGTTGTATAAGAACCTGACTGTGTTGAGCGAGTTGTATAAGAACCTGACTGTGTTGAGCTCCCTTGATGCTTACACATAGAACCAGATTCAACCAAAAGAATCAACGTCTTTCTGACAAGTTCGGATACTTAATAACAGCTGACAAACCTTGTCAGTAAGGAGTATATTCAAAGCTCTCAGTAGCAAAATCTGGATTCAGGTAGGTGAAAAACCTCAATTCTCAAGGTTAACAGTGTTAAAAGATGAATACAGGCCTTTAATGTTACTTGTAGTTCCGTTTATTTCTTTTCCATTTGTGTGCAGGGGTGTATACGGGGGATATACACCCTCTGGCTAAAGTTTCTCTAGTTAGCCTTTTTTCTCTCTCACCCTGTATCTCTAGTACTTTTAAAAGCCGAGCAAACCCCAGTTGTTGCTTCTCTGAAAGCTAAATGTACATTGAAGTAGGGCATGTTTAAAAAACAATTTTTTTTTCTGGGTGAAAAAAAAAAAATTTTAAAAAAGGAGGGGGGTTATAAGATATATACTAGAAATTATATGTACAACACTGACTTTTATGATCAAATAAAAAAACTATCAATATGAATCTATATGTAAATGCGTATTGAAAAAAAAGTTTGTTTAGTTAAAACTTACCAAGAGCAACGTAGTCCAATTTCTTAAAGTTAGAGACACTAGAGCACACGTAATTCTCTCCACCCTGAAGAACAAAACAAATAAAAAAACTCAAGAGCAAAAATAATTTTGTAAGCAAAATATCTTTTTTTAATACCATCTGATAAAAAAATTCTAAAAAATCTGTCAAATTAATAAATATAAAATTAATAATCGAAGATTGTAGAAAAAATTATATATAGTAAAATAGAAAAAAAATAAAAATTAACATTGATATCAACAAATATAAAAATCCCATTTGTTTTATCTAACCCTTTCATCAAAACATTCATAAAAATATTCTTCAATTAAGATTTACATAAGAGGAGTAACAGTGAAAAATATTGCATATTGTAAAATTTTACTAGGGAGAAAGAAAATATCAGCTCAAGGTTAATTTCTTACCTGGATTTCATCCACAATAGTCATGAGTTTCCCTTCTAGGTTGTATATAGACCTTACACCATTCGGCAGGGTTACTTGTGTACACATTATTCTCGTCAAATGTTCAAGAAGCTTATCAAAGGTTCGAAACTTCTCGTTGTTCACGGCTATCACGGCACCTTTGAAAAACTTGTCTCCGTTAATGAAAAACCGAACTTTGCGCGCCTGTCGACAGCTAGAAACTTGAATAAGAGAGGCGCGGTGGGAGTTTAGTTTGTCACCGCCATTTGGTGATACGGCGTGCTCCCGCCGTAGAACAAGGGAGGGCGGTGGCGTGTCAGCTATGCTAACTTTTTTAACCTGCGCACTGGATGCCCTGTTCGGGTTTTTTAAAACTGAAACATGATTGTCACTATTCTCACTTTTGGCCAAGGAACTATTCGAACTTCGAAAAGATTCCGTGACACTTGAAACCGTCAAGCAGTCGGAATTTCCATTGTTCGTGGCTCCGTTACTCGAGCTTAAATCACGAAGGGAGTCACAAGCATTAAGCTGATGATCCAAATCAGATTTCAAGTCTAAGTCCTTCATTTCGTCGGAGAGGATCACAGGGACGCCAGATTTCTCGACAGGATCCTTCATGATTGTTTCCGAACTTCGTAAATTACATTATCATCTAAAAAACAAAACATAAAAAACTCTTATCAATTTTAAAGATTCAATTTTTCTGAAAACGAGCACACCATAGACTTGATTGTGGTATATTCCTAGAGAAACCCAGCAGATTCAGATAATTGATCACTTGAGAATAAACTTAATTTCTTAGAGCATTAAAATCACAATAATCAGCCAGTACAACTTTGTTGTCTTATAAAAATATATTAATTCTCTCGAAATTAGTCTTTTCTCTACTAAATTTCACTTTCAGAAGGGTTGCGGAGGCTGTTTTCAAGAAAATCCTGGAAAAAAAATTGGAAAAAGTCCCGGCTGCGTCAAATCCAACTGTAAATTATCCTGGTTTGTGTGCCGCGTAGCAGATACATTCCACCTCCCTGCAGGTCGTCTTTACTCAGCATTGGAGTCGTATCAACCGGACTATTTCTGATAATCCACCGAGTTCTGTACCTGAGAATTATTTTATATTTTATCATCTTTATTTCAATCAAAGTGTCATTAAATATGGAGTATACTAATGAACATAAAATTTTAATGAACATTTTTAGAAAATTGATAAAGTATGCTGTTTCCAAACTAATTTAATAAACGTTTTGTTTTCGGGATATAAGACTTTTCCATGCAAATCTTGATCAAATTACCTTGAATTGTAATTTAAATGTAATTTATTTATTATGTCGGAAAATACAAAGTTCAGAAATGACATAGGATCGTTTTCGTCTACCTCCTAACTAACATCGCCACGCGGCATCATATACTTTATTGCGCACTAAATTTGGATTTTCTCGAAGAAATGAAATTTTAAGTCCTCAACAGGTTTTATTTACAACTTTACAAGGGAAAGACCAGGCGTAACAGACCTTGTCGTCGTCATATTGTACGCAAGTAGAAAATTTGGGGTTTAAATATGGTTGGTATATTAGACCTTCCTGATGAAATGCTTGTTAAAATACTTCTCTACAACCAACATGATTCCATCTTAAATATAGCAGAGATATCTCCAAGGTGAGCTAATCAATACTTCTGATCTAACAATTTCTGGATTTACTAGCTGTCATGAACTTGAACACTTGAACTGAATTAAAGAATAAATAGATAAATTAATCCTACCTCAGTCCTGAGCATGGTTGGGAGCTGGTAGCGTTGGGAGGTTAACTGAGATATGATTGTTTCTGTTTTTAGGTTTGCATTAATATTGAATCATTCGTCCTTATGGATACGAGTTTATTTTCGGTAAGTTTAACACATGTGAGAAAAAAATAATTGGAACATGAAAAAAATGTAAATTATTTAGGAATAAACATTAGTTTAATATTATTTTTGTATAGTAACCCTGTTGACCTAAGCACGCTGAAGAACTGTCTGAAGTATATGGGGTCTTATACCCGTACTCTAAAGTAAGAACTAGGCTAAAAGTAAGAGCACAACTCATATTTCTTGTCCTACATGTGGTTTCCGTTTATATTAGTGCTTTTGGGTCCCTGGATCTCTCGGGCCCGGATCTGCAAAAATGTGTGGAGACACACATTACCAATTACCAATTACCAATAAAAAACTTCCTTAATGGTATTAAGTTTCAGCATGAAAACGAGGGGGGGGGGAAGAAAAATTGTTGAACATTTTTTATTTGTTTCAAAAATTAGTTAACCTTGAAGAAAATTTAAGGTCCTGAATCCGGATCTGGCTTTGAAACCGGATCCGGAATGTTCTAGGGCGAATCCAGGATCCACATTAAAATTAAATGGATCCTTAGCACTGGTTTATTTAATGGCAGTGACGGCAAAGTGGGGTGTGGTTGTTACGGTTAAAACACAGTATAGTATTAAGATTTCCTAAGTGTCTCAGTCTCCTAGATGTATAATTGCTGACTGCTGAGTACTTGAAAATTATTTCAATGATTCATTTTGATTAAAACAAAAACATATCAAATGGACATCTTTAAAGACCTTTTATTCTGCGTTGTAATTGCAAGGAAACTTGTTAATTTACTGAATGTTCTTGATTAATCAATGGTTCAGCATGAATGGAAAACTCGAAATAATTCTGTACTTTCAAGGATTACTGGAAATCTGAAGAGACCACGCCCTCTCCTCAAATCTAATTTCTCTGACGTCTTTTTCCGAGACCTACAGGTATTAAATATTTACCCCATCGTAAGGGATCGAATTTAATAAATATGATCTCCGTCACTCAACCACCTACTACCGGTTCAAATTTGAACCATTGATTTGAAGTTAAAGATTAAGGAAGGACTTGAATCAATGATTCAAATTTGAATCGTCGGTAGGCATTAAATTTGTTCCCCGGAAATTTTTCTTTAACCTGTATAATCCACCCCAGACCACCTTAATCCACTTAAAAGCTAATTATTATTCAAAACAGAAATTGGAAATTTTAGGTTGAGGGTTTTTTTTTGGGGGGGGGGGGGGGACCACGAACTGTTCATTCGAATTATTGATTATAAATTTTGACAACCATATTATTAATTTGTGAGGTTAAGTGTCCGAACCTTGTTGATCTGAGATTAGAATATATCTATTGTGAGAAGAGATCTCCTCTGAAAGTTAAAAATCTGCCAGGAACTTGAATAAATAACAATTATATAAATGTTCATGGTGGGTTAAGGGTTCCATATCAGGGCTGTACTTCTATCCTGATGCGAGAATTAGTTTAACTACGTAGACTAAGTTGAACCACTTCTCTTGAACTTGAATCGGCGCATTACGTAGTTGAACTATTTCTCGTTGTACATTAAATTTGGTCCTAGTTCTATTTTCTCATAGATCTGATTCTGAACTACATGCTTAAAAAGGAATTTTATCTATAGTCACAATAGATCATCTTAACATTTGTTTTTATGAAGTGTAGAAAAGTCGAAAAAATGTGTAATCTTGGTCGATAAGAAAGGGTTGGTTTGCACTGAATTCAGCTAAAATTATTACAAAACTTTTTTAAAAGTCTTAATGGATTGTTATCTATTTGAAATGGAAGATGGTCTGGAGCGACTGAGATTTGATACTGTTGAACCGATCAGTTTTCGATTTATTGATTTAAAAGAGAAAATCAGGAATCTAAGGTATTTTTTGATATGGTTATTTGTTTAAAAGAAAGAAAATTTCAAAATTTTTTTTTACGAGGTTCTGTAATATGTATGTATGCTTTCGCTGAGCGGCAAATTTTTTGTTATGGTTTCTTTCGCTGAACTGTGAAAATGAATTATTATTTTAGGACCCAAGTATAAAATAGGTTAAAAAAAAACTTTCCTTCTGGTATCAAATGTTTCCTCACCATTAAAAATATTTGCCTTTGCTTGATGGATGTTGAACCTTCTTACCAATTTAATTTTTATAACGACTTTTATTCATAAAATGATAAAAAATTGAATATTTTATTAGAAGAACGGTGTTGAATGTCCCATTCACATCAGTACCCTATAAACTGTCTGAATGAAGTATCCTGAATTTTCTGTCGGAAAATTGATTCTTTTCAATTGTAATTTCTCGAGTAAGTGACACGTCTCAAGACAGTAAACGACAATTTTAAAGTCGCTGATACTCGGAAATAGATTTGATTAAGCTCAATAATCAAGCCTCACTAGGTTTGTGAACCTTTTGTTAAATATTTGTTTTAAGAGTTCTGGAGCTAGTTCGTTGTCCCTGGTTTACTGCTAATCTTCTATATTTTCTGATCTGCACACTCCCACACCTACAAAACATAAGGAACATATCTTTCATATAATTCACAATTGAAGGAATTCCCCTCTTTGGAACCTCCGGGCCTACTTCTAAGCAGCTGAAGTACACACACTATATTAGGCAAAATGTCACAGTACACGAAAATAAACAACACTTCTAAGGAGGATTTAGTTCCCCCCCCCCCCTCTTCATTAAAACAGTAGCATATCCGATTTTTAACGAAACCATTAACAGATTTGTTTGGCCAACAATTGATAAGATATCGTCGTTTTTACATCTTGAAATGCTGCATAAGGAGAAACCATCATTAGAAGTTATCAATGTTAAGATAGATAAACAATTACATTTTTAATTTTGATGCGCGCATTATTTTTCACTTCTGTTATGATTACGATTTTTTCAGATCTTCCTTTCCGTTTCCGGTATATTTTTTCTTCCTTGTTTGTATAAAATCTCCCTTTCCCCCTCCCCTGTTCCCTCTTTTTAACTTAGATCTTTTCTTCAGTTAATTCTAAAATTAGAGTTATTAGAATATAAGGATATTTTTGACAATATCTCTTTTATCAAAAGTTCAGATTTGGTTTTTGATAGCAAAAAGATTTTTTACAGTTTTGGGTTGACAATTTGCCCGTTGGCTTCGAATCCAGATCCAGTAAGTGAAAATTTTGCCGATTCAACGAATCAGGATCCTAAGCACTGATCTAAATGATATGTATTGCTAGTGTGAGTAGGTGTACAGGCCTGCGAAAGAGCTTTGTTGCCCAACCAATGATGTACCCGGCGCCTCCACCAGTTTTGCGGGTAAAGAAAAAAGAGATTTAAATTAGTTTTTTCGGTAAAATTGGAAGGAAGAAAAGAGATAGGAGGAATGATCTAGATGTGATGTAAATATGTTTGAAGGTGGGGGTGGTAGCTGTTGTATCTTTCTTGTCTATAACCATTCATCTAACACTTTCTCTCTCCTCTCTGTTATCTGCTTGTTTAATGAGCACTATGATTCCGATGATTTATTAATGTTTATAATCCACGATCACATAGGTAAAACAAACTCGCTTAAAGGAAGCCAATTGCGAGAGGCTTAGTGGGATTTCTAAGCAACACTACATGGTGTGTTCTTTTTACTTGGGCTTGTACTACTTAAAATCCTGGTTCGATTTCAGGGTAAAAATAGCAAATAACAAATTACAAGATAAAAATATACAGATCTAAATTGAATGATAAATTGATAAATTGATACATCATTAAATTAATAATTCTTGTTTTGGGATATAACCACCCCTAAACCAAGCCAACCATTTAAAACCACGCAGGTAGAGAAAAGATAGAAATCCAAGCGTCAGATACAACTGGTATATATATAAAGGTATTCTAAGAAGGCATTCATGAAACAATAATACATCATTAAATCATAATATTTTGTTTGCTAGTTGTCATTTGTCATGTAAAAAAGTTGGCAATAATATAAAACATTTCTTTCTGATTTTATAAGTAAAATCCCAAACTGTAAGAATCCCAAATGAATGTTAACCAATGTTGGGATTGGAAGAATTGGGATTAGGATGAGGACTAGGAAGTTGGAATAGGTTGGACAGGGATCAATTGGGAATAGATAAAATAGGTTGGGAATTTGGATGGATACCAACTAAAGAGGAAGTTGGGATTGGGATTCAATGAATGTGAGGATGATAAAAGGGTTGGTAAATCGGGAGTTGGAGTAATTGGGAAGATTGAGTAATGAATAGATGTTCTACGGGGAAAGAGAATCAGCAAGATATAGAAGTTCAGAACAGAGATACAGATATAATAAAATATGTGTGTAAAGACTATGGAGAATATGTAGTTAAGTGGGTACAAATGTTAATAAGGGGTGAAGATGACATCTTGGAAGGAATTAGCGGATTATTGTTAAGTTGGGATAAGAGAGAGAAAAGAGTATAAAAATCATCATTAGAATCATTCAATACTCTGAAACAATATCCAAGGTAATAAAGGAAGGAAAGTTACTTGCTGTTGTGCATTCTCTCCGTACATATTGAAACCAGTTCTCTCTGGTCGGTGTTTGTAAACAAAAATAGATGCATCAGTGTTCCTCTAGTATCCGAGGATGTAAGCATTTAATTTTGAAATTTTGATAATTCACATGATCGTTTCCTATGACCAGAATATTTCATTGATTTTTTATGTAAAAGATGGATCCCATTTCAGGCTGTGACATCCGTCTTGTGTTTACTTTACAGCCCAGAGACAGTACACTTCAGTACTTAAAATGCGTACACCTCTGAAATAATTATCTTTACATTTTAATTCTTTGCTTATATCTGTTTCTACGACCTTTTATTTCCATTCTAATGTTTTAAATAAATCAGAAGGTGGTTGTTCGTACCCAAAAAATATGTTGAGATATTATGTGTAATAAATACAGTAATAACCGCCATATCTTGGAAACCTGAACTTATCTGCCTGTATGTATATATATTACGCTATAATCACCTGACCGTATTATCGGTCAGTGTAATCTTTATCTGTACCTTATACTCAAATATAGTTTAGTTGAATATGAACTCTGTTTTATTACCGTCAGACTTATTAGATCTCGGTAGAGAGTATAGAGTTTACGAGAGTTGTATCTGGATTGATACAGACTTAAGAATACAGAGAGAGTTGTATCTGGATTGTTACATACTAAGAAAACTGAGAGTTTTATATGGATTGATACTTAATTAAGAATACAGAGAGAGTTGTATCTGGATTGTTACATACTAAGAATACAGAGAGTTGTATCTGGATTGATACATACTTAAGAATACAGAGAGAGTTGTATCTGGATTGTTACATACTAAGAATACAGAGAGTTGTATCTGGATTGATACATACTTAAGAATACAGAGAGAGTTGTATCTGGATTGATACAGACTTAAGAATACAGAGAGAGTTGTATCTGGATTGATAATATATTTAAAGAACTAATGGAGTAAGGCATTATTTACAAATGTTCTTATCCCTTTTTTGGCTTTCAGCTGAAAGGAATATTTACTGGATGCTGAGTAAGTTTAAGAAAATTAACCCTGTAAAACTAAAAAACCTTAGAATTGCAAAGGCATGACTGCTTTGATATCGAAGTCTGTATGTTATGAGAGGGGGTTAAGGAATATTTTAGTAAGTTTTAAAACGTATTTTCACTCTTAACAGATATCGAGTACGTTTAAAGAGCTGAGCTTGGTTGACTGCTTCTTGTATGACGGATTCCTAGGAGATAATTTCTCTCTGAACCTGCTCCAGTCTCTACAGAGCCTGGATCTTAGGGACAACCCTGAGTTTACGAATAGAGGATTGGATATATTCGCTTCCCAATTAGTGAATTCCAACCAGGTAATTCTTCTTCTTTTAAATCGTAAAAATTTTTATTTTAAAAAAAAATCGTACTTATATCTTTAGCATAGTCTGTTTGATTTGAAATTTTGCGTTGCAAGATGAGATATACAAACCTTCAAACTTAAGAATACGTTTGAACATTTCTAATCTAGATTTATTTTTAATTTTTGATAATAATTATCTTCAGGAAGGTATAATAAAGAAATTAAATCTTTGTGGAACTGGAGTAACTCAAGACGCAGTAGATCGATTCCGTTCCAAGTTCACCAACTATACAGTTGATATCTAATCAATTCTGTTCCAAGTTCACCAGCTGTACAGTTGATGTCTTATAAATTCTGTTCCAAGTTCACCAACTGTACAGTTGATATCTAATTAATTCTGTTCCAAGTTCACCAGCTGTACAGTTGATGTCTTATCAATTCTGTTCCAAGTTCACCAAATATACAGTTGATATCTAATCAATTATGTTCCAAGTTCACCAGCTGTACAGTTGATGTCTAATCAATTCTGTTCCACGTTCACCAACTGTACAGTTGATATCTAATCAATTCTGTTCCAAGTTCACCAGCTGTACAGTTGATGTCTTATAAATTCTTTTCCAAGTTCACCAACTGTACAGTTGATATCTAATTAATTCTGTTCCAAGTTCACCAGCTGTACAGTTGATGTCTAATCAATTCTGTTCTAAGTTCACCAACTATACAGTTGATATCTAATCAATTCTGTTCCAAGTTCACCAACTGTACAGTTGATAACTAATTAATTCTGTTCCAAGTTCACCAGCTGTACAGTTGATGTCTAATCAATTCTGTTCCAAGTTCACCAACTGTACAATTGATATCTAATCAATTTTGTTCCAAGTTCACCAACTGTACAGTTAATGTCTAATCAATTCTGTTCCAAGTTAACCTATTTTACAATTGATGTCTAATCAATTCCGTCACAAGTTCACCAACGATATGTACTCATAGTCAATTACGTTCCTTAATTAATTTAACAATTGATTTCAAATTTATTCCGTTCACTTCTTTACAGTGTGCAGTGTACATTACGTTAATTAAGTCCGTTTAAAGTACAATAGAGATATTATTAAGTTTCAAGTTTCTATTGTTCAAAATATATACATTGCATTAATCAAGTCCGTTTAAAGTACAATAGAGATATTATTTAGTTTCAAGTTTTCTATTGTTTAAAATATATACATTGCAAATATGTACAATGTAAAATATACATATGCATACTTTAGAAAGGAAATGAATCCTTAAACAAGTTCCAAGTTCAAATCTAAAAAGCATATCTCAAAGAACCTTTATTTTTACGGCATTATTCCTACGTCACAATGCTCGTCACTTCTAAACCAAACCAATATCAGCAGAATAAACGAATGTTTATTTTTATAATGTGTGATAGTTGTAAATTGTTTGTGATACACTGTGATACTATTTCTTTCTCACTGAACCTATAAAAATTGTATACATTTTTTTTTTTCTCAGAAAATCAATGGAATAATAAATTTTCTGGCGTAAGCATATCAAGGTGAAACTAGATTAAATTTTTTTCTTCAATTTCGACGAGACGAGACGAGACGAGACGAGACGAGACAAGACAATTGACAATTGACAAGACAATTGACAAGACAATTGACGAGACAATTGACGAGACAATTGACGAGACGAGACGCAACGATGTTATTTTCCAATCAGAAACAATTGCTAAATGGACGAGAAATTAATAATAATAATTAATACTCATAAATATATATTTTTTACTTCAGATGATTCAGTATTTGCTACTGTTCAGTAGACAGGGTAAACTGAGGTTACAGAAATGGTTTGCTGCATACTCGGTGAGATATTATTATTTTTAATTTGTGTCCAAACCTGTTTTTATTTGTTTAAAATAAATCCTATTACGTTGTTCTTTAAAAAAGGTGTCAACAAATCATGTTTTACAAAGGTATGTCCGATCATACCTCTGAAACCCCTTGACTGATTTGTCTCAAATGTTGAGGAAGGAATCGAACCACTGCACGGGAAGGTTCTTAGCCTGGTGTAAAAATTCTAAGTCGAGTGCTTTGACTTTTAAGGGAAATCTTAGTTTCTACTCGAAAACTGCGATCTCAAGCTAGTAGTTAAAGGGAGTGTTGGCGAAAAATGAAATGGTGTATAGGCTTACGGCTTTCGTCTATAAGGAGAAAATTGTCATAAACGACTTACACCGAATAACGTAGCGTACATACAAATTCGGAGAGTTGCAACATTCAACTTGGATCGTAAATAATCAATTTAATTCCAATCAAATCATTCAGATATTACAAACAATAGTCATCGATTGTTTTTCGACGCATTCGTATTTAGTCAATATTTCATAATTTTATTGATTTTTTTTTTAATATTTCGCTGGCGCTGGATTTTCGAACATTCCTGGAAAATATGAAAATGTCGACCTTCATTATCAAAAATTCTCGGAGTCAATCAGGAATAAATCATTACAAACGTAACTCTCAGATCATAAAAAGAAAAGAATATTATGATGACTATTGTTAGTAATATCTGAAGGATTTGTTTGAAATTCAATTGATTTGTTTACGATCCGAATTGAATGTTGCAACTTTCTGAATATGTATGGATTCTACATTCATCGGTATGAGTCGTTTTTATCAATTTTCTCCTTATTGACGCAACAGATAAAAGCAAGATTAGTAGAAATCAAAAGCGCTTATTTTTCGCCGTTAGCCTTTATCCCCGTTCATTTTTCGTGAACACTCCCTTTAAATTAAATAAAAATTTAACAAAAATCGGAGGTAGTTGTGTGCTTTCAGTTGGTTCGTTTTTTGCACATATTTTCTCTCGGCGTCAAAATTCGGCAAAATGTATGATTATCAAATGTTTATTATTTTTTTTTTAAACATTTGCCTTGCTGTATGTATTTAAATTTTTGACTCTGGTAGAAGATATGTGCAAAAAAATTATTCAAAAACGATTCAAAAAGTATCCAAAAGCGATCTAAAAGCGATCCAAACACGATGCAATAACGATCCTAAAAAGGTGCAAAGACTATGCAAACGATCCAAAAACGATGCAAAAACGACCAAAAAAGACCCAAAAACGATCTAAAAACGTACCAAAAACGATTCAAAGACTATGTAATAGCGATCCAAAAACGAATCATAAACGAACGTGATGTAACGCTAGTTTTTGGATTGTTTTTCTAATTTTTATTTTTGAAGGATAAAGAAATTGCAAAGTTTCTGAAAAGCAAAATTTAACAAAATACAGTTTTTAAATCTTGGAAGTTTCATTTTTTTCTATTAACCAAGACGATTCCTTAAAGAAAAATTCATTTATCGGAGATAGTCGATAGATGAAAAATATATTCAAGTCTAATGTATTAACATTCAATACAGTTATTTAAACTTTTAATTCTGTGAAGGAAGGAGCAAAGAAGAAGATAACCCGTGATCTCATCTCAACAATACTGTCGAGGAAACCGAAAATGTCGTCTTTCCTTGAGTGGCAGGAACTTGTCCAAACGACTCCACTTTTTCGATCCTGTTGAAATCTTAAAAACTTTATGATTGGATAATGTTACATTAATTTCCGCCCAGGGGTGTATATTTTCTTGAAACCCCGTTCCTCCCCCCCTCACTTTTTGAAAATTCATTTTTTTCCCCTATTAGATAGGTAAGCGCTGAGGTGGAGGAAATAAATGATGTTTTCTATTAAAATTTTTAAAAATTGGGGGGGGGGTAGAAATGGTAAAAAGTATAAAAAGGATGAAGAAACTTGCTTAGAGTCCAATTTACCATCCCCCGGCAGATCTTTGCAATTCTTTTCCATTTCATATAAATATACAGAGCGGGTTTTTACTGGGACTCGGGCCTCGATTTTCACGGAATAATGGTTAAATGATTTTTATTATTTTTAACCCACACTTCTTTCTATTGTTAATTTTTTTCATTTCACCGTATTATGAATATTATTTTTACTTATGTATGTTTTAATCTATTCGCCGAATCTTAAATCACTAACTCTGGATAAAAAAGTAACCTCTTCCATGTCAATATTTGTTGAAATATGATCAATGTTGTTGAGACAAGGATAATTCTCAGGATGTTAAAATTGTTTACAAGAGATATGCTAGTCTATACTTCTGCTGTGCCATTGAGGTATTTATTGTTCTATTATAAAGTATAATAGATAAACTTTCACATTGATTAACATTAAATGAATTAAATTTTAAAAATTCTGGGATCCAATTTTATGAATTTAACAACGTAAACAGAGTTGAGCCACATTTCTTAAGTGGCCGATTCAAGTTTAATAGAAGAAGTTAAACTTAGTCTACGTAGTTCAGCTACTTCTCCACGTTCAATAAATTTGACCCCAAACAAAACTTCCCTTTTTAAAATTTATTTTCTAGAACAACGACAACGAACTGATAGCTCTTGAGATTATTCACAGATACGTTGAACTCCTCGACAAATATTTTGGAAGTGTAAGTTCATTATTTCTTGTTTGTTATGAGGTCAAAACTTGTGTGTGTAAACTAAGGGTGAAACTATTTGGTACTTTTTTGTTATAAAAATGCTCAAATCCACCTTGCACCAGTTTTAAAGTTTTCGTTGATACAATATTAAAGAAGATTTGAGAATTTTTTTTTGTGTATAATTGTCAAATAAATCAAGATGGGTTTTAAAATGTCAGTCTTGAAACACTGAGTTCAAAAACGTTAAAATCAAAAGAAAATTATTAAGTTTCAAACAAACAACCGGGGTTTTAACGAATTTTTGTCAGAGTATTAAAAAGGTAGTTTTTGGCCTTAAATTGAACTATTTTTTTGTATCGAAAAACGGTCTTTGGCAGTTCAAAACGCATCATTTGAAACCCATATCAACATGTTTTAAAAAATTGGAAATTTCTTTAATGACCTGTGTTTTTTTAAATCGTCTTTTAAACTAACCGAGTCTTGATTTTAAAAAATATTTTACAAATTTTACGTCTAATTTGCTGGTGGGATTCGACGTTTTTGATGAACTTATCTACAATGTTTGATCTCAGTTTAATTTTTAATAAATATTTCCAGGTGTGTGAGTTGGACATCATCTTCAACTTCGAGAAGGCGTACTTCATGTTGGACGAGTTCATTATCGGCGGCGAGGTTCAGGAGACTTCTAAGAAGAATGTTCTGAAAGCCATTGCTGCGCAGGACCTTCTTCAGGAGGTAAGCTAACTGATACACTTTATAATCTATATGTATAAACATTCTCTTTCTGTGTATACCTCATGAGCCCCTAGACCGATTTGCCTCAATCTTTGATTGGGGAATCCGAATGTTGTTAGCTTGGTTTTAAGATTATAAAGCGAAAATTTAGTTTCCCGGTAAAATCGTCCAAGTGCGGGTAAAAACGGGTATAAATGATCAGTTGCTGTTCGTTTGTCCGATCATAACTTATAAACCCCTGGACAAATTTACCTCAAATTTTAATGGGGGTACTTGGGAGAACCACGGGGAATGTTTTTAGTTTGGCTTTGAGATTCTAAGTTGAGTATATCGACTTTAATAGGAAAAATTTAGTTGCCCGGTAAATTGAACCAAGTGCGGTTAAACGGCGGGAGTAATTATGAGTACCCTGGGCAACGATGGGTTCCTAAGCTAGTATATATTTAAAGTAGTAATCTCTGTTTGTTTGTTTGTAAATCATAACTCATGAACCCCGAGACCGGTTTGCCTAAAATTTTAATTGTGGAACTCGGTATAACCACGGGATTTTACTTAACTTGGTTTGTAAGTTCTAAATTGTAAGTGAGATGAATTTTTTAGAGAAACTTAGTTTCCAGTCATTGGAGGCCTAAGAATATATAATTACTATAGTAACTAATCAGTTACTACTATATCTGATTTCCATTATTTTTGCAACCCGATGGTGTAATCCTTTGATATTTTGAACCTGAACTAATAGATCGTAACAGAATACAGTTTAAAAATATGAAAGGTCCATGGCATCACGTTGCTAGCTTGCTAAGATGTAAGGACTAGTAAATTAAGAGTAAAGTACCCAGTTAGTTCTTTGGGGGTTAAATTGAGTCTTTGCAAAATTTAGTTTTAACTTGAAGAAATTTCCAATTCTTAAAGTTTTTTAAATTTTGATTCTGTTCTAAATTTTTTAAAGTTTCATTAGCTTAAAATTTATTTTTAATTGGATTTTAGTTTTAAACCGGACGTTGATTGGAGTTTTGTGAATTTTATTTTAACCTTGTATCTTTTATCAGGAGGAGACACCTCAAGGGTTCTTTGAGGACGCTGGCCTCGGATAATATTAGATGATAAGCGTGAGGAGTCCGCTGACATCGAGATATATATCTACTAAATCTACCAACATCGAGATATATCTCAGTAATCTACCAACATCAAGATTTATCTCATTAATCTACAAACATCGAGATATATCTCACTTATCTACCAATCTTGAGATACATTACTTAATCTACAATTCTCGAGATATTAATTCTTGATTAATTCTAATTCATTGGTATCCATCCAAAACTCATCGCCCTTTAAGATTTGAACATTCCGTATTATACCTCATTTCCTTCTTAAATGCAGTGTTTCCCTTTTTCTGCCCCCCCCCCCTTTAAATCCACGTAACTTTTAAGAAGATTAAAATATTAATTCTAAGATTTATTGGACTCTGTTCGTTTGTGTATTTTAATGATTCTTTTTGCTAAAAGTTATATATTTTGTTTTCATAAAAAGTCGTCGTTTGCCGGTTAAGATTATGTTATCTGTGATGACACATTGAACTTTCCCTTGACTTTCGTTTGTTGCATTTTAAATACTATTAAAGGGCGAGATCCTGGTTTTTGAAAGTCTAAAAGCAGCAGAATTTAATTACTGTTTTAACTTAAACCTGTTTGTAAAACCTTCCCCTTTAAAATAACCAAATCTTCCAAAAACTAAAAAATCCAAAATATTTTAACTAAATTGCGTTATTTATATAGGCAATTAATAATCAAAACCACTGATTAATAACAACACCACAATTTTTAAGTATCCAAGTGTGTCATAATAGTTGTTTAATTACTCCGTAATTTTATTTTATTTTTGAATGCTCTGAAGGAATAATATACTCGGGAATTTGTTATATCTTACAGTTTTGAAATTGTTCTGTATTAGATATTGTAGCTATAGCTTTGTGATTGAAAACCCGCCAAATATTCATTTTAAAATATTATGTATTTTGTTGATTTTTATAATTGTAATTTATTTGTAAAAGTATAGAATCAATGAACAAACGCCATTAATAATATATGTGTAAAGTTGTTGTGATATTTTTATGTTTCATTAAGCACTCCCAGTTTCCATATTTACCCATTTCAGACAATGTTATTAGACAGAGATATAAAATGAAGAAGATAGATATTTCCTTTGCTGGTTGTGGATTTTTAGGTACTTATAAACTCTTCAGGGGTATTTTTTAGCTATCTTTCTCTTAATTCTATTTTCTGAGAAAATGGTCTCGTTAGTCGTTAATTGAGTAGAAATTGTAGGTATTATACATATATAAATGGTTTCAGGAGAAAAATTATCAGAGGTAACTTTTCGATGAACAATGTCCGAATTTAGTGAATTCAAGCCGCGTTTCAAAACACCCAAAAACCGTTTTTAATTCAGCGCCGGCTTGAATCTTGAAAAATTAAATACAATTTTAAGTGGAACCAACCATATTTGAGCCGCGGCTTAGATTTAAGCCACGGCTCAAATTCTTTAAATTCGGCCTTAGGTTTTTTTTCTTTTTCGTTCTCATTTCGAGCTATTTTTTATTTTTGAAGAGAAATTTTTTTAATTTGAAGGAAAAAATCTGTCATTTTCTTGTTGTATAGACATAGTAGCAATTCTTCAGTTGCGGCACTGAAGATACCAATTTTCAGATTGGAAATTACGGATATATATAGGATTTCAGATTTTGAATCGATTCAAACGAATTCTCACAAAATTCTTTGACCAGTCATTTAATTGACGGTCTTAGGATAAAATAACAGATTCTTTTACATTAAACTATCTTTTTATCAAGCCCTGTACCATGCCGGAGTCCTCAAGTATATTCAATCAAATCTTCACAAAACAGGAATGAATATTTGTTGTTATTTGGTGGTGTTTTTTACTTTAACATTTTTTTTTATTGCAGACAAAATATTTTGTGAAATTATAAAAGTACTATTGAGTTTGCTTGTTTATAGTAACCGTTGAAAACGACTTATCTTTTGTCGATTTAACTTAGAACACCAAATAAAAAATATTTCTATATTAGTTCGGATTGAAAAATCTCTCGGAGCATCTGCAGGTACTTCATAGGGCATAACTATATCAGAAAAAAAAATTCCTTAAAGAAATTTTGTCTTTTTTCCGTTAAGTCCGAATTTGAAGTGGTTCTTGGAAAGGTCCTTAAAATAAAGATGATTAAAGTAACAGTCCATACATTAACAGGAGCTGTGGTTGCCTGCCTAGCTTTAATTCAATACCCTGCAGACGAAATCAGGCAGATATTCCATTTTTTGTTCATATTTTCTACAAAATCCCCCCCGCTCTATAAAAATTCCTAGTTTTGTACAGGTGTAATTTGAATGTTAGTTTTTCCCATATACTTTTTTTACATATTTTAGTTTTTTTAGTTTTTTCCACACATGATATGCCTAATAATCGCTTCCCCTCCTTCTAATATTTTGTTAGTTTACCTAGAATATTTCTTCCTTTATGGCTAGGCAGAAGTTTAAGAAAATTATTGAAAAAGCAAGAAAACACAGATTTGGAGCTTTTCATCCTAATTTTCATGTTGAATCTATAATTAAGGTTAGTTTAGTTTTAATCACTTATTCTTAAAAAAGAAAACTTGATGGGACAGTGTGGAAAAGTAGGACGTAAATTTAGTTAACCCACCATATATATTGTTAATTCACAACAGTGCCTTTAAATCTTTGCCTGATGATGAATGAATGGGATATCCTTCTTTTTTTCTAGAGACATTTTTTATTTTTTTTTGTTACAGATTCAACAAATATTAAAGGACAATTCTCTCTCAATAGATGTTTAAAGGTTACCATTGTGAATCAGATGTGCCACTCTGTTTTAAAGTTATGTCTACGATATGATTCCCTTAACCTTTGTAATATCATTTTACATAAAATTTGAACGCATTTCTTGAACATATTTCTATTTTTCTTTTATGTACAATGCTATTCTGTCTATTTGCACAACGGAAAAGAAAACCTTTTTCATGATCATTAGAAATAAATGAAACTATTTTTTCTGTAGATTGTGACTAATATTTAACTGCAAACTAACCAGTACCCATGTCTTTGTTTAAATCTATTTAATCATAGTTTGATAATTTATTTTATGAAAAACAAATTTTGTTGATATTTTCCCACTTGGATTCGGATCCGTGGATCCAGCATGGATGCGAATCCTATTTGCTGCTACTGTTATTATTAAGGAAGAATTGAGTCCTGAGCTACCTAGAGATATTGCTGAAATAGTTACAGACAGATTATTTATATCACTTACCAATAGCAGGGGTCACAACTTACTTGTGTCACAGTTTAATTCAAGGTAAAACAAAACAGTTTTGTATTTTTTCAATTTTTATTGATTTATTGTTTTTTTTTGATAAATTAGAATTTTGAAAATAAACTTTAAACTTTATAAATGATTTTATTATTTAACTTGTAAATTCCATACGGGAAGAAAATGAGATATATTACTGATCTCATTTCATGAAAATAATTTTTAATAACAATCATCATTACTTATTTATTAGCCAATTAAAATGTGTCTTTTTTGATTTTATTGAAATTAAAATTGTTGCCCTATTGTGAAAAGAATAAACTATTAAAACAATAATAGACTTATGACTCCTAAATAAATATGTTTAAATAAATCAAACCCCGTATTAAAGGAACTATCTACGGTGTAACATGTGTCTGTTTCCTAACTCCAAGTCAATAGTTTACAGAAAGTCGATTTAATACTTACAATTTTTAGAGAGGATCTATTGGAAGCTTTAATTTGTTCCTGTTTTCTTCCCGCATTTTCTGGATACAGAGTTCCAACATTTCGGGGGGAAAAATTCCTAGACGGAGGTTTATCAATCAATCTTCCTGTTCTGGACTCTCATACGATTAAAGTCAGTCCCTTTGCAGGACTGGATAAAGATATCTGTCCCAGGTTCAGTTCCAGCTCCAGGACTTTAGATCTACAGGGGGAAAATATAGCACTGAACCTGCAGAATTTGAAGCGAGGGGTGCATGTGATAAAAGCCTCAAATGTATTGGTGTTGGAGGATTATTACTCTTGCGGGCTGAAGGATGCCAAAAGCTATTTTGAATAAAAAACTTCATAAATTTGCAGAAAGAATGTCCACAACTGAGCCCCCAAGAGGGCGGGGAAGAGGGCGCGGAAGAGGGCGTACCCTGAAGGTCACTGAATCCACAAATCCAGGTGATTGATGGATTTAAACTTTTTGACTTCATTTATTCTCAACTTTATATTTTATTCATTAAGTAATGGCAAAAAACTATTTATTTTATGACAAAAGATTTCCAGTTTTTTGTCTTTTTAAAAACCAAAATGAGTAAAATATTTTCAATTTTTTGTTTTTTTTAAATGATTGATTGAAATTGATATTTTACAAATTGTATATTTTATCTTCTTTTATGACCAGGAGTGGGACGGGGAACGGGCCGAGGACGGAGTAAGATGAATTGGTCTGGAGATATCGCTGGAACCCAACCTCGTCCCAACTCCAACCAAATTTCGATATCCAACCCTAATCCTGAGGTTTCGGAACCTGACTCCCAGTTCTCTGACACAAGTTTGGTCCTGTATCCGGGTCCAATCTCTGCTCCTAGTATTGTAAAACCTGGTCTCCGAGTTGAGATGAGTCTCGCGGAGAAAGAAGTTTCTTCAAACATTCGGAAAATTATACAAGACAAGAAAGGGACCTCCAGGTAAAAGAATTTTAGCGAAAGGGTGGGATAAGGCTAAATGGGGAGGAAGGGGGCCAATTTATTTCTACTGCTTAACAATTTATTATTTCTTTAGTTCTGTGCTTCAAAAGCATTTCTCTATGTCCTCTAATCCATACCTCTCAGCACTAACAATTGCATCGAAGAACTTCGAAATGAGCAAATTCAGGTGAATTGTAAATTTTATTTTTCACAAGTTCCTCGATATTAGTTCTCTCTCTTTTAATATGAAAAATGTAAGCTCAATTTTTAAAACAAAGAAAACTGTGCTGCTTAATTAAGTTTGTAATGGCTTCATCTGTATTTAAATTGTAGAAATAAAAATATTCTCGAACAAAATTAATCCTATTTTTATTTTGATCAGGGAAAATTCAGTCACAGCAACAGTTATTGTAGAGTTTGAAAAATGGCTAAAAACTAAGTGCAAGGTAAGATCAATAATATTATAATTAATTAAGATGTATTTACGCAAATATAAATTAATTTAACATGGTGTAGATTCTGTGTGAAAAAAAATAAAAATGAAAAGTCAAATAATATTGCAGCATTTTCGATATATTACCCAAAATTTATCCTAGTGGGGTATATAGTATATACTAAATATTTTCTTAAACATACTTAATATATCTGTTCGTTTTGATACAGGAGTAATGATAGATTTATTGGATTAAAAGCTGATAAGAAGCAATAATATGTGTTAACATAAATGCCATTGTAAATTGACAGACTTCCTATTCTCTCTTTTAAGTTTTCGGTTTCTGAAAATTGCGATGTAACTATTATACACTATAAGGCCTCAATTAGTATATTTATTTTCAGTTTGGGGTGTGGGAGTAGGACGTCGCTAAAAGTTTTATTTTATTGGATTTAATTGTAATTGTAATTGTAATTGTATTATGTACGGCTGACGGTTGGACCAAGTGGGCTGAAATTTTTTGAGGAAACTCTTTATTTTCCGCGGGTGTAAAATAGATTTTTTTTCTCAAATCGAATTTTTTTTGTTGAATGTTAAAAAAAATTATATTTTTTTTAATCGGAATTTTTTTTTCAAAAATCGATGATATTCAATATTTGATTTTTTAAATTCCACGGGCAACGCCGGGCACTTCAGCTGGTCTATGATATATATCAAATTAAGGATGACCTGTCAGCTACTGGAGATCAGCTAACACTGGAAGAGAAGGACTTTGCCTTCTTCACCTTCTCCATGTACACCAACCTTGCTGTTATAGCCTCGGCGTTCAGGGTGTTCGATATTCAGGTTAGGTACAGAGATCACGTAGCAGGTCCTATAGCCAACCCCCCCTCCCCCCCCACACACACACACATTCACATACAGGCTCTCAAATAAGGGGAGGGGGGTAAAAATAGCTAATTTTCTCGAAAATTTGAAGAAGAAAAAGCCCCTACATTAGTTTTTTTAAACCTATACTCTTTAAGCAAACTCAACTTCAACTACAACATTTTTTAATAAAAGCTCAGATTCTTTTTATTTTCCACCTTTCTTTAAAAAATGCCCGCAAATTTAGATTTTTAAATTATACTCTGTAGAGAAAGAAATCCCTGAACGAGGATTATGAAAAGTGGAAATAAGTAGTGTCGGATCTTGGAACCAGAGAAGACCTACTTAACTTCCTCTCCTTTTGTACATTTGTTATTTATCATGTAATTATATCTAGAAGCAATAAATGTACTTCTAAAACTCACAGATTCTTATTCAAACTGCCCCACCAGATTTAATTCAATATTTGTAACCCTTGCTTTTTTGACACCAAATATTTTAATTTGCACCTAAATTTAATTTTTGTCCCAAATATTTTTGATAATTCTCAAAATATTTAGAAGTTTTGCCCCCAACAAAAAACATACCTTAGTTTAAAACTAATGCCTTCACCCCAAAATAAAGATTCAAGATTTTCCATTGACCTAACTGAAAAAAGTCCCTCAAAAATAAAATTTGCCCCAAAAACAAAGATCTAAGATTTCCCCCAACTTAAAAAATTGCCCCCCAAAAAAATAAAATTTGCCCCTGAAATATAGTTATAAGATTTTTTCCACACAAATTTGCCCTAAATATGAAAAATTTACCCCAAAATATCCTGAATTGGTAAGGTAGTTTTTTCATGGTTGAGTATAATACACATTTTTCTTGCCCCCCCCCCCCCCCCCCCGGGCTCTTTTTGTGGGGGGGGGGGGGGGGGGGGGGGGGGGGGCTTGGTAATACACTGTAATTCAATACATATAGAATTTTAGCGGGTTTATTTGGAAAATGTAATTTTTGGGGAGCCATGCAATGTACTATGTCCCCTTTGATCACATCATACTTATTTTTACTCTTTTTTCATGAACCCGCCAGAGAGTTTCATCTTTTATTATGTAATCTTAAATATTAGATGTGAGAACGTAATCTGTTTGGAGGAATTGAGACCACAAATACTTTCAATGTTTAACTATCCTTCCTCTATGGTAAGTCAATAGTGATTCATTGATTGAAATTGGAAATGTAACAAAGACGACAAATATTCGAAATTATTTATTTCAAGGTTTTTTACCGAAACAATTTTGATTTATATTTTAGAGCAAAGGACTGTCAGGTTTTACGGAGCAAATTCTTGGTCTAGGATTAAATAAATCCGACCAAATCTCAAACTGGGATCGGAGACCATTACGCGAGAGCCAAATCATGTACGCGGCACTGGACGCATTTGTGTGCGTCGCTCTCTACAACCGGTTGGAGACAGTTGCCGCCGAAAACGTGAAAACCGACGATTTCCACAAGGTGTGCAATGTTATCATTCAAATTTTTCAATTTTGCACATTTTTCATTTCTTTATGGATACTGCAAAGGCAGTGCTTTTGCTAGAAATATAAAATAAAACTAATTTTTTCTACAGGCTCTTCGAGATGTTGTCCAGCGTCGGGGAGGAAAGGGGATTTCTCAGTCCAGTGAGAAGAAAAATAAGACTAAAAACCCTATCGGAGGTATATTTAATATATGTTATAGATTTAATTTAGGTAGTGGTTGCAAATAGTATCAATGGATCGCATCTAGTGAAAACAGGCTGAGATTAGCCGATCTATCAATTTACATTTTATGTTGGATGATCAGCGAAGCGTATTTAATCTAGGTAAGGGAAGTGGAAATACTTGTCCAACTCTCTCAACATTTTAATTTCAGTCAAAAATTTCTCTAGTTTTAATTACATAACCTGACTTAACGGTTTTAAATGAATTTTTTTACGTTTTTGCTGCTCTGCGCGCTCTGCGAAAAAAATTCTTACGACATTTTTTTTGTCGTCTATTTATATATTGTCTGTCCGTTTGTATGCATTAAACGTCAAAACTGCTGAACCGATCGGGCCCAAATTTTGTGGGGGACTTCACATGTCCTTTGGGAAGGTTTATGGAACATCAAAATTTGAAGAAAAAAGTTTTTTTAAATGGCCGACTTTCAGAGCAACAGTTAAGAGCTAAAATTATTCAAAGGAAAGGGAGAAGCACCCTAAAAGCCTAGTTACTTAAATTCTTATTTCTAGGATATGGAGTTGCTGGCCGTGGTGTTACTCAACCCCTACTCTCTGAACCTATACCTCCCTCCCAGCTAAGGGTAGTGTGTGATACTATGCTTCAGGGACTCTGTAAGAAACTCAGAGGATGTGGTGTTGATGCTGTAGCATTAGGTAGAAATAGTAATCCGATTCGTTAAACATTTTTTATCTGTGATTTCCTAGGCTAGCTATGCGATGAAGTCGCAGCTAAATCATAGCTAGGAAATGTCTAACGAATCGGAAAATTGTTGTCTTTTCAAGGGTAGATATTTTTTAAATCTTTACACTGGGAATGGTGGGGGGAATAAAAAATGGGGTTCCAGTGGCAAGCTTTTTCTCCATTTCTGTTACACAAAATGGAGGAAGAAAACAATGTTGTTGTTTTTTTCAAGAAAAAATATACACTTGTAGCCGAGGCTAAATTAGTTGTACTTAAGATATATGTTGGAATATTTTATCAAATTTCAGAGTAGTCTGGTACAATTTATGAAAATCGTGGAAACTACACAAATTTTTGTAAAGAAAAGTAAAACATAGAATTAAAACTATTTTATTTCAGAGAACGGAGAGGAGCATATGAACTGTTTACAACTACAGAAAGCTAAGTCCGACGGAAAGGGAACTGTTTACGTGATATCTCGAGGTTTACCCGCGGATAGGATTGCTAAACAAATGCCTAGAGGACACTGTCTTAAACTATACCCGGAGAAAACTGAAGATCAGATCAAGGAGGTGTTTAGGTGAAACTATTTTCATCATTTCGGATTTTTAGTTCCTGGATCCGTACTGGAAACAAATGGATCCAAATCCGGATCCAGGTCAATTCTTTAATCTTTACGGAATTTTTTTAACAAAAAATCAAATTTTTGTTTCATTTTTTCGCTTATTTTTATCCTAAAACTTGATGAACCGTTAAGAAATGAGGAAATTTTTATAATCTCTCTTTTTTCAAAAGTTCAGATTTGGGTTTTAGGAGTAAAAAAGTTTTTTTTGCAGTTTTTGGTAGATATTTAACCCCTTGGATCCGGATCCGCATATTTTTGCGGACCCAGGAAGCTAAAATCTTCTGGATCCAACGGACTGCTTTCAAACAATTCCATTTTAAATCGTCATGCCAGAAATAAACAATGTTTTAAATAAGATTTTATGGTTACGCCCAATTTTGGTTAATTTTTTATTATTAAACTTATCTTTGCCTTCAATTCTATATCAATATAAGTTAAAAGAGAATATGGTTTATATCATATCTGTTCGGTTCCATAGTAGTAAACTTATCGTGTAAGAATTCCCATTATTACACGGTTCAGGAGGAACAATTTTAATATTGTTCGCTTCCTAGCGTTTAAGAATGCTTATTCTTACACTGCAGGTGTAGAATTTTCATTCTTTAATTCTCATATCGTGGAATGTATGAATCCATCAAGATTATTTCATTTCGTTTAAGAATTTCCATTTTTACATTTTTTTCTTATCTTTATCTTATTATGTAGGGGTTTTTTTTCCATGATTCTTTTTATTTCTTCCTTCTGTGGTTATTCTCAGCAATCCCATTATGAGAATATCTACCAGGCAATGAACTGTTGATCAGGACTTCTGCACAATATTACTTGATAAACAACTTCTTTTATATTTTGCTTCGGGATATTTATTTTTCAAAATGATTCAGTGCCTGGGACATATTTTTTATTTACTAGCTTACGAAAAGAAATTTTAAAAAATTGCAAGCTAATATAAATCTTTTGCTGTAGTAGCCATTGATCCATAGTAGCGTATATAGACATCGAAATTGGTTGTAAATTTCGTTTGACCAACTGATTAGGACAAGGTACACCAGAGAAGTTTGTTACAGCTGTCCCATAAACCCTCAATCCTCATAATACATGGGAACTACTCAATTATTATATCACCCTGGCCTATTTGAGTGGTGGCAGGTTTGCATGTTATGTCATTCAACTTAATGACCTCCGATAAGGGCTGTTATTTAATACCGCCGGTTGGAATGCTAGGAGCAAACAAGCATTGCTAGAAATTTTTGTTGCAATCTTGGAACGAGGGATTGAACCCCTGCCCCTCAGTTCCTTGACTAGTGACGCTACTCTAAAGAGCTTCCTAAATCTCTTCCTTCCCCTTATTTATTTAGTATTGTTTAGATATTTCAATGTTAAAGCGAGGGAGGGTGATCTGTTCTCTAGATGTGTTCTATGTAATGGGGATGAATATCTCAAGGTCCCAGGAAACCTACTGCTCAAAATACTGGTGAGAAATTTTAAGGGGTTTCCCGCAACGATTTTAGTAAACCTTTAATTAAAGGTTGCCAATATTCGATTATCTACACTACACTCAGGGGTGTATATTTTCCAGAATTTGATGATTTGGGGGGAAAATGAAAAATTGGACATTAAAAGGCAACTTGGTCATTTTGTTATACTTTTTATCCAAAATTGATTGATTTACCCATATTCAGAGAAGAAAACTCTTAGCACATAGCTTCTGGGGAAAAATGGTTTCTGAAGGGGGGGGGGGAGAGAAAAAGGATTTTTGAGAAACTATACAGTAATATAGTATACTCTCATGTCTATAGTAGTATTAAAGTTGTATCTGGTAAACGATGATGAAGTCTCGCAGTAGTGTGAAAGAGGGGGTGTAATTTTTACCCTTATTTTGTTTATTTGCCATCAATATACTAGAAAATGGTAGAAAATAATTTTTTTTTGTGAACCAATTGTGTATTTTGGGTGGGGTTTAAACCGGTTTAGATGTTTTCACCCCCAAACAGATCTTACTCTGCCTTGTAGAATAATACGAGTGATGTTGCAGGTGAACAGGAAGAATGACCATGCTCCAGTCCGTGTGCTCCCTGTTAGTGTAGAGGGTGATAGTGAAGAGGATAGTGAGGACGAGGACGGATTTGATAGCTATGCAAACTATGGGTCGGATAATGAGGTAGAAGAAATATCTTGTCAGTAAGAATGTACATTACTGTTAGTTTTATTATTCAGCGCCTGGAATTGATCTTATTATTTATCAGGATATGGTTTCCAGTCCGTGTCTCCGGGTATCCTGGGAACTAGTGGAAGGAGGGAAGATTGACGTATTCTCGGGAATCACTGGGACCGGAGTCAAGGTATATGTTCCGCAGTTTTGCCAAAGAAAATTTTGATATGCCATTTTTTTACATGACACCTGGTTAGTGAAAGTCTGAACCCTTGTGTACGCTAGCGGGGTAGATACTGTACCCCAGGGAGTACTGGAGATATTAATCCTTGTATTCTCTTGGTCGGGGTGGATTGGATACTGTACCCCAGGGAGTACTGGAGATATTAACCCTTGTATTCTCTAGGTCGGGGTAGATACTGTACCCCAGGGTGTACTGGAGATATTTACCCTTGTATTCTCTAGGTCGGGGTAGATACTGTACCCCAGGGAGTACTGGAGAAACACTCCGAGTTCTGGGTTTGCTCCTCCTGTGGCAAAGTATACTGGCAAGGATCTCACTGGGAGAAAGCTCAGGCTAAAGTTAAATCTTATGTTAACGTTGCTCCTATTCCTAGTCCTCAACCTAAGTCCACTTAAGTCAAATGGTTCTAAGTCCCCTGACTCCAGATCTTAAACGCCCTGCAAATGGCCCTAAAACTCCTGATTTCTCTATTTAAACCCCTTTAAAGGCTTTTTAAATGGTTCTAAATCCATTAAAGCAAGATCTTATAATACCTCAAACTGTTTTTTTTAAACTATACCACCCTAAACGTGAATATTTGATACCACAACCATAAAACCTAGAGTCTAAACAAACAATATTACGGGACATACGTACTAAGCAGTGATTCATTTAATTTTGATCCAAATCCTGGATCCGCAGCGAAAATAATTTGATCCGGATCCTGGATCCGCAGTGAAGATAAATGCATCCGGATCCAGGCAATGAACATTTCTATAAGATTTACTGATTTTCTGAACAAAAGAAGAATTTTTAAAAAATATTTTTTGTTATTTTTTTCTAAAACTTGATGAACAATCCAGAGATAAGAAAATTTATAATCTCTTTTTTTCAACAGTTCAGATTTGGGTTTTGAGATCATAATATGTTTGTTTGCAGTTTTTGGTTGATATTTTACCCCTTGGATGCGGATCCGTGGATCCAAAAATTTTGTTAATTCGGATCCTAAGCACTGGATCAGGGGACATTAGTGCATCATCATTATATCTTTCAATAATGAACCAATCCTTGTAATTCTAATGATTGTTAAATTTTGGAAAATTGTGATAATTGTAAAATCTGTGATAAGCTTTTAAATCAAATAAACCGCGCTTTGACCCATGACACTCTGGGTATTACTCCGATTTGGGACTAATGCCCCCTGAGTCCGACATAAAGTTTTTTTCTAGTCTGTTAATATGCCACAGTTGATTTTATTCATTTAAGTTTTTCTACTCACCTATAACTGAGTGATAAGGCACAAACTTTTAAAGCTTCTTTCTCCTTCCTTTTATCTTCTCCTTCATAGTCAACCCTGGAGCAACGTTAACACATCTTTTTTTTTGAAGATGATGTAATCTGAATGAAACTAACTTATTCTAGTAAAAATATTTGTATAGTTATTTGATTAAAACCAACTTTAAGTGTCGTTTTTAAGTTGCGTTTTTTACCAAGCATTTTTCTTGTGTGATGTGATTTTTTTTGTTATTTTTCTTCAAAATTTTTATTTTTCAGAAGAAATGTCTGACAGTGAAGGAAGTTCAGAGCCAGGGTCCCCGAGGTAATATGCCTTCTTGTTACGAAAGACTAATTTATCTGTGTTCTTGTAGTTTATTGTTTTACCTTAATTTTTAATTGATTTGTTCATTAAAGTCCTTTTTAGAAAGGCTTAATCAAAGTAATGAAGAAAAAAGTCCAACCTCAGGGTCATAATTTTCATATACTCGCTAAAATATGTGGGAAATTATGTTTTATATGTCAAAGGGGGTAGAGGGGGGTTACCTTTATAATTCATATCGCTAGTCTTTTTCCAAAGAAAATTAGCTGATTATTTATCCTACGAGACCTCGAGCTGGAACAGCGTAGGTTTGTGATGGTATTCACCCTGTATATGATTAGGTCTAGAGAGGCCGAGGAGGGAGAACCCGAGGATGTAGAGGACGAACAGGAACCTGAGGGAGAGGACCTTCTAGACAGTGAGGTTAGACAAATTTGTTTCGATTCGATTTGTTATGTTTTGGTTTGGTTTGATTTGGTTTGATTTGGTTTGATTTGGTTTGATATGGTTTGATTCGATACGACAACCATATGTATTTCTAAATATGTTGATACAAGATTAACCTATACGTGTCTGAATCCTATCATGATTTAAAGTTAGTGTTTTCCACCCCGCCCCCCTCCCCGGAGGTTTTTTTCCATAGCTTATAAACGGCTTACACTATATAGAGCGCTAAAACTTCTTCAATTTTTCAACTTCATAAACGCACATTTTTTTAAATGTATGCAAAGGGTAGGGTAGAGGACGGTTAAACAGCTGGTCGGTGTTAAATCAATAATATTCCATTTTTATTATTTCAGTTACAGAACTAAAGGCTACTTATTCGAAAACCTCTTGAAAGATTTANCGTTCAGGATAGGGTTAAATGTGTCGAGACAAAATATACATGTCATTTTTTTCTATACAAAATCAATTTGATCTCCAGTATTTGTTATTTGTGTGTCCTATTTCAAATCTTCTTGAACTAAACCAACAATAGAAAGAAAAAAAATTATGTTTGAACAAAATGATTTCAGGAGGAGGAGGAAGAAGATGACCGCCCCAACAAGAAAGCTAAACGGTCAAGGGTCAACGCACACGATTTCATCATTGACGAGGTAAATTGAGAAATTATGAAACCACCTTGTCCTGCGTGGAGAGCCTACCCTCCTTTCTGTTTTAACAATTTCAACGCAATCTTGGACATTTATTCAACTTTATAACGTTTAAAATTATTTGTTGACATTGTTAACGCACATTTAGTTATGAAATTTAATATTGAAGGAGGAAAACGCAAAAAAAAGTTTTTCCCTCGTAAATTTCGTCTTCCTTTCAAATCGTCAAACAATCATTATTTTTAATGCGAATTAATAAATATTGAAGTGTCGAAACATTGCTTTTGAAGTCTAAAATTGTGTTTAAACGGTGTAAACACCAGGGATCGAGTAGGCTCTTCGCGCTTAAACCATTTTATTGGAGTTTTTATTTATTCTCGGGTTTTTGGGTTTATTTAATTGTATAATTACATGTGATTGTGTAGGCTGAGGTTGATACTGACGATGAAGAGGATGAGGACGCGTACAGAGATTACGCAGATGACGCACTGGATCCTAACGAGGCGGAGGAGGCGGGACAAACAGCGGCGGATGTTGAGGCGAGGATGAGGCAGAGAGATCGATTAGGACAACAGGAGGATCAACTGGACGAGGAGGCAATAGAGAACTATTATAGGAATAGATATAACGAGGATACAGCTGCTATTGCTAGGTAATCTAGTTATACAATACACCTCTTGTTCTTGTTGTCCCGATAATTTCATTCCTTGTCAGCACCAACAATTAATGGAAAGATGCGATTTAACTCCAAAGATCTAATAGAAGGTTAAAATCGATGGCCTGCTACTTTTGTCTGGTGTCGAAACGGGGGGAAAAAAAGTTGATGACCTTGATTTCATTGTGGCAGGTTCGGAGAGGGGGGAGAGGAGATGAGTGACGAGATTACCCAGCAGACCCTACTCCCCGAGGTGAGGGACCCCAACCTCTGGATGGTGAAGTGTAGGATCGGAGAGGAGAAGGTTACAGTGCTCCAGCTCATGAGGAAGATGATTGCGTATCAATATGAAGAGGAACCACTTCTCATCAGGTTATTTCTTAATAATTTCCGTCAAAAAAGTTTTAGGAAAATTAAGATTTTTAATTGCAATAATTTCCCGGAAAATAGCTTTAGTATTTTCCCAATAATATCTCAAAGCAATGTCGATTTCATTTCATTTCCAAATGATTCCAGGATTAACTCCTCTGATTGTTTAGATCAGTAGTTGTTCCGGAGCATGTCAAGGGATACATCTACATTGAAGCCTTCAAGCAGACCCACGTCAAGGCTGCCATTGATGGTATCTCTAACCTGAGGATGGGAATCTACCAGCAGCAGATGGTCCCTATCAAGGAGATGACTGACGTGATGAGGGTAGTCAAGGAGCAGGCCGGTCTCAAGGCTAAACAATGGGTTCGATGCAAGAGAGGAGTGTTTAAGGATGATTTGGCTCAGGTTGACTACGTGGATGTTGCTAGTAACCAGGTATACCAGGAGTAGTAAAGACCCCCCCCCCCCTCCGTTTAGATTATTATTTCTTTTTCAATCAATTTTTAATCAATAAGTTGGAATAAATTTAAGTTTTTGTAAACAAAGGGGCAACCTTGTATTGTGGCGACAAATTAGTCGAACTTGTTTTTCTATAACTTGCCCTGTAGAAATTGAAACCTAATTTTAAGCCGTTTTCTGTTATTTCTATCCGATGTTTCGAATACCTCATAAAATCTTTATTCCTAAATTTTTGGGAGAATTTCACGATTTACTTCTGTTCACCGAAATATCTGAGAGAACTATAAATTGTGCTGACTTATTCACAGTTGAATTATGGTACATGCTGTATTCTGTCATAATAGGAAACATTCCTTAAACTAACTATTTTCTACTAGGTTCATCTTCGCCTCCTCCCGCGTATTGATTACGGGCGGATGCGAGGCGCACTGCGGACAACTGCCTCGGACGATCTAAAACGGAAAAAATTTAAACGCCCGCCGTGTAAACTATTCGATCCCGAGAAGATTCGAGCAATCGGTGGAGAGATCACGAACGATGGAGATTTCTACGTGTTCGAAGGAAACCGGTATTCTAGGAAGGGATTCTTGTTCAAGAACTTTGTTATGAGTGCTATACTAGCAGAGGGAGTTAAACCTACACTCAGTGAACTAGAGAGGTAAAAATATCATTCATAGAGATATAGAGATTACGAGGGGGTCGGGGGTATTTATTTTGAAGAACCAACCCACCCACCCCCGTTCTCGCACTTCTATTTCAAAAGTTAAAATCGTTTAATCTTGATTAAGTTGTTAAAAAAAAACTTTTAAAAACTTTACTCGGTAGTCCAAACATGCACCTCAAAAATTACAATAGATTTGTTTCGATGAAGTATTATCAAAATGTACAAGTATCATGTTTTTAATTGTTATGTTATGGTATTAAGGTTTGAAGAGACCCCTGAAGGATTGGATATAGACCTGGGAGCTGTGGATAAGGAAGAAATTGCACACAAGTTCAGTAATGGAGATAATGTTCTTGTTGTAGAGGGAGAGTTGCAGAACTTACAGGTACAGTTGCCGTACACTTTATACATTGGGATGTCCCTATTTATATTTTTTATTTTGGGACATTCCACAAGAAGATGTTTACGCGATCAAATAAACTTCATTTCAAAACTTTATTTTGTATCAAGTACCGCTCCCTAGTTTTTTAAATGTGGAACCTCAGTGATCAATTCTATCTTTCTTAACTAACATAGCTTGGAATAATTGTTTTAATTGTATATACACGCAATAAACATGAGAATAAATTAGTTTTAAGAATTTTTAAAGATCATTCTTGAACTAATTCTCTAATATGCAACATTGAGGTTTTACACTGTCACACAGAAAGACTTAACTGAGGCGGTCAATACAGTCATAACAATTTTATTCGAAATTATTTTGTTTTTCATCATTTTCTAAAACTTCTGAGGTATATAATATAATTTCACTGTGAGAACTCCTTGAGTGAATAATGTATTAAAGTGTTAGTTTTTATATTAATTGATTTATTTAGGGTCGAGTTATAGCTGTGGATGGGAGTAAGATTACTATACAGCCTAAACACGAAGATCTTAAAGATGATCCCTTGGACTTCCAGGCTAATGAACTCAAGAAATACTTCAGACAGGTGACGATCATATTGTTACTTGATATGTTAGTTTATTGCCATATGCTATATAGGCTAGAGGTCTATAAAGGTATTTTCCTCTGAAAAATAAATAATATTTGTTGGGATAGCTCATTTATTGTCGAGCTTTAAAAATCTTCTTTTCTTTCCTTAAACTATTAATTATATACTACGGATTGATAAATGGATGGTTTTAACAATTGTACGCTCTGGAATCATGCTTTATAGAATTGTTGATAATGTGATTCAGTGATTTGCTTTAACAATTATATAACATAATCATTGATTAGTTGGTTGTTTTAACAACCATATGATAAAGAATCCTTGGTAAATGGACTGTTTCAAAAGTCATATGATTTAATTTCATTTCATTAGAACCATTTATTAGTTGGTCGTTTTAACAATTTTATGATTGTAAAAACATTGATTGATGTATGTTTTTACAATCATTATTGAATGATTGTAAAAACAATCAAATGATTTAGAATCATTGATATGATATAGAATCTTTGATTAATGCATGTTTTAACAATCGTTCATTGATTGATTGTTCTTACAATTATATGAATTAGAATCAGATGTTTATAAGATTATTGATTTTTAATATAACTGATTGATTGATTGTTATTGTTCAGGGCGACCATGTGCGTGTAATCGGAGGAAGGTATGAAGGTGATACTGGTCTGATTGTCAGGGTTGAAGAGAATATGGTTGTTCTATTCTCCGATCTTACTATGCACGAACTTAAAACCCTTCCCAAGGTTAGTATAAACTTAAACCTGAAGATTTAACCAAGAAGGATACAGTTTTGTACTTGGATTTTCGACCAAGCCGAAAAGGCAAACCTTAAACGGTCAATACTTGCTTTATTTTAGTGCTACGAACCTCTTTTTGGTTTCAATCGATCGGAAACGTTACAACGATTTCAAAAAGTTTTAAAAAATTGAACCATGGTGAGTTCTTTTCTACTATGCCTTAAAGATCGTTTTTTTGGTATATATTTGAAAATTTGGCGATGACGTAAGTCAGGTAATAAAATTGTGCCTGAAGTGAAAATATTAATGATTTGATTTGAATTGATTTGTGTAGGATTTACAACTGTGTACGGATATGGCAACTGGTGTGGACAGTATGGGACAATATCAGTTCGGAGATATGGTGCAGATAGATGCACAGACAGTCGGGGTTATTGTGCAGATTCAGAAGGAAAACTTCCAGGTAATTCATATACATTTATAATCAGATTATTAGAGGGACTGTAGGCTCAATTTCAACTGACCCTCCATTTAAAGAAGGGGCAAAACCATACCTGTTCTACAACGTTACTTTATTTGATAAATGATGTAGAAGATTTATGTACAGTGTTTAATTTTGACAATTTTCTCCATTGTTTCTGAAGCAGACTAAGCTTGCGCCATTGTGAATCGGACCGGAAACAAGTGTTTGGAATTATGTCTACAGTCTTTCCTTGAAGGAAAAACAGAGGTTTTATTTTGGAATTCAACTGAATGTTAGATCATTTTCTGCATTTTTATATGAGCCAGGCTTCCCCAAATATGTGTGTATATATACATATACATATATAAATATATTTACTACGAAGACATTATGATATTTTAGGTTTTTTAGAAATAATTTGCTTTTCAATATTTAGCTTTCATAATTTAGCAAAGTGCCAAAATTCCTAATTTGGAGTGAAGAATGAATTTAAGAGGACAGAGGCCGAATTTAAAGAATTTGAGCCGCGGCTCAAATATGGTTGGTTCCATTCAAAATTGTATTCAATATTTCAAGATTTAAGCCGGCACTTAATTGAAACAGGTTTTTGGCTCAAATTTATTAAATTCGGTTTAGGTGTTGAATATGCACGGGAAGGTGGTGAGCATGAAACCTGCTGCTCTACAAAGGAAGAAAGCACACAAGGACGTCAAGGCACTCGACAGCGAGCAGAATCAGATTCAGGTCAGATCAGAGAAGAATTTTTCTATATCTAATAATCAATGTTTTGATGTTTTTTAATTGTTCAGTTTTTTAAAGAGAGCAGATTGTTTATTTGCCTGGATAATGTTTTTTTTTCTACAATTTTAGATGACAAAATTACACCTTTTAACAATGTTCATTATGAAAATGAAGTCGGTTTTGTTCATGGCTTGCTTTATGTTCGAGTATTTTTAATAAGTATTTTTAATGATTTAGGTGCGTGATGTTGTAAAATGTATTGACGGGCCACACTCTGGGCGTCAAGGAGAAATCAAGCATCTGTATCGTAACTATGCCTTCCTTCACTCCAGGATGATGCTTGACAACGGCGGAATATTCGTCTGCAAATGCCGCCATCTTCAGTTAGCCGGCGGTGGTAAGGTTACTAGTGGCGGAGGTGGCGGAGTGAGTAACGCTGGAGGATTACCAGGTTTTATGTCGCCCAGGCTTTCAAGCCCTGCTCATCCCAGCCAGGGCGGAGGAAACAGAGGAGGGGGCGGAGGTGGATTCCGGGGAGGCCGAGGAGGACGTGGTCGCGGCGGAAATGTTGGAAGAGATCGAGAATTGATCGGACAAACTATCAAGATTACTCAAGGTCCTTACAAAGGGCATATTGGAATCGTTAAGGTGATTGATCTTGTCCTTTTTTTCAAGATGTTGTCTCGTTATTTTACAACTATAACTGACAAATGAAACAAAAACTTTTTCTTCAACCATTCTAAAAAATATTTTCATTTGGTTTTAAAAATTAGCTGTTTCCAAACTTGGGTTTAACCTTTATTTATTGGCAAAGTATCTCTTAACCGATCTAACAAATTCAATGTTATAATTTAGGACGCTACTGAAGCTACAGCTAGGGTTGAACTACACTCGAAGTGTCAGACGATCTCCGTCGATAGATCCCGTATTGCAGCGGTTGACTCTGGCAAGAGCGGAGCAGGAGGACAGTTCTCCTCCTACAACAAGACTCCGATGCACGGGCCCTCCGGTACTCCTATGTACGCGACACCGGGAAGCAGAACTCCGATGTACGGCTCTCAGACACCGATGTACGATGGTTCAAGGACTCCGCACTACGGGAGCATGACTCCAAGTCATGGTGAGGACGGATCTAGAACTCCGGGTAGATCCGGAGCTTGGGATCCAACTGTTAGTAACACTCCTGCGCAGACTCGTGAGTTTGATGATTACAACTTCGACGACACTTCTCCAAGTCCGAATTATAATCCCGGTACTCCATCGGCATATAACCAGGAGTCCCCTAGCGGACCTTATACTCCAACTAATCCCGGAAGTGTGTACAACCCACAAGACTACTCCCCTTACCAACCCTCCCCCTCCCCTTCAGCATACCAGGCCAGCCCATCCCCAAGCAACAGCTATGTACCTACTCCCTCCCCCGTAGGAGCATATCAACCCTCCCCCTCCCCCAGCTACGCTGCTCCCTCCCCCGGGATGGGATACTCTCCGATGACTCCGGGTTCAAGCCACGCCTCTTCTCCCTTCCATCCTTCGACTCCGTCCCGTGAAACGGATATTCTCAACTCCCAGGATTGGTATTCTCCGGATATTGAAGTACTGATCAAGAGTTCTCACAGTGACTCCAACCTGTGCGGTCAGGTTGGGGTTGTACGTGGTGTAATCCCGGGTCATTGCTCGGTATATCTACATGAAGAAGAAAGGTCAGCTAATTTCTTTCGCCTTTTTTTGCTTTAAATTCTTTTAATTTTTTTTACAAACTTTGATCAACTTAATATTACTCAGGGTTGTGACCATCCCTGCAGTTGATCTTCAGCCTGTTGTTCCAACACGAGGAGATAAGGTGAAGGTCATTCTCGGAGATGAAGACAAGGATCAAAGCGGTCATCTTCTCTCTATCGATTCACAGGTATTATACAAAATACATCAGAGCTTATATACTCGAGAAATGGGGGGGGGGGGCTTTTTTCTTTTAACTACTATATACTTTCCTAATTTTTTCGAATTTGGTTCAACGTAAATGTTAACCCGGAACATGTTATTTAAAAAAAAGATTTCTTAGAGAGGAGGGGATAGCATTTTATATAAAAAACATTCATTGATTTCACTTGCTTACTTACTTACTTCATTACTCACTCACTCACTCACCCTCTCACTCACTCAGACTCACTCACTCACTTACTCAGACTCACTCACTCACTCACTCAGACTCACTCACACACACTCGCTCACTCACTCACTCACTCACTCACTCACTCACACACTCACTCACTCACTCACTCACTCACTCACTCACTCACTCACACACGCACTCACACACTCACTCACTCACTAGCTCACTCACTTACTCACTCACTCACCCCCTCACTCACTCACTTATTTGAATATCTGTGTTTAGGAGGGTGTAGTGAAACTGGATCACTCAGGAGATGTTAAAATGTTGCAACTGAAATATCTCTGCAAGATGAAATCTGATGATTAACTTCCAGGCTTCCTGTTATACAGCTGTTACAGTGCTGTTACAGTGCTGTTACAGTACATATAATATTGTTTTGCTACTTTAATTCAAATGTATCTTTTGCTGTTTCATCGTTGTATCTTGAATCATACATAGCTGGAGCCTTTGTATCACCACTGTATCGTAGATAACAACAATCAATAGCAGTTGACTGTTTTGTTAGCAATTCCGTTGTTTAGTTTAAGCTAATTATTAGACTTTCTGGATAGAAACGACGTTATAGTTAGCTATTAAAAAAAAAGATGATCAACTGAACAGTAATATCACGATATTCTTTAATATATTAATATATTAAAATTCTGTACAGTATACATTACAATGTTAAAATATCTTTGGTTAATATTTACTTTGATTTATCCCACCCACCTTTAATATCATTATTTTGTTTTTCTTTATTATTTTGGGATTTATGGAAAATCAATTTCATTGTAAATTTTTTTCGGATTTTTTTGGCCTTGGCCGTGCTTTGCTTGAATTCAAGTAAACTGTCGTTACAGTTATTTTGCATAATGTACTTGTATTCTATATAAACTTTGGCAGAATCTAACCAATATATTAAAAAAAAATCAATCAACATTTATCTTGGAAATAAAGACTTTTTTAAGAACAAAATAGAGATTATTTTTGGCCTTTTTAATCTATGCGACTCAACTCGTGAAACTGAATTACAATTTATTCAATTTGCCTCCTTGTCCCTGAGATGCGGTGGTAACTAAAAAATTGTGAATGGAATGTCGTCTTGGATCTTTATTTTATTAAAAAAAATATCTTGTTAAAACGGAAAACTGATATATTTCTAAAAATTTTCATAAACATTTTATAATTTCTTTGCATATTTCTTGCATAGATAAAAACAGAGGAGGATAATTCCACTCTTTGGGTTTCTACGGAATTAGAATTTTTCTAACATTCAAGTCTTTCAACAAAAACTTTTTATCATCATCTAACTTTTAAAAGAGAAAAGATAATGAGGCCAAAAAATCCTCCTTATAGACGCTGTAGTTAGAAGTACAATTTGTTGAGATCAACTCCATATTTGATCCGGATTCAGCCTATTTTTCGCATACTCTCCCTGCTAGTCTAGCTTTAAAGAAGAATACTGAATAGTAGATAACCTTCCGTCCGTGTATTTACAACTAGGGTTTCCAACACAAGTGGATTTTACTTGCGCGCAATTGTGAGCCCTGTAATTTCCTCGCAATTCCGCACTATTATTCGCAATACGAGAACAGTTGCGCGCAATTCCGCACGCCGGAGTTTCGATTTGAAACCTTCTCTACGACCATTCTGCAATTCCTTGGTTTTCTAATCCTTCTCACGATCTGTTGTGGCAAAGAAAACGTATTAATTTTGCCAACTTATGTTTTTGCTCAAGAATGCGCGAAAATGTCAAGTTCCGGCTGAAGAACCAGGAAGTTTTGATTAAAAGTCGTCTTCCCCGACCTTCCTGATACGGTTATATAAGCATACATGTGAACATAACAATACTTGCTCAACATTCATTTATGAATTCTTCGCTATTCTTAAGACCTAGACGGACGGCGCCTTGGACACGATTAGGTAAAGGGGTGAATAGTTCCTCTAACCCTGAAAACATTTATCCTCCTTTTTGACAATATTTTCAAAAAAAATTAAGAAAATTATTTGTTCATTTTCCACAATCCCTTTTCCCAATCCGGGTGCAATTTATTATTTGTTATGCTCTCATAATCCATACTTAATCATTTTTCATTCATTGGTTCTTTGGTTCAAGGCATTCATTCATAGATTACTTTATAATTCATTAATTCATTGTTTCATGGCATTCTTTCATTGGTTCTTTGGTTCAACGCATTCATTCTTAGATAACATGTAATTCTCTAATTCATTGTTTCTTGGCATTCATTCTTAGATTGTAATAATTCATTAATTCATTGTGTCTTGGCATTCTTTCATTGGTTCTTTGGTTCAACGCATTCATTCTTAGATTACTTTAATTTATGAATTCGTTGTTTCATGTCTTTCATTCATTGGTTCCAGGCATTAATTCTTAAATTATTTAATTTATTAATTCATGGTTTCTTGACTTTCATTCATTGATTCTTTGGTTCAAGGCATTCATTCTTAGATAATTATAATTCATTAATTCGTTGTTTCTTGTCTTACAATCATTGGTTTTTTGGTTCAAGGCATTCAATCACATAGATTACGAAAATTTATTAATTCATTGTTTCTTGACTTTCATTCATTTGTTCTTTGTTTCAAGGCATTCATTCTTAGATTACTATAATTCCGTCATTCACGGTTTATTGGCTTACATTCATTGGTTCTTTTGTTTATTGGCTGGCATTCATTGATTATTTGCTTTGACGCATTCATTCTTTGATTACTATAATTCATTAATTCGTTGCTTCTTGTCTTAAATTCATTGGTTTTTTAGTTCAACGCATTCATTCTTAGATTACTATAATTCATTAATTCACTGCTTTTGGCATTCTTTCATCAAGGTTCTTTGGTTCAACGCATTCATTCTTAGAAAATTATAATTCATTAATTCGTTGTTCCTCGTCTTACATTCATTGGTTTTTTTGGTTCACGGCATTCATTCTCAGAAATTACTATAATTTATTAATTCACTGTTTCTTGTCTTACATTCATTGGTTTTTTGGTTTAAGGCATTCATTCTTAGATTACTATAATTTATTATTTCATTGGTTCCTAGCGTGCATTCATTGGTTCTTTGGTTCAAAGCATTCATTCTGGAATTACTACATTTCATTAATTCAATGTTTCTTGGCTTACATTCATTGGTTCTGTGCTTTAATGCATTCATTCTTCGACGACTATCAGTCATTAATTCATTGATTCGTTGATTACTATCATTTATCATTTCTTTGGTTTATATCAGCTTTCATTCTTTGGTTCAAGGCATTCATTCTTAGATTACTATCATTCATTAATTCATTCATTGGTTCTTTGATTACTATCGCTTTGATTAGTATAATTCATTAATTTCTGGCGTTCATTCCTTGGTCCCTAGCGTGAATTTATTGATTCTTTGATTACTTCCAAATATTCATTATTTACTTGTTGCTAGTTTGAAATATTTCGGTGCTTTGGTTTTCACCATTCATTTCTTGATTGCTATACTTTTTCCATTTAGTTGTTCGTTGGTTTTGCATATTCAATTTATCATTCAGTTAGTGGTTCTTTGGTTCCTGGCATTCCTTCTTTGTTTACTATAATTCATTAATTAATTTGCTCTTCCCTATCATTCTTCCTTTCCTAGCTTGCATTTCTTGTTTTTTTGATTACTGTCATTCGTTAATGCATTGGTTCTTAATTTTCATTCATTCTTTCCTAGAGCTTGCATTCATTGGGTTTTTGGTTTCATTACCCATTGGTTCTTAGCTATCATTCATTGGTTCTCAGTTTTCATTCATTGGTTCTCAGTTTTCATTCATTGGTTCTCAGCCTTCATTCATTGGCTCTCAGCTTTCATTCGATTCATTGGTTCTTAGCTTTCATTTATTCTTTCCTAGCTTTCATTCATTGGTTCTTTGGTTTCATTCTTTTGGTTCTCAGTTTTCATTCATTGGTTCTCAGCTTTCATTCATAGGTTCTTAGCTTTCATTTATTCTTTCCTCTTTCCTAGCTTTCATTCATTGGTTCTTTGGTTTCATTACCCATTGGTTCTTAGCCTTCATTCATTCTTGCCTTGCTTGCATTCATTGGTTCCTAGCTTTTATTTATTAGGTTTTTTGTTTCCAAGCAATCAGAAGCAATTAGATAACTATATGTTATTTCTTCATTGATTCAGAGCTTTCAATAATTTTTTTGGGGTTTCAGCATTATTCTTTTCTCAATCCTTTAATTAGTTTCCATTCCTACAACCCTTTCATAGATGTTATCTATCCTTTCATTAGTTCCCATTCATACTACCCTTTCATAGATGTTATCTATCCTTTCATTGGTTCCCATTCATACTACCCTTTCATAGATGTTATCTATCTTTTCATTAGTTCCCATTCCTACTACCCTTTCATAGATGTTATCTATCCTTTCATTGGTTCCCATTCATACTACCCTTTCTTAGATGTTGTCTTTCCTTTCATTAGTTCCCATTCTTATTACCCTTTCATAGATGTTATCTATCCTTTCATTGGTACCCATTCATACTACCCTTTCATAGATGTTATCTATCCTTTCATTAGTTCCCATTCATACTACCCTTTCATAGATGTTATCTATCCTTTCATTGGTACCCATTCATACTACCCTTTCATAGATGTTATCTATCCTTTCATTAGTTCCCATTTATACTCCTCTTTCATTGATGTTATCTATCCTTTCATTGGTACCCATTCATACTACCCTTTCATAGATGTTATCTATCCTTTCATTAGTTCCCATTCATACTACCCTTTCTTAGATGTTATCTATCCTTTCATTGGTTCCCATTCCTACTACCCTTTCTTAGATGTTATCTATCCTTTCATTAGTTCCCATTCCTACTACCCTTTTTTTTAGATGTTATCTATCCTTTCATTGGTTCCCCTTCCTACTACCCTTTCATAGATGGTATATATCCTTTCATTGGTTCCCATTCATACTACCCATTCTTAGATGTTATCTATCCTTTCATTAGTTCCCATTCATACTACCCTTTCTTAGATGTTATCTATCCTTTTATTGGTTCCCATTCCTACTACCCTTTCATAGATGGTATCTATCCTTTCATTGGTTCCCATTCATACTACCCTTATCTATCCTTTCATTGGTTCCCATTCCTACTACCCTTTCATAGATGGTATCTATCCTTTCTTTGGTTCCCATTCATACTTCCCTTGCGTAGATGTTATCTATCCTTTTTTTTGGTTCTGTCACGTGTAAAGTGATCGCTCACTTAGTTGAAAAATACTCAAAATTCTTCCATTGTTTGGATTTAAAAGACAACTTTAAGTCTATCCTCCCCCTTAAGCATGTTCTTGAGGTCCAGAATGGTCAAAATTTGTGTTGTGATCCTAGATTTGTAAAATTGGGTTTTATGTGTATTTTTATATATAGGGTGTCCCACGAAACATGACAGTTG